ACATTTGTCATCACCAGGTTGCCCCTATAATAATACCATCTGACTTCTAAAACACACTGTTGATAGAGAATTTGAACCGAAACTTTAATTTTCTTTCCAGTACACAAAAAAAGTCTTTGGGCCATACTTAAAATATGTTTTTTTCTTCTTGTTAATTAAACGTAAAAACAATCCTCAGAACACGGGAAATCGCTTCTGAGACGTTCTAGAAAACACATTTTTTGGGGGGGAGATCCCCCAAACCCCCCTTACGGGGAGGGGGTCTGTACCCTCCCCCTCCTCGCGCTACGCGCTCGGGCTGCTGCCTTTCGCAGCACACCGTTGACTATTGAGAAAAATTTCTCGGCCCCCCCTTTTAGGAAATCCTGGATCCGCCCCTGATATGGAACCCGTTGTAACCATGCATGCAGTTTCCGTGTAAGACTGTGTGCATAGTTCCGTGGCACCCGATGTGCCCATGCGGTTTTATGTAACCGGGTGCACCCATTTCCCGACGCGGTATAATTTATCGGAAATCTAATTTCGTCCAACCCATAGTAACATCGAGATACCGCCGGATATTAGTCTAGCTTGACGTGCGGATATCTTATAGGATACGGAACTGAGATTAAAGCTTCAACAGATGTTCGTTGAAGTGTTGGTACATTTGTACGAACACTTCATGTGTATAAGTTTGTTACAATAGTATAAAAATAAAATACAAGTGCATACATAGTCTATTACAAAACATCTATTTCTTTTAATCGCACTACCGATACTTATATGTTTATCTTTCTTGTTATTTTTGAATTAAAATGTATTTGTTTTACATTTACAAAACAAGTTGTATACACTTATTTCACGGGTAATCACTCGATCTTGTTGGCCTGGATTGTAGTGCTCGGTGGTGTTAATGTAGGAGGAAATCTTTATCACGTCAGATTAGCAGGGGCGGATCCAGGATTTCCTAAAAGGGGGGGCCCGAGAAATTTTTCTCAATAGTCAACGGTGTATGTGCTGCCGAAGGCAGCACCCCGAGCGGGTAGCGCGAGGAGAGGGAGGGTACGGGAGGGGTCTTCCTCCTGCCGTAAGGGGGGTTTGGGGGATCTCTCCCCGAAAAATTGTGTTTTCTAGAGCGTCTCAGAAGCGATTTCCCGTGTTCTGAGGATTAAGTTTTTATGTTTAATTAACAAGAAGAAAAAAACATAATATCTCATTGTGGTACTTATAGCTTACCATCGTGTTCTTACAAGAAAGTATCTTCACACAGCATACTATTGTGTACGTAGTAATAAGTTGTACGTACCAGATGATATACTGTATTTACAAGTAGGATAATTTTAAATTAAATTTAAAGGTGACGCGTATGTGCCTCCTAAGTTGTACCATTTTAACCAGATAGCTTAGCAAATGTACCACTGTTGGTAATATGCACGCCCTTGCATGAGTTAATCAGCGTGGACATTTCAGATATTTCATTGTCTACACTAGTGAATAAGTCAACAATTATAAAACGCGAGACTATATAGCTAGTGGCCTTGGGTGTCGCACTGATTTGAACTTATCCGTTTGTTTAGCAACTTAGTGATGCCATGCGTAACTCAGTAATTAAACACCAACGATGTTATGGTATTATTTGTTCTTTTGTACGACAAACTATTACATGAAGGACTGTACTGTAGGTACAATGTCTGAAGACTAGATATTGTGCGTGCGTCCCTACATTTATTTTTTGACGGCGGACCTCTCTTATCCCCCTTGCGGGCGTGACGCCAAATTAGTTAATAATGAACAAGCCCCCTGTGGATTCATACATTTGTCATCACCAGGTTGCCCCTATAATAATACCATCTGACTTCTAAAACAAGCTGTTGATAGAGAATTTGAACCGAAACTTTAATTTTCTTTCCAGTACACAAAAAAGGTCTATGGGCCATACTTAAAATACGATGTGTGGGGCGTAGCCCCAGATTTTTTTTAATACAAGCTCCGTGCATTATTTGATGCATTTTAAAATGTTAATATGTTCCCATTCCCGGCCGATCAGACCATTTCGGGCCGGCCCGGAAAAGGTCAGTCCGCCCCCTAAATCCGCGCCTGATTAGGGATTCGAACTCCGGCCTTCTTGCATTGGTGAAAGGCAAGTGAGCTATCCACTGCATCATCCGATCATCCTTCTGTGAAGAACAGTTTATAGTTTCGCGGAAGGTTTACTCTAGAAGGCTACAGCATCACAGCAGCTTCTGAACGGATAGATACGGTATCTGTAAAATTAAAGCAAATTTACTCTAAATATGATTGCGTTTTTTTTAAAGACACTGACTCACAAACACAGTCTTTGTGATTTGAAGTATAACTATTGTCCTTATTAAAACGATATACATAGATATTACAGCATATTTTAATTGCCGGGAAAGTAGCCTGTTGGGCTACATCAGGGATGTGTACTACATGTAAATAAATTTTAAGAAAATATGCGATTTCTTTCGTCAATCCCTGAATGGACTAACATATTATACTTTTAGTGCCTCTTTTTTTAATAAGATAATTTTTCACTCCAATTCCGTGCTTTGGATCTATGCATTCTGTTCCGAAATTCTGTAACAACTCAAATGTTGGTGTATTTCAGGCTCCCCTTTCGTTTTGTGTCTAAATCTAATAGCTCTTGAATCATTTTCAATCTGGACATATTTTTTTGTGTTTAATTGGCAAATAAATACATAATTACCAGAATTCTGAGATCTATATTATTCCCGACGTTAATGCACCTCGGAGTTTTGGTATTTTGTATTTGTAACCCAGCCGGCTCTTTTCCGCTACCAAATGACGCGAGGAATCCAAGTTAAACCGGGAAAAAAACCCTGTTTTTGAAGTGTACATACGTTCTAAACATAGGTTATACGTATATTATTTCACTGTTGTTAACTTGTTGAATGTATTTTAATGAAAAGTTATACATGCAGTATGCATGCATGCATTTTTTTTAATATTCCTTTATACTAACCTGGGTATACTACGTATAGAATTGATAACAGTGGAGTGATTATATGTACTACAAGTTGTTACCAGGTACCGTTAGTGATAGTATCGGACTGGCATGTCGCTCCGTTTGGTAGATATAGGTCTTAGATGGTACTAATTAAACGTTGATAGCTATTCAGCAATTTGCTGATTTACTTTTAAACACGATATGATACTTTATTTCAGTATTACCATTGTCTACTATTTTTTACATGTTTAAATACAGGATTTTTATAAATTTTATAATAAAAATGTGTTAGTCTGCTAGATGCTGCTATGAAACCATAATGACGGTCACAGTCTCGTACCTTCATGACCGATTTTTTTCTTCACACAAACTTATTTTCAAATTTTTATATGATCTATTATTTATATATACATTTAACTGATGCATTGTGGTTTCGTATACATAATGAGTGGCTTAGATGCGTCTCTGTGGTTTAGGCCAATAACTGAGATTGACTTTTCAACAATTTAGTATCTTTATCCATGGCTTAAGTAGGTCTGCGAGCACTAACAAATTAAAATAAATTGCATTTAAAAAACGGGGAATATAGATCTTTATATTTCTTTAAAAAACAGATTTGCGTCTTATTGGAACCTGTCACTTTAATGAGTTGTGAATGTTGATTTCCGGTGTAACACTGGGGTCATGACCTAAAGTTCATTCATAACTAAGCAATCACTGTAGATAAGACGCTTAATAGTAAACTCCTTTTGTACAAAGCTTCTGATTGACCATGACTGTCGCACCATACCCTTGCTTGTCTAGTGAACCGCCCATAAATACCATATTTGGAACAGGTGTAACCAACCATTCAGTGGTTTACTCATCGGATGTAAAGCAAGCAGAGAAAAAATTGTAACAGCATTCCGGTCCATTTGTTGTGTTCTAGTGCGACATAAACATGGACGCCTTACGTCGTGCGATGAAGAAGAGTCCCAACGTGTTGCGTGACGGCTTCGGGAAGTCTCGACACAAGAGTAAGTAACGGTCTGTGACCCAATGGCAATGACCAGTCTATCCCCTGTCCGTGGGACATTTAGTCACATTATATACTTTGGGTGGGGGTTACGTAGTCTAAGCCATTATCTTGAATTACGCCATTGTATTATGTACAGTACACGGGTCTGGCACGGGGTATTGGGCGTTGGCAACAGCCTAAGTAAATTCCACATTCGTCCAAAACGGTACAACCGGGACCTTATGTTGGAATACACTGCTGTCATTTAATAGATGGTAAACGTACCATACAGAAAACTTATGATAGCAATTAACCTACGGCATAAGTGTTGATAGAAAGACGTTAAACATAATCTAAAATACCCTCATTTGACAACAGCAACACTTTTTTTTAGAGATTTAACAATAATTTCTCATAATAATGATCACAGGAGTCTGACGTTTATCAATATAAGTATAGCAATCTGTGTATAAAAAATACCCTGTATACTATAAAGAAGTATAGTATAAGGGGTATTTATATAATATATATATACATGTTGTTATATTGATAAACGATGGACTCCTGTGATAATGATACACAGAGTCGTCATAACGTTAGTTCGCCATGCACCCAAATTTGCCACCCTGTTACGAAAATGCCATATGACGTGACGTAAATAACATCATCATACAGTCTTCGATACAGTTTAAGTCTTCAAATATTTTGATCAGAAGTGATATTTTAAAGAAGGGAAAAGTTATATCACTAATTTAAACAGTTATAAAATATCTTGTAACCTACCAAATCTTAAATATTTGGTCTGTGTGACAGACGTACATCTTCTCATCTAAACTAATTAATCTGTAAGGCCTGATGGTTGTGATTTAGTGTAGATGCATTTCATACAAATTTAAAATACCCATATCTCAATGGTAATTTCAGTTTTATGGTCGACTGAGCCGTCAATGCGAGTAAATTATTTTTCTACAAGTGTACTTTGGTACATACAATGTACTATGATGATCCAATGCTTGTTAATGGAAATGACGCTCAAAAAGACTCATTTCGGAAGACGACCATTTCAAAGTAAAGCATCTCATCTGTACCCGACGAAAACAATAATTTTGGGCACCGATTTGGAATTTCATATTTGTTCAGGACTGAGTTGCGATGCATGTAAATTCATCTCATATTAGCCAATCCCAGCCATATCTTACTCAAACAGTATCGTAATAGTCGTCTTTGCCTGGATATATGACAACTCCTGGGTTCTTTTCTTATAGTTAATTTATTACTTGTAAAAAAAACTGTAACATGAAATACATCATATTACTATACATATTGTAACATTCGTACAATCACATCAGCTAAAACATGTCAAACAACTACCTGGCCGTTGCCAGTTACATAAGTTACAATAGCTGAATATGTATTTTACAAACTGACATTCAATCGATATATTATATAGAAATTACAGTTTACTCTTTATCTAATTATACAGCATAATTAGAAATATATATTAAAATACCCAACCCTTCAATGCGAAGAGTTTTCTCGAAACAAAGTCTGCCGAGTCCTCAGTCTGACTTGTTCAGTAAACACTATAAAAAGGAAACAATCTTCAAAATCACTTGTCTAGACTAAATTGACCACGACCGATTTCTAAATTTACAGAGACTTTCAAAATATTAACTTTACTTTTAAACAAAAACATTACGTTAATTAAATATAATATTCAATAGATACTATAATGAATTACACTAATATTTTATACACGGGTACTTATGTTTAGTGCTTTTGGCTCGAGTGCCCGCTACATCTTTCAATTTCTATGCTGGCTAGGTAAAGTACTGTACATATATATATAGGTGCATGTATAAGCTGTGTTCGCTCTGGTCGCTCTGTTCAAAGTGACCAGTGCGCCAGATAAATTACCCAACATCCAACACTAGGAATACCATACATAGACAGTACGTACTTGACAAACAGGTTTACAATACATAACATCACATCTGCCCAGTTGCTTACTCACATTTACACGTGCCATTTCCGTGCGCTCGCTAAAAGTTTTTCCGCAATGCGTTACATACAAAATTACACGGAAGGCTGATTTCTGTTACATACGAACGCATATAGCTAAATACCACAAACATAGTAAAAGCAATATTGACAAATAATGACACTACTACATTATTACCAGGTAATCAACCAAAAATTAAGTATCACAACTAAGAAAAGCGATTTATTTCAATGTTAATCATTGTTTCACACACACACGATTGGAGTTTTTTGTTTCAGTATGACTGGTGTACGTAACATCAACATACAAAATGTTACATTTTAACACTTACATTATTTGCAAATTAGTGAAATGTTTAAAGGTGGCGAAACTGTCTGCACCTTTGAGCAAAACCATGGAAGGCCCGAGGACGTCACAAATGTTCCTGCGTGACGTCATTCAGGCGTTTTTACAACAATGTTTATTTAAAGGAATTTCAGTCAAATGTTCTTCCGTACTGGTGCTCGTCAGCATTTTGATACATTCGTATTTGGACGAATTATTAACTGAAACCCTTACTAATGTGACAAATTTGCCTCCACAAACGTTTATACTCATTCCAATAGGCCGGCCTATCTTACACAATTTGGGGTATACAGTTTGAAGTTGAGGAGGATGGTCCCAGGGCAAATCAATAGGTTTCCTAACACCTTTAACAGCACAGGTGCTGGACACACCAATAGTAATATGATATGTACAGCTATTATATAGTATAGTTGTATATATATGCATCATATAACTAGTCTATTAGTGTGTTCAGCACCTGTGCTCCCTAATCACCAGATAAACCTGCATGGAAACGAGTTGGTTAACATTTTTGGGTATAGCCACCAGTGGACACCATGGTCAGTACACACCCTTGATGTGATTTCTATGGTCAATCTTTGAATTAATATCACATACACAACAATGCTTTGTGCCATCATCTTCAATTGAGACGCCATGATTCATGGCAATAGTTGCCCCAATCGGAATCAGAAATAATGCATTTCTGAGGAAAATATACAGTTAGTCTAGTTTTCTGGGTGTGATTAATAAATGTTATGGGAGTCCTGTAAAATTGTGATGGTTGCTTATCAGTCTTATCAAAATCTTATTGGTTAATTTCAAATGGTAAAAGACACTGTAAACCTTAATACAATTTAAAAATGACTAATTTGAGCCAGATAAACATGATAACCAATATCACTTGTTTGAGAATCTATATGAATTTAGTTATACTGCATCATAATTAAAGTCAGGCCTATAAAACTCTGCGAATCTGTCTGGTCTTTTTATTTGTTTTTCCTTCAAGACCATGGAACTAGATTAATCTAGGATGCATGAAAAAATTGAATGGTAAAGTAAAGGAGAAAACTGATTTTGTTTATAATATTGTCTTGTATAGTGAATGAAAGAGGAAATCAGGAATTCAACAGGCGAACAATAGATCTTTGTATATAAATGAGCAGCATCTTTTCTATAGTTCCATAATGTCTTTTGTAGCTCTAAAAAATGTCTCATTTCTACTGTCTGACTTTTGAGAGTCTCTTCATAATTTCAGCGAATAATTTCCAAATAGCAAATTCAACAACATTCATTAATTGGCCAATTATAATTCATTCTTGTACATGTCCTAAAGGAGGTTTTCTCGAGATCTACCAGAATTTGTAAATTGGTTTGGTCATCCCATTAGATATATATTGCATTGAAGAAAATATTTAAAACAGTGTTTGTACCTGATATTTTTGTACAATATATTGTTGTCATGATAAATGCTGTCTAAAGACAATCAGGTTGCTCTGAAAATTAACCAATAAACAATTTGCGCTGTTACTATCACTGAAATGCTTTATACCGGTGTACAGCACGTAAACATACAATTATATTACAAACCAGTAGTTTTATCTCACGTTTCATGACAATTATATCGTTTTATCTCTTATTTGATCTTTAATTTACTCTGTTTTAATGTTAAACATCCTCTGTACATGAATGAGACGCTATATAAGGTTCTTTAATGTATATATAGAATTCCTAAATCACACATATAGGTATCTGCATGTTTATGTCATCTATTGCAATTGGTTTTTTTTTCAATTTTAATCAAAGCAACTTTAGACAAGCCATGAGTCCAGTTCTGGGGCTAGTGCTGATCTTGCATTGTACATTCTGTAAATGTATGGGGATATATGCAAATATTATGTTAATTGTGTCTATGACAAGACTGCCAGCAGGAAATCAATGGCTTATGACCATTACACTGTGACTATCTTATTTTCTCTATAAAAGATGAAATTGAGATAAATTAAATGAATTTTGTTTTGTTAAGTAAAATGGTTGATAGCAAGCCTTTTCTACTAATTGTACCAATAGAACCAGATGTAGTAGAAAGGTTGTTATCATTACATATCAGATGAATTTCCTCATAATTTTGTATAGCTAAACATACCAGACCTAGGTACATGTAGTTTCACAAATTAACCTAATTATAAGAGGAAGTTTTTCCATTGAGGACTATAGTTATATAGTTGAGAGCACAATTGAATGTTGACTGAAGTTCGGTGCTGTACAACAATTGAGTCCAGTGGAGGGGACCTATATATAGAGGTCCTGTACTGGAAACTAACTCTAAGTAATAGCCTTTGTCCCCAGTGTAAGCTGGCAATGATATTGAAACATGATAGAGGAATAATGTAAGGGATACCTGTATGTACATGTATCTTTGAAGTATTTGAAGTCCCTACAATTTGATATATTTAATTGGGTCATTGATTTGTCAATGTGAAGACAAGGATGAAGCATGTGTCTATTGCCACAGTGAGGCCCAATCCTGTTGCAACTCAACTAAAACCACTAGTACAGACACCAATACATACATACAAAATGTATACCGTATGTCTATTGCCACAGTGAGGCACAGTCCTGTTGTAACTCAGCTACAACCACTAGTACAGACACCAATACATAACATACAAAATGAATACTGTATGTCTATTGCCACAGTGAGGCACAGTCCTGTTGTAACTCAACTACAACCTCTAGTACAGACACCAATACATACATACAAAATGTATACCGTATGTCTATTGCCACAGTGAGGCACAGTCCTGTTGTAACTCAACTACAACCACTAGAACAGACACCAATACATACATACAAATGAATACTGTATGTCTATTGCCACAGTGAGGCACAGTCCTGTTGTAACCCAACTACAACCACTAGTACAGACACCAATACATAAACATACAAAATGTATACTTGATGTCTATTGCCTCAGAGAGGCACAGTCCTGTTGTAACTCAACTACAACCACTAGAACAGACACCAATACATACATACAAATGAATACTGTATGTCTATGGCCACAGTGAGGCACAGTCCTGTTGTAACTCAGCTACAACCACTAGTACAGACACCAATACATAACATACAAGATGAATACTGTATGTCTATTGCCACAGTGAGGCACAGTCCTGTTGTAACTCAGCTACAACCACTAGTACAGACACCAATACATAACATACAAAATGAATACTGTATGTCTATTGCCACAGTGAGGCACAGTCCTGTTGGAACTCAACTACAACCACTAGTACAGACACCAATACATACATACAAATGAATACTGTATGTCTATTGCCACAGTGAGGCACAGTCCTGTTGTAACTCAACTACAACCACTAGTACAGACACCAATACATAAACAAACAAATTGTATACCATGAGATTTCAGAGGGTAACATTTGATCGTCTTTTAATGCTGAGCTGGGGAAGGGTAACGCTATTTTTTTAAATTTTGGAGCTGGCAGAGGGTAACCCTATTTTTGTTTATTTTTGAGACAGCAGAGGGTGTAACAGCAATATATAGTTGATAGGAGCTGGCAGAGGGTGACAGCTATAGTTTCATTGTCCATTGTTAAGCTGACAGGGGTGGGGTTTTGGGGGTGATAGTTGGTTTATTTTAATGCTTGCAGAGGGTAGCTGGTGTTTGTCCATAGTAGAGCTGACTGAGGGTAACTGGTGCTTGTCTATAGTAGAGCTGACAGAGGGTAACTGGTGTTTGTCTATAGTAGAGCTGACAGAGGGTAACTGGTATTTGTCTATTGTAGAGCTGACAGATCTAGAGGGTAGCTGGTGTTTGTCTATAGTAGAGCTGACAGAGGGTAACTGGTGTCTGTCTATAGTAGAGCTGACAGAGGGTAACTGGTGTTTGTCTATAGTAGAGCTGACAGAGGGTAACTGGTGTTTGTCTATAGTAGAGCTGACAGAGGGTAACTGGTGTTTGTCTATAGTAGAGCTGACAGAGGGTAACTGGTGTTTGTCTATAGTAGAGCTGACAGAGGGTAACTGGTGTTTGTCTATAGTAGAGCTGACAGAGGGTAACTGGTGTTTGTCTATAGTAGAGCTGACAGAGGGTAACTGGTGTTTGTCTATAGTAGAGCTGACAGAGGGTAACTGGTGTTTGTCTATAGTAGAGCTGACAGAGGGTAACTGGTGTTTGTCTATAGTAGAGCTGACAGAGGGTAACTGGTGTTTGTCTATAGTAGAGCTGACAGAGGGTAACTGGTGTTTGTCTATAGTAGAGCTGACAGAGGGTAACTGGTGTTTGTCTATAGTAGAGCTGACAGAGGGTAACTGGTGTTTGTCTATAGTAGAGCTGACAGAGGGTAACTGGTGTTTGTCTATAGTAGAGCTGACAGAGGGTAACTGGTGTTTGTCTATAGTAGAGCTGACAGAGGGTAACTGGTGTTTGTCTATAGTAGAGCTGACAGAGGGTAACTGGTGTTTGTCTATAGTAGAGCTGACAGAGGGTAACTGGTGTTTGTCTATAGTAGAGCTGACAGAGGGTAACTGGTGTTTGTCTATAGTAGAGCTGACAGAGGGTAACTGGTGTTTGTCTATAGTAGAGCTGACAGAGGGTAACTGGTGTTTGTCTATAGTAGAGCTGACAGAGGGTAACTGGTGTTTGTCTATAGTAGAGCTGACAGAGGGTAACTGGTGTTTGTCTATAGTAGAGCTGACAGAGGGTAACTGGTGTTTGTCTATAGTAGAGCTGACAGAGGGTAACTGGTGTTTGTCTATAGTAGAGCTGACAGAGGGTAACTGGTGTTTGTCTATAGTAGAGCTGACAGAGGGTAACTGGTGTTTGTCTATAGTAGAGCTGACAGAGGGTAACTGGTGTTTGTCTATAGTAGAGCTGACAGAGGGTAACTGGTGTTTGTCTATAGTAGAGCTGACAGAGGGTAACTGGTGTTTGTCTATAGTAGAGCTGACAGAGGGTAACTGGTGTTTGTCTATAGTAGAGCTGACAGAGGGTAACTGGTGTTTGTCTATAGTAGAGCTGACAGAGGGTAACTGGTGTTTGTCTATAGTAGAGCTGACAGAGGGTAACTGGTGTTTGTCTATAGTAGAGCTGACAGAGGGTAACTGGTGTTTGTCTATAGTAGAGCTGACAGAGGGTAACTGGTGTTTGTCTATAGTAGAGCTGACAGAGGGTAACTGGTGTCTGTCTATAGTAGAGCTGACAGAGGGTAACTGGTGTTTGTCTATAGTAGAGCTGACAGAGGGTAACTGGTGTTTGTTTATAGTAGAACTGACAGAGGGTAACTGGTGTCTGTCTATAGTAGAGCTGACAGAGGGTAACTGGTGTTTGTCTATAGTAGAGCTGACAGAGGGTAATTGGTGTTTGTCTATGTTTTTCTATTCTAGAGCTTGCTGAAGGTTACAATGAGAACAAGGAAGCTGTAAAGGATGGTCTGACATTCTACATGAAGTACCTTGGCTCCACACTGGTGGAGGAGGCTGATGATGGGGAAAGTTATGGTGATGGAGCCAGCACCAAGGCTGTGCAAAGCATTGTCACAATGGTATGCAGATAGAAACTGAATCTCTTACTCCTAAATGCAATGTATTGATTGTGGATCCCTGATGTGGCAGCGAGCTTTGCTGTTACAAGTCACATCTCAAATATCAGATATCAGAAACTTAAGTCATCGTTGTAAATACCACAACTTATTAAAAAGGAACATGCATTAAAGTTTATTTGAGAATTAATGAACAAAACAATTTCCTAATCTCTTTTAATGTATTTATATATATGCTAACAATATAATAAATCTCTCATATTTCTTGGTCAAACAAAAGTACTTTAAACTAGCTTTTTTTCATTTTTGAAGTTGTAAAATTGTCCAATGAAAAAGTTCTTTACTTACTGATTAATTGTTGCCTTGATATATCTTTTCATATGAGGACATTTTGGACCTCATAAGAATCAATTTACATCACAAATTAATAATTATCAATAAATTATCAATTAAAATATCTTGCCATCTAATTTTGAGACAGCTCAATTCACTTAATATTTGTGTATGACATTAATATGAATATTTTACAGTACCCAGTAAAATAATTCCAAGAAACTAAATGGGTGTAGTAACTATGTATATTTTGTGACCTGTAGGCTAAAGCAGTGGGTAAAAAACTGAAGAAGGTAGCCCTGACAGCATCACCAAGCGGTATTCAGGTGGTAGACATGCTATCTAAGGAGATTCTCCAAGAAACATCAATATACAGGTAAGTGTACAGGCTTTTAAGGGGAGTTTACAAATACTTTTTACATGACAAAGTATGGTCCATGTAATTTAGAATATTGGTACATTAAAATGCTTAATTAGCATTGTGAACAAATTCTGATCCTACTGAGTCTTTACTGTTTACCGGGAAATTTTCCTGGCATTTTATTTTTTGCCTTTTCACACTCTGTATTGAACATTTATAAACAACATATATAATACACATAATAATTAAACATGATACACATAATAATTAAACATGATACACATAGTAATTAAACATGATACACATAGTTATTAAACATGATACACATAGTAATTAAATGTGATACACATAGTAATTAAACATGATACACATAGTAATAAACATGATACACATAGTAAATAAACATGATACACATAGTAATTAAACATGATACACATAGTAATTAAATGTGATACACATTGAAATTAAATGTGATACACATAGTAATTAAACATGATTTGTAATTAAACATGATACACATAGTAATTAAATGTGAAGGATGAAATTAATACCGGGCGAATATGTATTTTAACAGCGAGGATAAAACTTATCCAATAATATACCATATAGTGCTAAATATGTCAAATACAAGCAGACAAGGCCGATGGTGTAACCCTTCAAAGACCCTTTCCAGCTGTACTGAAGGTAGTGCACAGTCTGTCCATCCATTTGTAAATATAGTCTTGTTGAGATAAGTAAATGAATATCTCAGTTTTCATCATTTTTCCTTGAAACTTGCTTTATTGGCAAATATTCATCGTGATTTAATGTTATCTTTACAAGGCTACAGGCCACTAATTTTCCTGGTTACTTTCTCTTTTTTTCAGAATATCATTTTGCTCTGCTGACAAAAACCATGATAAAGTTTTTGCATATATGGCTAGAACAACAGTTAACGAAACAATGGAATGCCATGCCTACCTGTGTCCAAAGAAGAAACTGGTAACGATGCATTTTATCTGCAATTGTTGCTATGCACTTTAAGCTAGTCTTTTTATTTAACACATTTTCACCACATAATATATATATATAACTTACTTAAATTTTGTACAGGATTCAGTGGTGTTGTTGCTCATCATCTCTACTTTCATTTGCTCTGCTTTACCTGATGAGCACTGTTGAATACCATTAAGGTATCCACCCCAGGATCTCTACTGCCACCATGGAACTGACTTTCTTTCAGGGACGTTTGGTCTCCACCCCCCAGTTGTTACTTAAATACTCTATGAAATAACTCTCTGAACAAAAAAATATGCATGTTATAAGTCAAAATTCAAACTTCATTACTGCAAACTTGTTAACAGTGTTCCAATAGGGAAGCATGTTGTAATACTAAACTTTGACAGTCCTGAAACATTACTAGAGGGGAGGATGGATGTATATTCTACTGTCTCTCCTGTATGCAATTTATCCTCCATTCCTTAAAAGAACCTAATCCTGACAAATATGACCTAATTAGGAATTCACTCATGGTTTCCACCATTTGATGCTGTAGATTTTCTTGTTTAATTTTTTTCAGTGCAAACATTTCAATTTATCTAAAAGTCTCATTATTTAGTACATTATAGAAAATTGAATATTTGTTTGCCATTATTAAAGCTTGCCATTATTGAAGCTATAATACTCTATCCAATTTATTTTCAGGCAGAAGCAGTAACATTAACAGTGTCAAAAGCCTTCGAACTTGCCCATGATCAGGATTCAGATTGGGGAAATGAAAAAACAACCAAAACTACCATGGTAAGTTTGATATTTATCATTTACTATTTATAATGTAACTATGAATTCAATGTCATTTTGATGTTCTATTATTCTCAAGTTGACTGGAAAAAATATACATATGGATTCAGGTATCAGATTAAAGTTAGTGACCGACAAGTTGAACTAGTATCAAGTTTAACTCTGAGACCATTTAAACAGTAACAAGTCAAACTGGATGAATGAGTAACCAGTATCAAGTTAAACTTTGTGACCTGTTAACTACAATAATTATGAACTCGCTTGTAAGAAACAAATCACAAAAATCCTAAGAATCCCAAGCAGCTTGTCTTTCATTTTCAGAGAGATATTTTCGTAGCATGAACTTCGTTTTTTTTAGATTTTTTTTGGTGTGCAAAACCAAGTAAAAGCTTCTTTTTTTTTTAGATTTTCAGCCTTAAAAAGTACCTGCGCAAATTACATAGGTGCGCAAATTACATGGGTTGTTACGGTAATAGTAAATTAAACCTGATGAATGGTTAATGCTTAAATTGTTCACTTTGTTCATAAATTTCATGTGAAATGTTAACTATAAAACTTGTTTATGATTTTGTAATTGTAGAATGAACAATCCAAGCAAAATAGCACCTCCAGAATCTGTGATCCCAGTGTAAACCCAGCCAATTCCATGTCTACATCAACTCACTCAACAGGTATACAGAACCATTGTACTCTATTCACTGAAATTAGTGATCAAAGTGCTAATAAAAATGGCAGAAAGGGGGCATTCATTAGTAAAATAAATTGTGAGTTATGATACAAAAGGTTGTGCTATTCAACCATTTTATCACTACAGAACATTATAAGCATTCCTGTCGAGGTGGAGATTTGGAAATCAATTGTTTCATCCAAAGGATGTCCAGCCATGATCATCAGACATATATCTCTGCTTTAAACTTATCTAACTATAAGTCATTGACCAGACCTGGTCAGATCTCGGAGGGTGTCTATATAATGTTCAATTCTTCCCAAAAAGAGGTGCTAATTAAGGCGAATATGGTTTACAATTGTATGCCATTATTATTGACCTTTACTAAGGTTGATAAGTCAATAAGAGATATTTTTCTGTGTCTGTATGTAACACTTAGTGCCATATCATATTAATATATGCATAGATCCGATGCATTCCTCCTGCTTTTACTACATCTTGGCTCCCGAGGACAACACTATTGACAACCCAGGTTCGGGTATTCTCTTTGCCAAGCATACACCCAGTACTAATAGAACACGGGTTGGTCACGAGCACCACTGTATCAGGAGAGAGAAAAATGCTCGGCCAGACTGGGATTCAAACCCAGGACCTCACAGCTCGAGACCTATGCTCTAACCAACGGAGCTACCGGGTCACCAGTGATTGTTCAGGTCCAGTTCAGCTTCTCTACTTCGAACCAAGACAACGGATACATTAGTCACATCTACTTATTCATTATCATTACGAAGAAATTCTTCATATTGAACGGAGTTTTTGAGAACAAATTGTCCGTATGAAATAAATGTGAAATTAATGTTTGTTGTCCATTTGTTTAAAATTGCCTTGTTTCTTTGCACAGATTCTTCAGAAATTACTTTTCCAAAATTAAAAAGTCCTGGCTCAAAATCTGTTGAATCTTCCAGCACTTCTGAAAGTGGTGAATGGGTAAGTATTGTCCCCTGATATAGTGTGTAGAGAGCTGAAGGACATCAAATACTCAGGCTGCAGCAATTTATAGTGCCATTACATTATTGCGATATTTTGATTCTTTTTGGAGGTCATGATACACGTTATATTTTTTCTGGATTTTGTCGTTTCTGAATTTAGTCTACTCATATCCGTTCCCGCATGGCAAGTGACCGCTCCAGCTCTGTATGCACATCGAAAGACGTGAATTATGTGAACTTTAAAGTCATGTCTATTTTTGACCAGTCTATATATATTCCCTGTTGTGATATTACCATTAAAAATTTGCAACATATATTTTCTCTTTTCTGCTACTGTTACTATATGTATCGTGATAAATATCGTATCCCAAATATCGTATCGTGATAAATATCGTATCGTGATATGTACCATATCATCATGTTATGTATCGTTGCAGCCCTATCAAATACTGATTTATAATATAAAGTATAAAAATTAACTTTGGTTTCTACAACAAAACAAAAAATGTATGGATTGGTATATATATGGTACCTGCTAGGTTAATGTAGTTTCAAGTCATTGTAAAACCTTGGTGATTTGAACGTGTATGTCAGTACCAGACACTGGGAAGGATAGATAACCAAATAAAAGTACAAAAATGATCAATTATACATGGAAGCTTAAGTAAAAAATACATCTCTACACAAATAAAGAATATGATCTTCACATAAGCTATAATATATGGTGTTTTAATAATATCTTATTTACAATATTGGACCTTTAGCAACATTTTGAGGAGGATGCTGCTGATGATAAACTTGAAGATTTAGATGATGATTTCTCAAGGTAATTGGTTCCGTTTTCTCATAACAATTGATCACTTTATTTCAAATTCCATGCATCTGCAATATGACTGTTTCAAAATCCATTCGAAAATTCATTAAAAGCTAATTTTTATGTTACAATATTGTATTTAAAAAAAAAAGCTATCTACCATTTTCATGTACTTAGTATACAAAGTAATCTCAAAGGCATTTCTGGAATGTACTCAGAGAGTTGTTTCACATTTTTATACAGGAGTGATTTCTGGGATGTAACGCTTCCTCCTACTCCTCAGAGAGTTGTTTCACATTTTTATATAGGAATAATTTCTTGGATGTAACATTTCCTCCTACTCCTCAGAGAGTTGTTTCATTTTTGGGAATTAACATTTCCTCCTTCTTCTCAGTGAGTTGTTTCCCATTTTTAATGCAGGAGTGATTTCTAGGATGTGACACCCTCCTGCTTTTAACAGAGTTGTCTCCCATTTCTATACAGAGTGATTTTTGGATGTGCCACTTCCTCCTGCTCTTTACAGAGTTGTCTCCCATTTATTTACAGGGGTGATTTTAAGGATGTGACCCTTCTTTCTTCTCTTTACAGAGTTGTCTCCCATTTCTATAGGGGGTGATTTTTGGATGTGACACTTCCTCCTGCTTTTTAAAGAGTTGTCTCCCATTTTTAGGTCACCTGAGCTCTCAAGTGACCTATTCTGATCGCTTTCCGTCCGTCATCTTCTGTCGACTTCTTCTTAAGAACCAGATGGATGGAATTTTTCAAACTTGGTTAGAATCATCCTTGGTAGATGAGGCTACAAAATTGTAAAATTGGGATTCCTACCCTAACCTCTGGGGCCAGGGCAGGGCCCCAAAGGGAAAATTTACCAATATTTAAAAAAAAATAATCTCCAGACTCAGAGGTACTACAATCAATTTCTGTTCATGGATGGAAAGATCATCAAGGGCTTTATTTAAATTGTGAACTACAGGACCCCCGGGCCGTTCGTTCTCCCTTGGGGAGGGGGTAAAGTGTACTATAGTTTATATAGGGTAATAACACATTCGGTTGGGTATATTTTGACAATTTTTTGTTGGAAATTATTCTTACTTGGATGATTTGGAAATTATTCTTACTTGGTAAGAATCATCCTTTGAAGAAGATTGTTTTCAAATTGTAAAATTAGGTTTCCTACCCCAACCCTAGGGGCGTGGGCAGGGACCCGAAGGGACAATTAACTAATATTTCAAAAACTTTTTTCTCACGCCTCAGAGCTACTAGAGTCATTTTCTGTGCATGGAATGAGAAATCACCAGGAGCTTTATTTAAATTGTAAATTTCAGGACCCCTGGGCCATCTGTTCTCCCTTGGGGAGGGGGTAAAGTTTACTATAGTTTATATAGGGAAATACAAAAATGTACCACTTTTTGGTATATTTCATCCATTTTCAGCAGAAAATTATTCAAACTTGGTCAGAATCATCTTTTGGATTAGGGTATTACATATTAAAATCTGGATTCCTGCCACATCCCCAGGGGCTAGTACTAAATGGCCCCAAAGGGAATATTTACCAATATTTTAAAAATTCTTATCCTTTTATGACATGACAAGTATTGTATTTCACTTAGTTTACATGTTGATTTCCGCATCACATCTAAACAATAAAATTGAGCTACCAGTACCTATAATATAACACAGGTGACCACTTGGGCCTCTTGTTACACAGGGGTGATTTGTAGGATGTGACAATTTTCTCCTGCTCTTTACAGAGTTGTCTCCCATTTCTATACAGGGTGATTTCTAGGGTGTAGACAAGCAGCCTAAATTAGTGACATCACAGTTAAACAATTGAATAATATAATATTATTTTTTATAATCAGATTGTGTCATGGTAAAGCTTAGATATCTAGTATAAAAAACCCATTGTTTTTCACTGAAGAGTTGTTTTGAGGGGCAAGTAAGGGACCAGTAAGCTTTCCTAATTGTCAACACTTTTAGTGAGTATAAGGCAGGATTTTTATAAAAATATTTGAGATTTTTCTGTTTCACCCCAAAAGTGAGGATAGATGGCTTAATATAAGAGCCTACTCTTGTGCCAGATCCCTAACATTACATTCTGTATAATTTTATATTATGTACTGCATATTGTTTAAACTAAAAGCGAGGATAGTGATTCATTAAGTCTTACCATCATGTTGTTACTACTTTTCTTGCAGGCTGGCTGAGAACCGTGTTAAACCAGTGCCATCGCTAGGAACAAACCTCTGTCAGGATGATCTTGATGACAGCCTGACTCAGTATTTTGACAGTAACCGGTGTTTAGAGGAATTCTCCAGAACTAAATCTATGGAGGACCTCCTTTGCTTATGAGGGTGTCTCACCCATATAGTAGTCATCTTCAAATTTATAGATCACCAGGAGCGCTCAGTAGAGGGTAAAGTTTGATCTGCTCCATAAGGAAGGTCGGCAAAATCTTTAAAGTGCTATAATAGATACATTGTAATCCTGCAGTGTTTGTTTTTTTACAAGAACTTGAAATCTTCCACAGATAATCATCCTTGGATGTAGTTTTCTAACTGTTTATTTAAAGATGCCATATTTTTATGGGAACATGATATTGAGTTATGTTGCTCGTCCTAGGAATACCAATACCAGTGCCACACCCATTGTACCTGTATGAAACTTACTGTGCATCAGTGTAAATGACTTCCTCAAGATCCCTTACGATTGATCACCCTCAAGTGTCGCTAGATTGAATACAAAGGGCATCATTATTTTGAATATGAGGCAACATCACAAGGTTGAATATGAGGAGGCATTACTTGGTTGAATATGAGATGTCTGTGAAGTAGGTGCCAATATGTTTTCATTGATGTGCAGGTTGTAATGTGATTATCTTTTTTTTAGATTTTGTTTCTTTTCATACATGACATCAAGAGATGTGTTAATTTTATCATCTTCCATTTGATAGAAGTAATACTTGTATACTTTGTGTTGACACATCATCACTCAGAGACCGACACACCTATTAGGGATGATATCACAGTTACAAAGGAATTGGCATTATCACACAGAATAAACCCTAGCTGAATCAATGTCAGTCAAAGGTTTCTTCCTATACACATCAGATGTAATCAGGGGAAAATAAAATTATTTCCTGCTAGCTGTATGACAGGAATCAATCGTATTGCTCTGGTATGTTATAGTATGACATAGAATGACAATTCCTTGTACAGGGTTTATATTATCATAAGCAAGAGTGAAAAGTAATTTGGAATCATCAAACACATTAAGTTGACTGCTGAATTTTGTTGTATAACTAATGTTTTTTTGGTGATATTATTTTGTTTCGTGTTACAGTGACAGTGTAACTGTGTTGTTCCATGGTGCTTGTTCTGTGTGCCGAGTGTGGACGTCGTTGTCACTTTTGTCTGTGAAACCAGCTGTTTACGACATTTTATAGAGAAAATGTGATTTTGGAATTATCTTTTTAGAATCTCCGATTTATAGAAAATGAAGTTGTAACTTGACATAATTGTTTCTGTAAGTTCATGAAGAAAGATCTATTTTCTATAGTGATCTAATCTCATTCTACAAACCATAGATACTATTAAACCCCAGTAGCTGGATGTTATAGAATCTATAGTTATTATACATGTATGTATCTAAATCCACTCTGACTCTGCTGTGATGTCCACATGAAATGAAGGTAGTGCAGTCATCTGTTTTTTAAGACAAAACCATAGTAAAAGCCTGGGGAACACTTTCTACAGCCTGGGGTACACTTTCTACAGCCTGGGGTACACTTTCTATGAGCCTGGGGTACACTTTCTACGAGTCTGGGGTACACTTTCTACGAGCCTGGGGTACACTTTCTACACTTTTATCATTAAATTTATTTTTGTTTAATGAAAAGGTAAAACACTCTATGGTAAATAATGTTTATTGAACACTGAATTGACAAAAGTCAAAGAAAAAATCTACAAATATTGATATCTGTTTAGTGCCAGTGTCTTCTTATACAGTAACATGCGCAAAGGAATCAACAGCAGTTCCATAGTCTGACTTAAACTTTAGTTTTAATTCCTACAATGTATTGGTAACGTATATTGTGAACAGTGACATAATCTAGATATAATAACATGTGTTTAATCATTAATGAGTAATTGTTTTACTTTTCATTTTTATTATTCAAATCTGACAAGAAGTGAGATAATGTCATTATTCTAGATACTATCATTATTCATATAAACAGTATTATCCTTCACTAGTCAAGAAATACTCTGTGTAGGATACTTGTAGATATTTTGTGTAACTTTCCTTGAGTAGGATACAGATGGAAAAAGAAGTACAATATTGAGTAGGTTGATTACAAAATGTTTGCAACTGTTTTTCTCACCGAGTTAGTCAGATATAACTGACTATATCTCCATAAAGAAGTTTTGATGGGGGCCGTCCAATCAAAATGTTTTAAAAAGAGATAGTTATTTTGTATCTCTCATTCAGTAGGATACATATGATTTTTTTTTTTTTTCTCTCCAAAATGACATTTTTTTCTACAAAATAAATAAATCCATATTTAATGAGATTTTATGGAATGACAGATAAGGTTTGAAATCTAACCGCTGATGCCAACTGTCTACTGTCATAATAACACTACTACCTGAACATTACACATCCTTACTCGTGTCTACAGGGCATTGGGTATTATATGTAGTGACTTAAATAGATCTCGGGTTACTGACATCACTGTTTCACATGTGACCTATTCTGTCAGTTTTAAGGTTTAGATGAGTTTTATAATGTTTTACAACCATCAACTTTTGCCAGTAGATTTTCATAAGTATCCTTTAGCTTTAAACAGTATTTTGTATAGAAATTTCTCTCTTTTTTTGGATTTTTTTTTTACATTTGTATACTTTAAAAGTGTAATTTTTTGGATTTTGAAATGTTCTTGTGACTCTTCAAAACTAATGCAGTGTAGAAATTTAATTCTCTCGGTGCAAAAACCATGAGCATTTCCACACTACAAAACTTCCCACTTTTACAGTACTTTAGTAGAGTTGGTCCCTTGATTTTGATCTCATTTTATTAAAATGTTCTCAGAAAGTTAATTTACCAAAATTATTTACATTTGAAGACAGTACATGTACTTTATAAAGTACTTTATAAATTACCATCATTTGGATCTTATTTTTGAAGCACAAGAATATTCTCCTCGCAGTACTGATCACCAGACTGAGATGGGCTTGGACTTTCTCATGGCCTAGGATGTGGCTATTATATTGAGGATAACATGCCGTCACATACATGTTTGATATGTATAATGTATGATAACACCCATTGTTATGCCTCATTTCTCCAATCACCCACAATGCATTGTTTTGTCGTTTTACATTGTATAGTTGTATTATTTGGATGGTTAGGTAACAAAAATGCACTTGCCTGTTACCATGACAACTGAGGTTCAGATACGAAAACATACAACCCTGATCTGTGTGGTGGATGTGCTGCTTGAAAAGGTGTACAATCCTATCTGAAAAATATAGGAACATTTTCAGCCTTGACCTTTGGCAGCAAGATGAGTGTCCATAAACCTTCCGCTTCAAATTCCATTTATTTTTTATTTTTCACAGCATTTACCATTTAGTTTTTGTCATCAATACAAGTAGTATACATGTATCTGGTTGTATTGAGGGATACCTAAGTCCTTGTACATGACCAGTATGTAAAATACTCGCTGATCAGTTTTTGAGCTGTGAAAATTATTTTGTGGAGATGTGTATCAGGTATATATGTTATGTTTATGTTCGTATTTATCAAGTAGCATTAATTAAGATTTGTGTCCTTACATTTCGTTGATCACGATTTTGCAGATAGTTTTGGAGAGATGGATGGGTAAGGGATATGGGAGTGGAGAATATAATTACTGAATCTGAAATCAATAACATGTAGTTGTATATTGTGTATACAATGTACAGGATTAAAATATTTAACTGCAGTGTAAGTAACAAGTACGTAATGTTACAATATCATTGTTTTATATTTAAGATTTTACAAAACGCTGTCTAAATGATATTTAAGAGTATCTTGGAATTATGATAAGGGTTTTGTGAGATGTTAATGGCAGATTGATCACAGATAGAATCACATATTTATTGTTAATATATTGTTACCCCTAGTCCATTGTATGTGTGTATATGGAGATCCGGTGTTAATTGTAAATTTTTAACTGTGTGAAATAAAAATGCTGAATGTTACTCAATATAACAGACATATTTGCAGATTTATTCACATATTGAGAATATTTCTTGATGCATCATCAACAGGTCTATCTCATAGCTGTAGAAAAAAACCTCTTCATTTATTCAGACTCCTACATTTCAACACATTTTCAAAATTGATACAATACTATGCTTGTGATTATCTTGTTTACATTTACCTCTGATTTAAAGTAAAGTTAAATAGAACAGCTAATGTCTGTTGCATCTTTCTCATGGACCATTTTTTTTGCGATTCCTCAATGACTGTTCAGCAGTGTGACAGGTTATACCCTAGTAGTTCTACACTCACCAAGTCATCCTGGGATAACAGTCAGATCTTAAAAGAAATGGAAATAAAAAAATCATCCACATGAAACTGCATGTTGTTGAAATATACAATATTAAATAATTTGCCAAGAGAGATGAAATTTGGAGAAGATTTTTGTATAAGTAGATAAGATAAAATAAGATTTTAAAATTCTATTTGAATTAGAGTGGAGTTTCCCTAGAACATCCCGACAAGGGTGGTAAAATGAGACAGGACTTCTGAAGAGTATTCAGAGAAGTAATTGCCAAATAAAGTTCATGAGAAAGTGATAATGATAGTAGTGAATGTGCTGCTCTGCTATATACAGGTAGGGTGTATAACTATAGAAGAGCATGTCTGTGGTATACTGTGGTATACCGTAGGAAATGTATACTGTGGTATACAGCGGTATACTGTGGTATACTATGGTATGCTGTGGTAAATGTATACTGTTCTATACTGCGGTATATTGTTGTTTACTGCAGTATATTGTGGTATACTGTGGTATACTGAGGTATACTAATATATAAACTGTGGTAAACTGCGTTATACATGTATTGCTGAATGTGACCCAAACTAATTTGGTTAAATGTGGATTGGATCATTCTCATAGGCCGTATACATCTGTGGTAAAACATTTTGTTCATGTTTATTACCTCATCACTTCCAAAAGTGGTCTGTATGAACTGGTGTATGTCTGTTATTGTGCCTGATGGCTTCAATTATTGCTAACTTACTGTACATGAAGTCAACTTCAAGTTTGAAACTCTCAGCTGTTGCAGTATTGCTTGAATGTCTTGTTATTGTATGGAAGTATTGACAGTCTTGACATTGTTTTGAAAATGAATGCATATTGAACTGTTGGATATCATTTTGGTGGTAAATGCATAAAAGCTTTTTCTCATACTATAATTAATGTAGGAATATTTTTAATCTTTCATGATCAGTTTCCTTTTATAATGTGCAGATGGTTGATAAAATGCTCAATTTCTAATTGACTATGCACACGTGTCAATATCTTGTTTCACAGGTATTGGACATATATACATGTTTTATGTGTCCAGCACCTGTGCTGTATCTGTGGTAATATAGAAGAGGATTTATCTCTATAATTAGATCATACTTGTTTGTTTTCCTATTAGGCATGTGTAGCACATACACACATAAACCATCTTATATTGATAAGGTAAAAAAGTAGACAGATACATTCATCAACAAGTTAACTCTAGTTGTAGATTACCGGTAATAGAGTTACATGGGAACTGCAGTTCCTAAATATTGGCCAAATCGCTTCATTTTTAATGTTAAATGATATTTCCCATTGTATTGCTTGAACAACAACAACAACAACAACAACAACCCCTCGCTCTCTCTCTCTATGATTTCGAACCACCTTTTAAAACTCCTGGATTGACCTGTCTATACCATGCATGATGATTCACTTAAGCCTTTCACTCCTATGTAACTGTAGTAGACTCTACCATGCATTGATATGGATGTGTCCATTATGGTCTACAACAGTGAAAGGGTTAAATCACCAAACTTTATGTTGATGTATGAAGTCGAGGTATATCAAACTATTATTATTATTTTTTATAGATATTTGAAACAATCCCATTTATCTAATGTAATACTGTGGTTCAATTACATGGAGATAGTAAATTCTTCAGTTTGTATATCAATTCTGAATATGTGTCCAGAATTTACTAAATGAAGAAAAACACATAAATATGAACTTTTCTGATTATAATACCAGGAATATAAGAACAAAACTTTGTAAACAGATCTCCAGGGTTTTCTTATCTATTCGTACAATAATATATAAATATGCTATGTCAATCACCTTAATATAACTGTATGCTATAGGGCCCAATAAGTACTATGTATATCCTTCACTGTGTGTATTGAATTCCACATAACTGGGATTTTTCTTTGTATTTGTAATATGTCTGTTGCAATATCTCGGCTATTTACTTCTTATTAATTTTCACTGTTAAATCATTTGCATTCTCAAACATGCATTTTTTATAATAAACCGTTGACTTATTGTTCTGAGTTGTTATAGTATTCCTCATTACTTGGTGTTCCTCAGGGGTTTGTAAATGGAGACACTGTATAGACAGAGGCTTTGGTCAACTCCTACCAAAACACTTGCCATCTGATTGTATCCTATAATACAAACAACCTGAGGGGATGTGTTGGTTATTGTTCATCTAAGCCACCATTATGCCTTAATGCCAAATATCCCACAAACCATTAAATGTATCATCAACATACAGTTCACCATGTCATAATTTGCAGGTCCCTGTGGTTCAGATATCATACCTTTTTCAGGGGTGTACACTAGCCTGGGACATGTATATGTAGATTTTGTGTCCATGCTACAGAAACTTGAAAATATGATTGTGGTAAGTATTCTAAATATGAAATTGTCAATTTGGATTTAGTTCAATCATTTAATATTAATCAAAAACTTCACAATTCATGCATATGTATATATATTATATATAAGCAAAAAAGTTATAATGACAGTGCAAGCAAAGAAATTTGGTGAACTTTCCAGGCAATCCTCCTCTTTTTCAGACAAAAAATGGATACAGTATACACGTATATATATATAATATATGCATGTGTTATAGTATGCATTGTAATCAGATATATCATTTACAAGGGAGTATGAAACGTATACATGATGTCAATCACATATGTATGGTAATTTACATGTAATAATGCAAGCTATTACAAACATAAACAGTGCCTGGGCCATATTGTTTAAAAAGAGACTAGCGTGATGACCTGTTATAATCTTTAATTTAGGATTCTCAGATTTAAAACTAAAACAACGTTATAAAAAGTAATCTTATTAACCCACAAAACAAACAAAAACGTTGTTAATTTTCGTATTATTCTCAAAAATTGTATTGTTAGGTCTACTGACTCAACAGACCATGTGAGCTAATCCATGACCACCTGTACACAGTATTTTCTCTGAACAAAAGTCAATTACAACCAAACTTGTTAGGAAGTATCCCTGGTTGAGGTTGATGAAGATTTTCTAAAGAAAAGAGACTGACCGTATATGAGCTTATGAGGAGCAAAAAATGTAAAACAATTTGGGAATCTATTAATATTTTTTTTGTTATAACAAGGGTGAATTTCTGTCCGTGTCTTATTGATGCATCACCAACAGATATTGCAATAAAGGACCCAGCCGTTCACACATCACCTGTATCATCATCCTATGGTTCCAGTACATTGTATCATAACCTCCAAAGTTGTTGTCATACAGACTAATACATGGGTTTCAACACTTTGATTTTATAGTTAGGGTAGTCTTGGTACCGGAACACTGCCCAGACACTACCTTTACTGTTAATACTGATTGCCACGACATGCCAGGAGTCACTGTAAATGGATTCTACCTCCCCAGTAGTGTTGATGATTAAGATCGAGTTGTTTCCATAGTCACCAACTAGCAGGTTTCCGGCAGAATCAAAGGTTATGTCAATAGGGTGGAATGCCTTGGAAGTAGAACTTTCTGGAGTCGTCCCTTTGTCCTCTCTGTCACCATGGTAGCGGTGATATTCTTGGAACAATCTGTCAAGTACCAAGATATGAGGTCTTCCTTCGCCTTCATGCTCTCGTAAATCCAACTCCACAACTGCTATGTTCCCGGTGACTGGACATGCAGCGACCTTTGTTGGTGTACAAACAGTTCTGGTTAGCAGGACATTTCCACGTACATCACAACGCACAAGTTTACGGGTCATTCCGATAACGATGTTGCCTTCTTGTGTCACGCAGAGACATCGTGGTGCAGACGTAGTAGTGAGCCTTTTGATTGGTTCACCTTGTGATGGGAGTTCCATTATCGCGTTGTTGACTTCTGAACTTGCCCACACATTGCCAGTAACTGGTGACACACTTATATCACTGACACACACTTTGAAACACCCAGTTCCACATCTCCACACCTCATCATTTATCTGATAGATAGACGATACTTCGCTGCTGCAGATCCAAGCTCCCTCGTCTTTGTTGGCACAAATGGCGCTGACGTTGTATGGAGCTTTTCTTTGAACTTCTTCTTTCAATTGTGCCATCTTTTCCATCGGGGTATTGCATTCATTTTCTTCAGCATCATAAGCATACACGAACTGGTACCCAACAGTGGTCAATTTCCCCACCGCAAGGTCTAGGTATCCTTGAGGTTGCTTATTTGGTGTGAAAGTCAGATGGCATAAGTTCAATTCCACAGCTGGTAAAGGGCCAAGTTGTTTCTCTGTGTCAAATATCTCCACATCACTTTGGGTCTGTAAAGTGTCTCGACATTTCAGTACCAGTGTGTTTAGATCTTTAATTCTGGCCTCCATGTCGATTTTATACTTTTTCAATCGCTTTTCATTTTCCTGCTTGAGTTCTGTACAACGCGAGATGGATTTCTTGACAACAATGTCAATTTCGTCTTTCATCCTTTTCCCTTGCTTTTCGATCTCGTCTTGATGCATTTGAAATTTTCTTTCATTATTCTCTATTTTTTCTGCAATTGTTTCGACTTCTGTTTTCAGATCGACAATATCGTTCTGTTCAGTTTGGTCAATGAATGATTGAATATTACCTTTCTTTGAAGCCATTACGTCAGAGAGACTGTCCAATATGTGACCGTCGTGAACGCTGGCTATACAACGGATGCAGGCCAGCTCTGAGCACTCCCAACAGCACAGCGTCAACTCCGTACCGTGGTGGTGAACACATGACGTGTTACCTTGTACTCTTACCGGTATTTGAGCCCGAAAAACAGACTTCGACGCCATTGCAGAACTAGTAGTGAGTGTAATTGATTTTAAGCCTCATCCAACCGTGAAGTTATACCCGGAATTGTTCATGTAAACATACTGGTTTGTCTACAGTTTATCATAGCACAGGGATAAAGCCCGATGGACTGGTATGTTTTATGTTACGCATCACCAGAAAACAGGAACAGATTTGAGGGTCCGTTCAAATTATCAACGATCAGCTATGGGTACATAGGCCAAACTCGAACCTCCCTTCTTATTTCATACCGATCAAGTTTTACATACAGACAGTTGACTGCGCATGTGTCTTACTTCTAAAAATATCCACATACATGACAGCACGGAATTAGATTAGTGATGACACATAATACAGATGGCGGATCGACTTTCACTGGAGAAGTGGCGCTATGACTGCAGAAAACTTTGTATAATCAATATGTCATGTGTGTTGGGAAGACAGAAATGTTATCCACGGAAGGAGAATGCAATTTGCGTGTATGTAGAAGACAATTTTTCAATCTTTCTAACGATAACAAGCATTTTTTGTTAATCACCCAGAAATGGGTTTTTTTCGAATGAGTTGCGCGGGGTTGATTTTCCGACATTGAGAGCTTTCCACTTTTTCGTACATATAAACTACCATAGGGAGAGTCGTTTATACCGAGAGTTTATTTAAACCCCTAAAATATGTAATATTACTCTACTCGTGTGCGCTATAACTTCACAAAACTGTGGAGGATCGATCTGCCACCTGTATTATGTTTCCTTTCATATGTATTATTTTGAAGGTAGGACTCGGGTAAAAAATGACACGTTCAGTCAACTTACTCTGTATCTAAAACTGGATCGGTACGAAATAGGATGGGCGATTCGAGTTTGTTCAGAAAATACCAACTGTAACAAGTTCTTTGGTCTCTGTACGTGCTCACGGTCACCGGACCCTTTAAACAAAAAGACAAAAAACTGTTAGGAATTAATTACTCGAAATTCACACGCGAGCACGTTGTCCTAACCTTGGCGTGCCACTGACTTCTCAACATCAAGCGTGCCATAGGGCTTGGTTGGCGACATACTCCCCATCGAGATTACCAAAGAGCTCGGGGCAATGGAGACTGATGCTTTTTGCAGGCGATTCCCTGTTCAAACGTTTTCGTTCAGACAGTCGACGTCGTGCATAACGGTGTTTTTGGGAAAGCGTCGCCACCTTTTGTTTTTGACAGGGATTGGTTGTGCATTAGTTACGGTTTGGGGATGGATTCTCATGGCAGTGCATTCCTTTAACCTTTAAGCAGAAGTAAGATACAGGGATGAAATCCTTCGTCGTGTCTTATTGCTCCCTTGTGTAACAGGTCTAATTGTTTATACCCGAATCGTTGTAGCAGCAGGTTGTCGACACTTCGTGGCTAACTGCAACATTAACCCATTGGACTGATCGTCATACAGTTCCGATTTCACGGTTCCTTACCGAGCATTTGAAAACAGAACTGGATAGGATAGCTTTCAATCTTTTTAACTATTTTATTTATCGCAACATCTTTGACTTACAATTGGTATAAAGAGATATATAAATACCAAGTTTCTGGTACAGTAATAAGCATGCATGGTTATACAGAGGGATACAGTATAAAAGAAATGGAGGTGTACTGCAGTTACATATACAAAATACTTTCATGCAGGGGAACAGACAGAGTTAATGTTTTTGATAAAGGTACATATTTTCTTTAGCGATGCTTTTCTTTTAGATGACATTATATTACACTATGCCGTCTAATTAACATAGAGGATATGATTATTTTTATTTCATTATCTAATGCCGAACATTCAAACATATAATGAAATTCGTCTCCAATATCTCTTGCATTACACAATTGATAAACACACGTCAATGTCTAGGTATATTACTCCATATTCCGGATTCTACAGGTAGGTTCTAAACCTACAAAGAGTATAGGCATATTTTCTTTATATGTTTGAGTAGTTTCGAACACAACTTCTTTCTTAAAAACTCTATATATGGTGGATTTTGGAAAGTCTCTGCATATTTCTGCCCAGTTTTGTTTGAACTGATCAGTCCAGTTAAGTTGTTTTTTTGAAACAAGCCACATTGGATTAATTGGATTTTGATTTAACCAGATATTAGAACGTCCGCTATTGTTCAGAGTACTCTTTCTGCTTTCTATCCATGCGAAGGAACCATTTTGTTTCGCTGATGATAATTAATAATCTAAACAGAATATTACTTATTTTTCTTTCTTTACCTCGAATCAGTATTGACTAATATGTTATCATTCTGGTCTTATTTTCTATACCACGAGGATGCCTGCCGAGCTCTCCATAAACCAGGATGTCATGAGGAGTAGAAGACTTAAGGTGAAGTAACAATTTGCAGAATATTAAATGGACTCTTTCTATAACGGTACTATAAGAAACTTTACAACCATATTATAGAACTGGTGTAACAATTTTGTCAAACAAATCCAGTTGACACTGTATTGTTAGATCATGTAATCTACCCTTTGCAGATTGTATGATGGCAGGTCAGTTGGTTGAGTGAACAATTTTCCAATATTCAAATCAAGCTTTGATAGATTTATTGGGGGTGGGGGTGGGGTGGGGTGGGGGGAGGGTATATCAGACGAACTACAAGATCATAATTTAACTAACGGGGTATTAGTAGTACCTGTCTTGTGCTTCAAATACTGTGGAATGATATAGGTAACCTAGTAATGGAATTTGGTGAATTTTCTCACAAACGATAGATCTTTATTCTCATAAAATACTATGAACAGCGCTTGATCCGTTACTTTTAACAAATTCAAAAATTTACATTGCTTTTTTACATGTATGCATTAGCTTCATAAATTACTGATAAGGTCAATATTATACAAAATACCAGGCGTTAGTTAAATGTTTTAATTAAGAAGCAAATATTGCAAGAAATTCAAACCATCTTTTGTACCAGTGCCAAATATCTTATCAGATTAACCATTCAATTTTTTATATATACAAATGTATTTCTTTTCAAAAATATTAAAATTTGAATTAAAATTATATATGTAGGAATCAAAAGACCTTCTGGAAACAGAATACAAAAAAATATCAATTATTTCCAAAACAATACATTTCTCTAAAATACAGTTTATGCGTAATCGGCATTTTAAACCCTTAAAAAGCTTTGAACTACCGAAGATTGTCTGGTTATTTCAGGTCTTATAGAGGAGGTGCACATTGTCTGAACATTAAAAAAAAATCTTATGCACACTGGTCTTCATTGAGACACATATTCACCTTTGACCGATAGGTGTGACATTATTTAATCAAACGACACATTGATTAATTAAGGCGCGGCTCCAAATGACCTACGTTGTAATAGGAGATCTATGAATATCTCATGGACAACGTAGACTACGTTTCCTATCAAACAAGTGATGTTTTTTTCCCCAAATACACTTAAAGCTGAAGGTAGTTTTTAACACACTATTCGAACAACGATTATCGCTCGTAAAATAAACTCAAGTTGCCGAGGCAAAAGCTGTTTAGACTGACTGACAGCTACAAGGTGAGGTTTTTGCTGTACTATCATCATATATGTACAGGACAGGACCTGGTAATTAAAAGCATTTATACTGTTAGATCATTTTTAGTGTGAAAGTGCTAAACAAAATCGATAGAGGCTTAAATATCAAACACGAAAATATTGCCACCATCCATATCGGTGTTTCTTCACACCTATGAATGAATGTATCATTTTTTTTATAGTACAAATACATCGCCATACATGTATTTACTTGCCATACAGATTAAACATAACCCGTCTAATACATGGGTTTCAACACTTTGATTTTATAGTTAGGGTAATTTCGATACCGGAACACTGCCCAGACACTACCTTTACTGTCGATTTTATACTTTTTCAATCGCTTTTCATTTTCCTGCTTGAGTTCTGTACAACGCGAGACGGATTTCTTGACAACAATGTCAATTTCGTCTTTCATCCTTTTCCCTTGCTTTTCGATCTCGTCTTGATGCATTTGAAATTTTCTCTCATTATTCTCTAATTTTTCTGCAATAGTTTCGTTTCTGTTTTCAGATCGACAATATCGTTCTGTTCACTTTTGTCAATGAATGATTGAATGTTACCTTTCTTTGAGGCAACAATGACATCAGAGAGGTTGTCTAATATGTGACCGTCGTGAACGCTGGCTATACAACAGATGCAGGCCAGTTCTGAGCACTCCCGACAGCACAGCGTTAACTCCGAACCGTGGTGGTGAACACATGACGTGTTGCCTTGTTCTCTTATCGGTATTTGAGCCCGCAAAACAGATTTCGACGCCATTGCAGAAGTTATAATGATATAATTAGCAAACGATTCCTCCGGTAATTTATCGGATTACCTCAGGAATGTCAGACAGGTAAGGTGAGTAGAGGTCTGTCAGGGGTTATCTGTCTTTGCATCGTTGACTCTACACATACACACTGACGCAGTACCGAGCTTTGAATTTAAATTATCTTTGCCAGGTTTGGAAACGTACAAATGCAAATTTAAATATACACAAGCGGTTAAGTAAACGTAGACTAGCAAAGTATTACATTCCATATATCAGGTTGTTTACGCGTACTACTTTTTTTTTTAATTTATTCGTAATAATATTTTTACGTGTGAATCTAGCGTTTCATCTCTATGCATATCCTATTACGGCAATGCGTAGAAAACAATCGCGAGGGTTTTTGCGCTGTTTATTATTTACAGAATGATGTACTGTTGACATAAAGACCCAAATGAATCTCTCAAGTACTTTGTCTTAGCTCGTAACTATAACTGAGAAATAATCAACTTACTTGCATATAGCATAGTGAAATACATAACGATGATGAGAAAATGCCATGCAAAAAATAATTAACGTAGGCAGCTTCCGTTTGTCTAAATTATTTTCCAATATTAACAAATTCCAATATATATATATATATATAAAGAAAACATTGAGAAGTCCTTGTGTTGGAATTAAATATAAAAAGTAGAACAAAAGACAGAGATAGCGTCTCTAGGCCTTTCTCGGGTTGATTCCCCGTTCATCAGGAGACTGTTTATTTTGAAAACAGGTATTGTGAGGTCATAGTTGTTTACACAAGAAAGTATGACGTCATCAATAATGCAAAGTCATTATGACGTCACAGAAGGCATACACATAAATCCATGACGTCAACAACAATACAAGCTAAATTGTGACGTTACATTACTTAGACAAATGCATAACTTTATGATCTTACCAACAATAAAAAATACGGGAGATACAAATTGTTTCATTTACGGCAACAATAAAATATGAACAATAATATTTAAAGCACAGCAATTGCTTAAAGCATGACACGTTGAATTAAATGTGAACTATTCAGACTGGGTTTCAACAGTTTCATTAACTCCCGACTCCTTAACTTCCCTCTAACGTAATTGTGTAACTGTTTAACCATGTAAAACACCGAGGAAAAAAATAAACATTGCCGCCTCGTTGATGATAAAACGATTCAAACCTTCATAGGACACAAACTAATCATTATAGCATGACTTGTTTTTTCATGATATACATATTTTTTTCTTTCTTTTTAATTACATTTTCAACCAAATAAATTAAGAGATAATATCATTTTGCCGATATTAACCCATGGATTTTGACGTGGAAAAACAGGAAATAAAAAGGAGTTTGCACCTTTTATTTCGAAGTGATTCTTATATATGAAAGATCTCCATTTTTTGGAATAGAGACTAAATAAGAACACTCGGGCGAAATCGTACCAAAATATTAGGTGAAAAATGAAAAAAATACATTACGAAAAATTCTGGAAATAAAAATTGAAAAATTTGGCACGTCCGGCTAATTCGTTACAATATATAAAATTTGATACATAAATTTCACAAAACCATAATGATATCAAATACAAGTATTTAATATTCTGTACGTATATTTAAATGTCTAAACCTTTTTATCACACCACCCTGAACTCTTTAAGGGTGTTTATTGTAAACTTTACTAATTCCAGTTCTTCACCATAAGGACATCTTATCTAGGTCGTCTTTTGCTAATACGATAACCTATATTTTATTGACATAGACTGTAAGTTTTCAACTGGTACAGTCATTACAGACACACTTGATTTTGGAGTTTGTTTATTTAAATTATTGTGTTGAAAATAAAACTGTACATCCAATAATCCTTATTCTGAAGTTGAGACGAAGTTCATTTTTCAACTTTTCTGTGAAAGCTTTAAACCCCGACGATTTTTCATAATATAGGGAGAGGCTAGAAGTGTCACTTTCTATCTCAGATTAAAATATGCTTGAAAATACACAATTGCTTTATTCTTATGCCAAAACACACTTGCTAGATGTGATTAGTTTTCAATACACGCTATACTTACTCTTGCGCTCAATACATTATAAAATGTAGCCTTCAAGCATCCTCGATACTCCAGTGATTATGTTCTCTTTCGCTCTTATGCAGAGAGCGTAAGTGAGTGTAACCCATGGAGAGTCGTAAGTGAGTGTAACCCCTGGAGTGTCGTAAGTGAGTGTAACCCCTGGAGTGTCATAAGTGAGTTTTACCCCTGGAGTGTCGTAAGTGAGTGTAACCCCAGGAGTGTCGTAAGTGAGTGTAACCCCTGGAGTGCCGTAAGTGAGTGTAAACCCTGGAGTGTCGTAAGTGAGTGTAACCCCTGGAGTGTCGTAAGTGAGTGTAAACCCCTGGAGTGTCGTAAGTAAGTGTAACCCCTGGAGTGTCGTAAGTTAGTGTAACCCCTGGAGTGTCGTAAGTAAGTGTAACCCCTGGAGTGTCGAGGAGGATTGAGCTGTAGCCAGAATCTACGCTCAGTATTCACATCATCTGTATAACCTTCGACCTTATGGGTACATTTCGAGCTCTTCCCTGCAAGTTTCAACATAAGAGTATATGCTGTTACACAACAAATCTACCCAAGTCTAGTGAACACGGTAAATGTTCTGCTCACACAAAAATGTCACTGAGTTGTCTTATCCTCTTTCGGGGTCGCACCACAGGATTCTTTATATCGCCAACGAAAAAACGTAGCACGCCGTTCAGGAGGAGTGAGAGTGACTCTGGCTCGCGCTCGTACGCGTGCATAATTGAGATCATCGATACGGCATAGAGTAGCACGGATCCGTAAGGCACGTCTATGTGTGATGCCAGTCTATGACCTTTAATCCAAGTGTATAAGGCGTACAATGTGTGAGGTATCAAAAACAAGGACAGTTCTTTTCGACGATTTGCACGTTCAAAAAGCACGCTTAGTCCGCAGACAAGTCCGCCCACCACGGGAATGTAGCTAGGCAAGGGAGGGGGCTTGTTATTGAGGTTTCTCAGAAGACAAATTGTGTATTTCGCAAGCATCACCATGGAAGCCAGAAAGGACGTTGAAAACAGCATATTCCTCACCAAAGATTTTAGAACTCTCTTCGGTCTGAAATGTAGAACAAATATCGTCAGTTTTTAAATACTCCGTGTAAACATGAATCTTATTAAAAAGCTAGAGAATCTCATATACGTGTAAGCTTATATTGCAAAATGAATGTACATTGTCGGAACCATCGCAATCGGCGGTTACATATTTTGAATCTTCATACTTCTCTCTTAGTACATAGGCACTTGAATTGAGCCAAAACTAGTAAAAAAACGACATGTTCGAAGCTGATTGGCCTCTATAAACACGTGTATAGACGCCAATGATTAAGGCTCCTAACCGGTCCTGTCTTTCTCAAGGCTATACTCAAGTAACGGTGCTTAGTATAATTACTTTAGGTTGAACTGTTAATGACTAGATAGAATCGTTTTAATAAACTATAACAGACTTACTTTTCAATGACGAGTTTCCGTCGGAAAATTATAACAGGTGCTAAATGTATCGGCAGGTACAGTTTTGCAAATGCAGGAATACTGAATATCATGTCTTTGAATGCGTGCTTGGTACAGGAATCAGAGTGTAGACCGACCTCCTGACACGTAAGGAACCTATCACCGGAATCTCTGAAGAGAATCTGTAGAGTTTTGTCCTTGTAATCCCGCGACCACTTGAGCACAGAGTAGTAGTATCCCTTGTGGAGGAGGTCCGGGCGAAGGGCAACACAGTGGACCAAGAAACCACAACACACACTAAACAGTAAGGTCTCACTGTAGGGGATTTCTGGTATCTTCTCTCTTGTGACCAAGGTAGAGACGAGGGCGCCAAAGGCACGGGACACGGCGAATAGCGTGTAGATGAGTCGCCTACTCGGGTCTTCTATACCAATGGTGAGACCAGCCAGACCCCCAGCGATACAATTGTTCCAGCCATCCTAAGTTATGCACAAACAACGAATGTTATTAGGTTCGCATCACTGGTTCAACAATAAACATCCTAGCATACATACATTACTAGATGCGGCGTGATCGAAAACACACAAATACAAAATTACTTTAAAAAGAGTCATGGGTTTCTTCTCTGCTTTATTATGTTTTAAAAGAAAACAGCATTTATTATTGGCAGCTGGTGCAAACAAAAACTCTCAAATACACTAATATATGTAATATGTTAATATATGTACATGTGTCTAAAATAACCCTTTTTAATGACGTTGCTGCTGAATTTTCATATAGAGCAAATTTTCAAAAGTCCAGTTTATGAAATATTGATTTGTTTTCCTTCACTTTTACCTTTGAATTCCTTCGTTCCTGTAAGATCTCTCTGGCGAGTTCGTAAGTGCTTGGATAGAGACCGAGGAATCCAGCAAACCGGAGGCAGTCTTTCGAGAATATCTGCTTCAAAATATCAGGAAGTCTGAAAATAGCGACATTGCTATTGACTGCACATGCTCATTCCTTTATCATCTACATAGAATTGCGAATATTAAGCAATTAGCAACTATGAACATTTGTGTGTTTACAGTTCTTGGTACTATATCTGATCTCGGACACCTTACAAACGATATGAACTGGGCTAAAGTATGTTCATATAAATTACCAATAGCAATCATCAATTACCGTTAACAAATTCTGTTAATATTCATGCCTACGAAGTATATTTTACATTTATATTTTGTGGAGGGGGACCAAAAATATAAGTTAGGGTATATTATCTCTTTAAATTGATAACGAACATACCTATCATAACTAAGGCAACACTGACTATCAAATAATAAACCCATGGAGTGCTAACTGTGAAAAATGTAATGACTTATATTCCCTAATGATGACAACGGCTTTTTACTGGTGCCTAAATCAGAATCATTTGGTGATTGTAAAAGTAAGTTCAATATGTCGTTAAGATTTCAGAAATAGCCCCATAACAACCATGAATACATAAGTGATTCCTGGCGAGTTAGATGGTGTTCGTAAAAACTTGAAGAGTGCACTTTCCTTGACAGAACATCTATATCAAGCTACAATATTGATTAAAGAAACAACCTTCAGTGAATCAAAGAAAGAAATATGAAATAATAAGTAAATCGTAGAAAACGTGATGGAAGCGATTACCAAGGAGCTGTTACAGATATAAACCTGTCGACGATTACCATAAATCCATACATACAATATACGCATAACCTAAGGTAAACAAATACCTCCATAAAAATGGTAGAGGTACTACTAAAGGAGCGACGTTTATGCCTGTAACATATGCATATGTATCTAACCATTTTCATCATATCAGCTGTTGATCCTCTCTAGTCCTATAATCTGTCGTTATTGCCAGTATAGATATTTTAACTTTTTGTAGAAAGCCCGATAGCTTTGTCGATAATGGTGAATTCGTGCATAACAACACGTTCCTAAGGTCCCCACGCGTGGAAGCACCTCCATGATTTTGAAACTGGCCGACATCATATTGAAGCAAGTGTGCGACTATAAGGGAATACTGACCATACCATACCTTATCCGTAAAAAAAGCCTCAAAGCATGCAGCAAATGAAGCAGAAAGGCGCACTGTCATCAGGAAAATGGTAGACGAAGTACCTATATGATTGTGTGTGTATGGTCAGCTCATTTACTCTCCCTAATACAGTACAGATGAAACATTGACTTGACATTGTATTCTGGTGTGATCAAAGCGGAAGGTTCTGGTGAAGTAGAACTGACCAGAAGACAGGAGTGTCCATACAAACTACGCAATGACTTGTTTACATAGAGCATAACACAAGAGTGGTCAACTCCTAAAGGAGTTGATTGCATACATGGGTGAAATGCAAAGGCTCGTACAGGTAGCTGAAAGACATCAATTTGGGTAAGGAGAGAGGTACAGTAGTAGGAAGTTCACCGCTGGAGCACTGACTGATCACCACTATGGACACCCATCCATCGGGTTCTGAGCGAACTAAGGTTAGAAACAAGATGACAAATGGACTCGTATGATGATAGACAATGCAATGATACAGTTGGTTTAAGAGTTCCTAGATCACATTTAAAATTGAACCAATATTTATGTTACTTTCGCGTATGAGTTTACCGCCGATATCCTTCGTAGCTAAACATTATTGTGTTAGTACTGTAACATGAAAGAGAATTGTGTGCTTCCACCGTGGATCGAACACTCGAGGGAGAGGATTATTTCTGGCCGACATTCAATATATATTATATGTATCGACGGCTCCAGAATGGGGCAGCGTGTTCGTACCATGTGTTCTTCAGCACAATCTCCATAGCATCTCGGACAAGCAGGAGATGACCGAGGAAGGGAACTATCGAGAACCTGCAAAGAAGGGAGAAATCAACAAGTGGAGAGACAGCACACTGCTGTCCTATCCAGCAATGTGTACAGCCATATCATCCTCCAGTAAATCTGAGCAGTAATTAACACCTCACAACACCAGGAACAAAGCCGCACACTCTTGTATTGATTGTATGCATCTTTCTTTGCCGATAGAACCTAAAACAGTTACTTGATTTGAACAGTTCTCTCTACGCGGCGTTTTTTAACGTCTAATTAACAGCTAAAGTCATTTAAGGACGTGCCTCAATGTATTTTAGTGTATGCGTGCTTGCGTGTGTGTATGCAGGAGACAGGGAATGTTGGTGTACTTGCCTCCTTGTCCTAGCGCGGATCTGATGCCGACTTTAAAGTAATATCTCACTATAATACCCTGCCGAAGGCACCCAGCACAGCATTCCACCCGGTCTCATTATACTGACAACGGGTGAACCAGTTGTTGTCATTTACCCTAAATTCTGAAGGTTAAGCAGGGAATAACAACTACTGTTTTAAGAACTTTGGTATGTCCCGGACTGGGGACATAACCCATTGCCTTCCTCACCTGGGCGAACGCTCAACATAAAGGCCAAAAGTGAGGTGATGCCAAGTAAGGCGCTAGGAAATAAATAGTAGTTAGAAGTAGAAAGAAAGATACAGATCCCAAATATTGCAATGAGTGCAGCAGATGGTCGCATTTGTGTCCCCAAAAAGATGACACCAAAGCAAATCCCCAATTCTGCCGGGGGTTCGCACATTAGTTGCCTCCTACGATAAATGCAGTAGGTAACAGCAGGTGTATTCTTTTCCCGATCCTCCACCTGCAGGGGTGCCACGTTTTGGAAGACTAAAACTACACAGATGGCCTTAGGCTACTGTCCAACAAGTACACTTGGACCAAGACATCCAGCAGAAGACAGGGAACATCAATAAGACTGCCAAATTTTTGCGGGTGAATTCAGCAACCAACAATCCGTCCACAGTCAATGGAAATCTGCTGGTGGACGAGAAGGATTTGGTGATTTGAGAGATGACGACCGCGCCCAGAATGTCAAAACTAGGAGCAACAATCGTGATCCAGATCCTGCTCACTCCATAGAAAGGAGACCTTAGAGGAGGCGAACCATTGAGAGGGGCATTGAGATCAGCGTAGAGAAATGATTAATCAATGAATAAGAAATGGGAAAAAAACAACAAAAACAAAAGCTAACGATTTTATTTAAACTTATATGCTGCCCTACTGTGACACTTATTCTCCTCTTCAAAAGAGTTACACACTTGAAAACCTGTACAAGATCTTCAGAACGGTTCAATTTGAAAAAGGTTGATAACTAATGAGGATACAGTTAAATTTTAAAGTACATAAGGATGAATGCATTGATAACACGCAGGTAATAATGAAGTTCAATAGTCAAGGGAGATAAATCTAAAACGAATCTGATGTATCATACATGTATATCCCTGACGCAGACTGTGGTACACCAATTAAAATATCGAAAATTCCGTATTTTGAAACATATCATATAAGGAAAATAATGGTAAAAAATAATATACTTATATTTATTCTGAATCAATTCCCATGCAGACATCTATCTATAGAATAGCATTTACCTTTACAGAGAAAATGTACGACCTTTTGATATTGTAGTGCTAAGTTGAATAATTCTGTAAAGAAAATCACTTACAGTTAGTATCATACAGTGTCAATTTTACATGATAGCGTGTCTCTGTTGGTGTACACACCTAACCGATATAGGGATTGGTATCTCCCGGTAAACTTTGTAATATAATGGATGGAGCTACTATCACAGTAATTACAGCAATCAAATGTTTATAGATGTTTGTAAATCTGAAGCTCATCTAACTAGGGATTTGAATGAATATCAAAACAAAGAGATAATGAGTAACACTAAGTTTATCTTCATGGCTTACCTTTCCCTGAACGGGTTTCGCATGAGAGCCGACACGCCCATCACTCCTCCGTAAAGGGCAGCACCACTTGTGAACCCTTTGAGGAAGCGCGCTAGGAACATTTCCACTGTCGCGGGAACATTGTGTCGCCATTGGCGCTCGTTGCCCCTGTCGTCCGATGCAGCGTCCATTACAACTGTTCACCGCTATATTCCTTTTATGACCTCAAATATACATATCCGCATGGAAGTGTTAGATATACACGTTATCGCTATCACATGCTAATATTATAGAATGTGAACAGATAACTGTGCGGTACTGATAAAACTGAGTTTATTGGACCCAGTTGTAGTGGTACGGCACGAGCAGATAAATAACAAAACTCGCTACCCCTTCTCCTCATCAAATAATAACAAATACCTTAAAAAACCTTTAGTCTGATGCGTGATGTTGTTTTACCATGGCAAGCCAAGTTGTCATTTATTCATGGAGCAATGTTGATCCAGTACTTAACCAAATTATATAAGATATCTTATATAATTTGGTTATGCACAATCAAAGTTAAAACGTGATTTTCCTGTTTTACAATAACGCAAAACTGTGACACAGTCAGTGATACGAAGTTGTGGTAATTGATTTAAAGTAGCCCGAGGAAGTACAGGTCAGAAAGTTAAAACCAACGAACGCGTAACTGGGCTTATTCAATCTATGAGGGTATATAGTCGTATAAGTGCAGATGGTTACGTATATCTAGAGAGTAGGTAAGTGAATCCAGGATGACATAGATATAATCTTAAGTCTCAACTAGTGTGGAAGTTGTAAGGGACTGTATAAGCAAACAATACAGAAATATGGGACGGGGTGATAGAGAAATATGGGATAGGGTAAACAATACAGAAATATGGGACGGGGTAATAGAGAAATATGGGATAGGATAAACAATACAGAAATATGGGACGGGGTGATAGAGAAATATGGGATAGGGCAAACAATACAGAAATATGGGACGGGGTGATAGAGAAATATGGGATAGGGCAAACAATACAGAAATATGGGACAGGTTAGTAGAGAAATAAGGGATAGGGTAAACAATACAGAAATATAACAAGGTGTGAAAAAGAAGTTTACAATTATAACGGAGCTATTAGGAAATTACTTTTTAAATTGAAAACTTTTTGGAATGTTAGCACATGGACAATTAAGTAAAAATCACACCTTCATTTAAAAATGGTACAAACAGACTAACAGTTAAATGTAACGGCAGTCACGATACGTATATGTATGATAAGGGGAGAAAATCAACAGAAATTAATCATTTTTAGGCTTTCAGGAGGTCTATGAACTCTGTGTTGTCATAAAACAACCAGACTTGTAACAATGATATATGTTATGATGAACATTGTGTTGTGTTTATACAAAGGCACAATGGCATAGACATACTGGGTTTGGTCTACAGCAAACGGACACGAGAATCACAGACTAACCTTCCTATGAGCAGCAGAACGAGGAACATTAAGTTACAGATATCGTGAGTGGACTTCAACTAAAGGAAGAGATTCTGGAACCCACTTTCCGCACAAAGACAATGAAGCTTATTTTCCTAGGAAATTATATTGTAAGAACTGTGTTAAAGATATTCCAGAACTATGCGCGCGTGTCGGATGTGGATTTCTACGAAGGGTGAGGACCCGGAAACCACAATTCCAATATGACGAACTTGGATAATTATGTGTGTGTACAAATATAACAATTCCATTTTTATTTTCCTTCATTATCTTATTCCATGGATATTATCTACGTGTGTGCACTATTGATCTAATTAACATTATTATGTGAACTTATTTTGTCAGGCCGTGACTTGTACATCATATCTGTCTTAGGGGACAGTATAAGATGTTAATAAGATGTTCAAAGAAGAAGTAAGACGTTGGGTGGCATTGAATATATAGCATTGAGTATATGAAGACTGGTAAGGGGGATGGGGTGGCGGGTACTTAAACAGAAAATGGGTTGTTAGAATGTTTAATTCCTACTTAATAGAACTTTGATTACACAATCAAATTTCTTAAGGAAAAAGGGCACGAATGTGACACAGTCAGTGATACGAAGTTGTGTTAATTGATTAAAAGTAGCCCGAGGAAGTACAGGTCAGAAAGTTAAAACCAACGAACGCGTAACTGGTCTTATTTAATGTATGAGGGTTTAGTCGTATAGGTGCAGATGGTTACGTATATCTAGAGAGTAGGTAAGTGAATCCATGATTACATAGATATAATCTTAAGTCTCACCTGACCAGCTATGCATGTACCAATAAAAATGAGTATGATGGGTTTATGGACCTTATGGTAGAGGATGGCTGGAGGCAACGTTATAATCCTAGTAACATGGATGATGTGGGTATGGTGTATAAGTATAACCAAGAAAAGAGATAATGTCAGAAGGGCTAGGGACGGCTAGAGAAGAGGCTAGAAGGGCTAGAGACTGCACTTGGGTACAGCTACAGACGAGAGACCGATCCTAACACTTGAGGTTACGAGAATAAACTTTTAAGTGACCATAAACACTTGTTCACTCGTGCTTTGTTACCGGACAAAGAAAACGAGAAACTAATATTTCTGTTTAAATCACACAGGACAAAAACACAAAAACGGCTATCCCTGTTTATAATCACACTGGACAAACAAAACGAGAAACGGCTATCCCTGTTTATAATTACACAGGACAAACAAAACGAGAAACTGATATCCCTGTTTATAATTACACAAGACAAACAAAACGAGAAACTGATATCCCTGTTTATAATTACACAGGACAAACAAAACAAGAAACTGATATCCCTGTTTACAATTGCACAGGACAAACAAAACAAGAAATGGCTATCCCTGTTTATAATTACACAGGACAAACAAAACGAGAAACGGCTATCCTTGTTTATAATTACACAGGACAAACAAAACGAGAAACTGATATCCCTGTTTATTATCACACAGGACAAACAAAATGAGAAACTGATATCCCTGTTTATAATTACACAGGACAAACAAAACAAGAAACTGATATCCCTGTTTATAATTACACATGACAAACAAAACAAGAAACTGATATCCCTGTTTATAATTACACAGGACAAACAAAACAAGAAACTGATATCCCTGTTTATAATCACACAGGACAAACAAAACGAGAAACTACTATCCCTGTTTATAATTACACAGGACATCAACACTAGAAACTGTTATCCCTGTTTATGATCAAAGATGAATATAAAATTCCATGAGAAGATAAATGTAGTCCAAATATGGGTGAATTGTAATAGTTTTCCCTACACCCAAGCAGTCCGATTCCGAGGTCCTAGCCGGTGTTGAATGATGTTAAAATGAAAAAAATAATAAATGTTCAAATTATCCCTTTCATTATAAATTCTTTATGATAAAGCTATGGTAAGATTGTGTGGAGGAATCATACAAAAGGAAGAAGTCAACGTATCATGATTTGTTTGGTAATTGTCAGATATGGCAGGTTTGGTGTCTCCCATGGTGGAAGTAGGGTGCAAGGGTTTCGAAAAACAGTTTCTAGGCATGAGAAGAGCCATATATGTTTGCAGTCTGTTAATTGATATGCAGAGGCAGCGCGTGTGGTGGAAGCGGAGAGAACAGTGGGCTTCACAGAGAGTGTGGTGTACACGTATACATTTGTATGAGACGTTTCCCATCCTCGATATCCAGGGGTTACGTATATATACGTTCACTAGTTATTGCTCTCTGCACCCCTGTCATCGCTAAATCGAGGCTCGGTTTGTGCCACTTTTCTGAATGAACCAAGAAGACTAGTTTGATCCTTTAATGTAAATCGAAAGTATCGTTCGGTCGCATAACGGTAAAATTGACTAGCTTTGAAGTCGAATGTCGTTCCTTTATAATCGTCAAAGGACAGGTATCAGCCTAGCGATTTGGTCAGGATTTTGTTTACCTAACACCAATTTAATAACTAGCAACGTGCCTTCAATATGCTATGACATTTTAGCCCAACCCCTGGTGTATTGCGTCCTCGATATCGCTATATCTGCATTCCTGGAATGTGTCATAGCAAAATTGAAGGTACGTGTCTAGCTATTCGATTGGTCTCGGGTAAAAAAATAAGACCAATCACTAGGCTTATACCTGTCCTTTGCAGATTACAAAGGAGCGACTTCAAGGCCAGTAAGTTTTACCGTTACGTGAATGCGAGATTCTTTTAGTGTACATCAAACGATTAAACTAGTATTCTCGTCTCGTTCACAGGGTGGTACACACCGAGCCTTCAATTTTGCTATGACATATTCCAGGGGTGTAGAGAGCGAAAGTGAAAGTGGATATATCGAGGATGGGAGTATCGAGGATCGACCATTCCACGAGAGACTGTATGATAGGTGCTGTAAATACACAAGTATGGTTTTAGTCTATGACCTGTAATAGCTGTATCATGACCTACCGTGCTTGGGATCATTATAATGGTTACAGATTCCTAGTGCTTGAGGGGATACCTGCCAACATTTACCCGATTGACAGTGTGTTGTTACTTGATGAAACTAATCTCATTATTAAATACAGATCTAGAGGAACTTGTGATATTCAACATCAATTTCTTTCATTACTGATAGGTTAATTCCTTGTTTGATATTGTAATAATATGTTTTCAACTCACTTTATTCTACGTTATTGACATTAAGAGACGAATGGGTTATTATTGATTCTAACAATGTTTTAAGCATTCTATTTTTGCTATAAAATTTCATGAAAGTAAAAACATGAAACACGTAGAATATATTTTGAACATGTGAATCGATTCATCAAATCCAGCAATATAGTTTGAACGATGTTTTTATGTTGTGTATTTGTGTCTGTGTGAATATTATATATATTTATTCATGCGTGATTAAAATCATGTAATGGTAAATGTATGAAGGGAGAAGGCTATGATAAGTTGTAATAATTGTTATCCAACCGATTGTCTAAATTTAGTTGACATTAAAATATGTTTTAAGAAAAAAGACAATGGTATCTACAGAAGATAAAAAAAAAATGAAAAATCCCGAAACGACTTTTGTCATGTCCCGAAACGACCCGAAAAAAGTCCCGAACCGACTTTCGTCTTGTTACCGAAACGACTTGTTACCGAAACGACCTGACACCTGTAATTTGTAGTGGACAGCGCCTAAGATGACAGGACCGCTTTTAATCGGAACCATATATTCATGTATGAAAGAATTGGGATAGATATTTGGAATGGAATTTAAAATCGTACCAGATACATTTAGTTAGATTATTGTACAATTTATTAGCAGGACTTGTAAAATGTTCTTACAGTGTAAGATATTGATCGTTACGGATATTTGTCGACATGCTTCTTGTTATCTACAATGTTTCTATTGTGTCAAATGTGTTTTATATTTGTCGACATGCTCCTTGTCATCTACGTTGTTTCTATTGCGTCGAAGGTGTTTTATATTTGTCGACATGCTTCTTGTCATCTTCATTATTTCTATTGTATCATAGGTGTTTTATATTCGCGACATGCTTCTTGTCATCTACATTGTTTCTATTGGGTCAAAGGTGTTTTATATTTGTCGACATGCTTCTTGTCATCTACATTGTTTCTATTGTGTCAAATGTGTTTTACATTTGTCGACATGCTTCTTGTAATCTACATTGTTTCTATTGGGTTAAAAGTGTTTTACATTTGTCGACATGCTTCTTGTCATCTACATTGTTTCTATTGGGTCAAAGGTGTGTTATATTTGTCGACATGCTTCTTGTCATCTTCATTGTTTCTATTGTGTCATGGGTGTTTTATATTTGTGGATATGCTTCTTGTCATCTATATTGTTTCTATGTGTCAAAGGTGTTTAGCAAGCTCATCAGTAAAAGATCGATGATGACACAATATGTATTTATAGACTTTCTATATATATTATGTTGTAATGAGCATGCTCAACACCTTTGATTGGGTCCACACAATTCAGAGTATTTTCACATGTTTAAGGGGTTTAGATAGACTTTCGGTAAAAATGACACCCCCAAAGTCGATCTAAACCCCTTAAACATGTAAAATTACTCTGAACACCTTAGATCAGGTTCAAATATAGCTATAACAAATTATCAGGTCCCTGTGCATTTACCCCGCCATGGTAATGTTTTTTTTCCTCTTTGTTTTTGAGCTCATCAAATTGTGACAGTAGGCAAAAACTTCTTAAAAGATAGAACACCAACCATCTTAAATAGTTCAAACGTGCGATAGCTGCTTAAATCAATTAGGCTACTAGTGTTTACAGACAGTTATATATGTACAGGTTTAGAATAATCGATGAAACTTTTAAAATATTCTGTTAATACTGCATTGTTTGCTAATTAAAACATTTTTTCACCACCCGATAAATCCATGTCATAAATGAAACAGAGCTTTCTCTTTTCTACCGAAAAAACCCATACAAACACACTAATCTGAAAAAAATAAAAATTGCATACATCTGGTATGTTATGGTGCGAGTTGATGTATGTGCTGCTTTTGTTTATTTTTATTTTATAATCATCTATTTAGCGGACATAAAAACCTGTATGAAAACCGGTTTTAAAATGCTATTTGAAAATTGATGTCAGTATATGTCCATATCAATGTGAATGACCACATGCGTGTCATAGAAATATTCATACACATGTGTATATATATAATATGTACATCTGACACTGTTTGCACAATGTATTTATTATTGTTTCTTAACTGCTCGAAATTATGCATGCATAAATTAATGATTCATCCGATTCAATGTATGTAAGTCTGTCTCAATGTAAACATTTATGTATGTATTATCTGTCCGTCTGTCTGTCTGCCTGCCTGCCTGCCTGCCTGTCTGTCTGCCTGTTGGGGTAGTTGTCTGTCTGTCTGTGTGTCTGTCTCTGTCTGTCTGTCTCATGTATGTGTGTATGAGTATATGTTTAGATGTATTTGTATGTGTATTATGTTTTTTGTGTATACTAGACGTGCTGTGTTTATCCTTGCCTGTAATATTATGTTGTATATGGAATTTGTTAGAGTGTGAAAGAAGTATGTTTTGTGTTCTTGTCTTGTACTCTATTTGCAAATATTTTATTTTCCCATTGCCCTTCCTATTTATTTATTTATTGTTTGACTGATGGATGTTGAATGAGAACCCTCCTGCGTGAGGACACCATATTGTTCAGGGGCTGACTCCAGGGCTCCCCAACGCTGGCATACCCTATCAAAACATTTATATATGTTTATATATATCTGCTTGGAAGCAGTAATGTATATACATATTTACGAAAATGGCTGGGGGAATAAAATATTTGAACCTAAACAAAAAAAAACAAAAAAAAAACACCACTAATCTTTCATAAACTGTTCAGCGTTCAGAAGTTACTGTCTGGACAAAATCTGAACGGGTAGAAAAAAAAGTGCCTTTACTCTATGACTTCATTTGTTGAGGTGGGTATAGCTAGGGGTATAAAAATGATCTGATATCCAAAATATGATGTACATGTATTTATTCATCTCACAAAAGTTACATAAATATCATTTATACAAAATATACAAATATAAGGTAGTTTTCCAGGGTAGTTATTATTATCACAGCATTCTGTACATGTTCACCAACTAACAAATTCACAAGGTGGCAGCTCATATGTACACATACATGTGGTGTCAATTTTAAATCCCAACATAGACCTGACATCAACAGAATTATCATATCTTTGGCAGGAATGCTAACTATTCATTTATCTTATGGATGTATTTCATGTTTTGTTCTTTATTTGCAATATGTACTCTAGGTCCTTTAATTTGAAAAAAAAAAAATATTAAAAAAGGTAGAGATTAAAATTGTAATGAGGAGATATCACAGTGAAACATAATTTTTACAAATATTGTAACCTAACAACAAATCACAGCTATGAAGTTTGACAGTTGTTTTGTATCAGGTGTCCATACAACAGGAGACATATCACAGATTATATACAATGATTGGGTGGAATCCTGACGAAACAAATGGAGAGATTTGGTCCCGCACAGTCTGAAAGAGTGTAAATCAAATATAGTTCTCCATATCCCTTATCACTTTTTATCTCACATATGTGGACTCAGGCTGGGGTGGACCTGAAAAATAGAAGAAGTTTCACAATAAAATCTATTAAACTATTGAACCAGAAACACAAGTAGAGAAAAATTAATTTAGAAATACATGTAATAATATACCATTTTAAAACAATTGACATTGTAAGGTATGGTGGTTAAATTATATCTATTAAAACCAAATAGATAATTATAACTGACCTGGAAAGGGGGTTTTCCTTGGCCTGATGATGCCTGTACTCTGTGGGGGGCGGGTGGACACCAGACGTGTGCCTGGGGATTTCCCTCCTTGGGGACTGTTGGGGCTCCTACTGTCGTAGGCATCAGCAGTCAGAACAGGTGATCAGGTTAAGGATCACATAGATTGTACAGTTAGATGGCTTGGAAATGACATCACTTATATAGATATGATAAAAGCAAAATCATTATGGCTTATAATGCAACACAGGAACAAAATGGGGTTGTCTACTTAAATTCCATCATAATATTTTATATATTGTGTGTACTTTCCCAATTCTTACAAAGATTTTTAATATAGTTAAAATGCAAGTGCGATTTATACAGAAGTTACACAACCAATAATATATATTTTCATGCAGTTATTTTGTAGGAAAGATACACATAATAATCTGATATAGTTTACAGATTATTTTCTATAACATATTTCAGAAAAGGATATTTGCTGTGATGGGAAGGAATAATATGTCGGTTTCTGTGACAATCTCAAGGTCGTGTCTGATTGACCCAACCCCAGAATCTCCCTCGACTCCGACAGCAATAGCGTACAGTTCACACTCCAGGTCTGTCTTCATCCCAGCAGCAATCTGTATAACAATAGTATAAATATACAAATATATAACAATGGAGATACCAGCCACAAGTATTAACCATTCAAAATTGTAACAAACAGTTTAATGTCGACAATGTTTGTTGATAATTTGATGAAACAAAACGAAAGACAACACTGAGCACGAGACTGAGCTCCACCACAACATCTCAACACAAAGGTCACTCACCGGTCCTAGTTTGTAGTTCATCCTAAGGCCAGTGGCGGGAGGGGGCTGTCTGATTTTGAAGCGACAGGAATCCACACCTGTGTTTTTAAGACAGACAGTACAGACGTAGGTGTTGCCCTCTCTCAGGACTCCAAAGTCTATCTCCTCTGGTAGTAGGATCAGTCCCCTCATCTTCTCCAGCTGGACCTGTGATTGCACGGAGGCTCCAGCAGTCACAGATGTGTTGACTTTCCGACGAACACTCACCTCTACGTTCTTGTACTGTAAAGATTCATGGTGTTAAAACTGTCAACAATGTAATGATATTGACATTATTTGTAGCAAAAATTAACAAGAATTAGGATTTGTTCAAAAAAGGTCAGAATGTATGGTAGGCATTGTACTTCAAATATCACTGAAAAGTGTGAGGGATATGTAGCTGAGTAAAAGTGTGAAGTTTAGGTCATTGATTAAGGATTAGGTAACTGGGTGTGACGATGAGTATTACAGATAGCTACGAAAGTACAATGATTGGTAACCTCGTAAAAAATTCAAACCAAAATGCAACATAAAATACTTTATCTTTGCAGTGGTAAGCACAAAATTATTCACAAGACTAGAGTAAAATTAATTTTGTCAGAGTATCAAATCCTTGTTATGTGGATTAAACATATTCATATATAGATTGATGACTCTATCTATTTGCCCTGCTTACCTTTGTGTTGGGGATAGCCCCTGGACGTCCGCCCTTGATACCCCTAGGGAGCACCACAGCCTCCTTTCTGGGGCGGCCTGTCACGTCCATCTTAAGGCTTCGTGTCAGGATTAACTCACTCTCGCCCTCTGGAACCTCTCCAGTAGAATAATCTACAAAAAGAAAACATAACAGTATTACAAATGTAACAAACTTTAATGAGGATCCCTGTATCATGATCAGTTATGAAAGAGGCAAGTTCATAATTTTTTTTATTTATACCAATGAAATTTTACACCCTTAGTTAGGATTTGATAACGTATGCAAAACTAGAGAGACTGTTAACCTGATATTACTACAGTCTGCTAGCCTGACTGTGATATCTAACCTATAACTAGTATATACCTTCCTCCTCCAGTGGCTGTTCCATAATAATGGCTGGGTAGTCTAGCTGTGAAGGCAGGTCAGAGGGTGAATCTATCTGACCTCCGGCATGTTTAGGAGTGGGGTTATCTGTAATGTACAAACAAGATGTTTTTCATAAAACCATTTTACCAGAGTGAGTATCTATAAACTATGAATTCACCCCTAACAGTTTTTACTTATATATTTATTTACAAACCTTTATACCAAATAAACAGACAAATAATGTTGCTGAATTCTACTTACATGGTCTTCCAGTGCTGGTTTTGACAGCGTGCCCAGGGGTGGGGTTATCTGGACGAAGAGGGGCAGGGGAGCCTTGACCAGTAGCATGAGCTGGGGTGGGGTTTCCTGGGCGGATACCTCCACGAGATGGGACAGTCTCTGCATACACTGGAAAAGCAGATCACTATCAATTATCAAGAGAAAACATCTTTATTGTTCAATTTATTATAAAAAACATTATCAAAGCAATTTCCCCTATATTTATTCTCAGACAAACAAATGTGAATATTGTCTGCATTACATCACAAACAAAAAGGTCTTGACTGAGTATTCCTGAGAACTTACCTGCATATGAAATAGGCGTATCTGACACTTGTTTTGGATGGAGAGTGTCCACAGGTGATGTGCTTGACCGATCACTCTGGACAGAGGTCACTGCTGCTACAGCTGTTAGAGTGGCAAAATGTCATCAACGTAAATTGCAACCTTCTTTGAATTGTTTTTGTAAAATTGCATTTGCATTCTCATAACCTGATTAGCTAGTACATATATTTATTACAAAGTTTGTATATTTTGGTTATCATCAAGGCTTGTAGATACAATGTACTGTATATCTATTACGAAGCTTGAAGATAATTATTATATTTACTACAAAGCAAAGTGAAAAAGTAAGATTATGTTAATAAACAATCTAGAGATGAGAGATTGTCGACTTACATCGTGCGGGGTAAGCACTAGTGTCTGGGGAGATTTGCTGGGGGTTGTTACTCTGGCTGGACGAATTACCACGGACAGCTTCAGTACCGTCCTTCCTCGGGTCCTCAGTCAGCTGTTGTAGAATCTCGTCTACATCCTTGGCCTGTTAACAAGAACAATGTTGTTATCATTCTTCCTTAACAGTTGAATACAGTAGAACTTAACTCACTTATTTTTGATTTTTTTTTGACAAAGGATTTTTTCTTTCATGCTTTTTTTCTATTTGATTATTCCTGCAATTTCTCATCACATTTTTTCACAGAATGTGACACAATGGATATGGTGGATCCTGTAATATGTAGTCAATATCTCTGAGGAATTTATTTGTCATGTGTACCCCATGTCACATGACCGGTGCAATTCAATTTTTGCTGTCAATTTTTCAATTATGAGGTCATGATATAGAGCATTGCCTTTACTGTGAGAAGCATTAACATAATGAGGTAATGATGGCAAAGTGTTCATAACAATTTATTTGGAAGCATATACATAGAAGTATTTGATAAATGTTTTCCTTTCATAACAGATTTTAGCTTCCATATAGTAAAGGCTTCAATGCTTCTGACTTGCTTTATATGCCCAAGAGAAACCCCATATTTACTCCATTAAATAGAAAATCTTAAATTCTTCATGATTTAAGGAGAGATTCTTTAAATGTTGTATAACCTGGGTGAGGAGAAAGGCCTTCCCAAATTCGCTGTCAAAGTAGGTAGGGATCCTTTTCTTCCTGAGTGAATCCCTGCCATCCAGTTCCTGGTTCATCTCACGCTGGTCCCTCTCCCAGTCAGCCATGGTGCGTTTGGGCTGGGGGGTCGGGGGCGGACTTGGTACAGGGGGAGCTGTCACTTTCTCATATATTCCTTTGATGTTGGCTGCAATATTATGCATTTAAAGTTAAATCATTCAAATCAGTATTTTTTTATTTTTTTTCTATGAAGAAAATAAATTGTAAAAACTTGCAAACTATTTATCAATGAATTTCAATCAATTACTAACCTACTGATTTATAAGTTTTTAGCTCAAATGTTTTTTTTTGTTCCATATGACCATGAAGCACAGACTTTACTTGAAATTTAAAAGGCATTTTGGGCTTCTCAAAATTTGATCTTCCGGAGCATCATATGTTTTTCTTTTTGCCTAAAATTGGCATATAACTACCTAGTAGAAATTAGCACTTGCATTTTATTCAAAGAAATGAAGTTGTCTGATGAGTTAATTTCATAACACTCTTGAGTGAATATGTTAGAGACATATATATTACCGTTGTTGGGAACACCCTTATCTCCACATACATACCTGGCTCATACTGTGGAAGTTCCCGTCGAGCTGTCTGGAGTCCGATCTCTGTAAGATCTGCAGCATGGATCCTTTCCTCATCTGTCCTTGGATCAACTACCTGCATCATGTCAGTCACCTTATTTCTCTCAATCACAAACTCGGCATACTCTTTAACACCCGCCTTCAGGCTGTGAGGACACAAAGAAGTAAACATATGATCATATAGCTATAAAAAATGCAGTTATAATTTTCTTAAATTTCTATTTCATATTCACAGAAAGATCACATCATGAATCATAATGTACTTTTTTTGCTTCAAAATACTTGGAATAAGTTTAATAGCTTAATAAAATTTGGTTTGAAAAATAAAAATTTGAAATGTTATTCTAGAAATCTCACAGTATGATGAGCAAATCTATTCAGTATAAATTGCGTCCCTCAAAGGAAAAACCACATTCACATAGTGTTAACTTTTCTCTTCAGTACAGTGGAATTAACATGCATAGAATGCAGTGCACTAATCTTTGCCAAATGATAAATTCAATCTCACTGCAGTGAACAGTTTTCTGGTATTCACAACAGAACAATTAAAGCAAAGCATTCTATAGTCCCTCATCTCTGAATATCAGAACATAAAACCATACACAAATGTAAAACCATACCATAAATCTCCATAAAGTGATGGATAATAGCTGATTTCAGTGTGTGGCACATTGCCATCTCATAAGGTACTTGCGTACAAATGGATCCTTTGGTAATTGTGGGTGACAGAGTAAACGAGAAATGCCCAGACAAAGTTAAGCACAGACTGACCAACTGACCGATTGCAAACCTGTACTATTTTTTCCCAGGCCAGTAGAACAGGTGGGAGACAACTAGAATACTTGAACATGTTTTCAACAAAGTTACCATTAACTCACCTTTCTCTGAGAGACCCTGACACAGGTTTATACTGTATCAGCTGTCGCAGTTCTAAAACATTTGGACATTTTAGTATTGGGATTCTGATTGGCTGCCTTACTGCTGCTCCCACTGACAGTCCCTGTCCTAGGTTTTTACCATAGCCTGGTCCAGGGGTCTTGAATTCCTTAGGAGGAAGGGTTGTCAGGTCTCTACAGCGTATGCCTGGAGGAATGATGGACTCTTGGTCATACTTCTTAAAGAATCTTTCTGATGGGCCTCCCAGGTATGGTTTGAGAATGGTGATTCCAAGCACACCAGGATAGTCTGGTAGGTCATCCTTAAGCACTGCTGTTGCAGGACTGTGCTCTGCTGTGCTGAGATATTCTGCAACATCTTGGTAACGTAACAATTCTGTACCACTTCCATCTGAGTGAAGAATAAAGAATCGGGGAGCATGTTCCCTGAAAGTTGTCAATTTTTTATCAGTTTTGCCTTCATCCATACTAGATTCAGAAAGTGCATCTCCATTAACTGGAATCACGGTAAAGTCTCCATTACTCTTTACATTAAATACATTTCCATCTGAGTCGACAGTTTCCACAACAACATCAGCATTATGACAGAGAATGTACTGAAGCTCCCTCTCCGGGAGTAGCTGTTCCATGTTCCTGATTGGCCGAGGGTAGTAGGTGAGGGTGCCCTCCATGTCCACCTCCACACGTCCACCATCGTGCTGGTGTAACATGTAGTATCCGTCTGGGAATACGTTGATAGTTGTGCCATTACCAAATATGGTCAAGTTCTCACTTGTCAAACAATTAAATTCTACTGTAGCATAAGCAGGACATTCTACCTTCACAAACTTCACTGTCTGGGTTTCAAATTCTTTCATTTCTGAAATATTTAAAGAAACAAAATTTAGTCATATTACAAAACACAATATTAAACCTTTTTCTTACTGGAACAAGGTTACCGCGAGCGGTATATAATACGCCCGTCACACANTTTCTTTTATTAAGGTTTCTTATAATGAAATAATACTATAGTGTAACTGTAAATGTATCACCAATCACTGTGTACCACCTTATGCATTATACATAATTTCTCTGTATAATAGAGCTTTAGACATGCATACTATTTTGTATAGAGCAAAGTATAAGTATTTTGACACTAAATTCAATTGAAACCGTTTTTCCTGTGATAAAAACAAAATCATTTTCACATGCATATACCAGAAGAAGTAAATACCATTGTCCTCAAAGTCCTCTTCGCCAGTAGCTATCTGGTTTTCCTTGTAGTATGTGGTGATCCTTGTACCGTCAGCATGCTCTATGATTGTAGTGCCATCTGGGTAACTAATGGTGATTACATGGTCATCTCTTGTTGCCATGGACTACATTGGAGAAATAGCATCATATAAAATTAGTTGTTCAATATCTTTCATTTCTATTGAAGTATGTGTAAGTAAATGAATAAATCTAGTCTATATCAAGCTAAAACTGAATTTGAAATTGTCGTTGACCTTGACATTGATGCTAACCCTACCTGACTTGTCTGGGGATCTGAGGCCAAACTGATCATGACTGACTTGAGTTCCTCCATTTCGTTGTCACCTTTACAGGCCACTTTCTCCCCATTAGGGTAGGTTGTGACCCACATGCCCTTTTTCTCTGGTGCCTCCTCCTCTGGAGCCTGCTCTGCTATTTTCTCCTGGGACTTGGTCTTTCCCTTAGCACTGGCTGCTGCAACCAAACAATATGACTGAAGGTAAGGTTCAACAAAGCATCTCTGTTCCAATAACACAAAACAGACAGTGTGTATACACACATGACCTTTCACACACTATTTTTATTTAATTAACCAGATACAAGGAAGTTGTTACAATGTAATACTATCTTTATAATAATTTGGCAATCCTGTATATACAGTTTGATCTCCTGTAATATATTTTAACAGGCGCCTTACCTGTCTTCTTGGTGGGTGTTTCTGCCCTTTCTCCTGTCTGACTGCGGGCACTTCCAGCTCTCTGTGGGGAACTACTCCCACTTCTCTTACAAGCCCAAGGACCAGTGTGGACACTAACGGTACCATCTGCATACAGTACCTACAGGGACAACAGATTACTTACAAATTGTCATACCACCAGGTACATTTTCTAATGGTAACTTAAGACTGGGCACATTTTATGCAAAACCTTGAAATGAACAGCAAATATAGAATTATAATGTAGTTATGACTCTTCGCCATGATTTATGTGATCAGTTCTATTGATTGTCTGTATTGTGAATGCTAAAATTTACTTGTTCCTAAAAGATTTCACCAGAATAGTGACTAATGATGTGATGAATTTAAAAACTTTTTGGATTTTCAAAGATAAAAACAAATGTATTGGATAAACTTACCTCGACTGACCCATCCATCATGTTTTTGACCACGGTGCCTTCTGATGTGATGATACGGGACTGCTCCGACAGGGCAAACTTTCTCCGCTTGGACTCGCATGGCTGCTCACCCCGTGTTTTAAATGGATAACTTTGCTTAATGAGCAGACGGCGGTCATCCTCGGACAATGGCTTCATACCTGGCAACCAAACATAAGTGAAAAATGAATTTGTTAATTCTGCTGTTGTAGGTATATGATAAATTATACAAGTGAAGATGTCTTATATATATACAAAGATATTTGCTTCATTAAATAGGTCATTTTAAAACTAATACTTGATACCTATGAATGTAAACATTGAAACTGACTATAAGCAACCCATAAATTTCCACAAATATCCTGTCCATCCCCACAAAACAACTATTATCTGTTGATAGTGATGAAATCATTCATATTCTGTGCAATTCAGAATTCTACGTACCGATGGAGCTCTCCAGAAGGTACTTAACACTGAGGCCGTCGGGTGAGCTCACATACAGCTGCTGGAATGGCTGGAGAACAGGCTTCTCCTCATCCCTCTTCTCCTCCTGGTCCTCCTCCTTCTCTGTTTCCTGGGGCTACAAATCAATATTAAGATTTTTCCTTCATTTTGTGAAGTGATAAAAGTTTTATTTTTAATGAAAAAAAATCATTTTCACTAAAATGATGTATCATATGCAACTAGAGCGTAACAAATTAAGATATAATGACCCTTCCTCCCCTCCCTCCTCAGCAAATAATTTAATTTGGCTGGTGACTCTTGATTTAACTACCATCCTTTAACTCTGAAACCTGACAGCAGAATTCTCCACTTTTTGCTTTTGCCCCAGTTCATTTAATTCATTGCATATTGTTGGGAAATTTCACACCATTAATTTGTCAAGCAGGAATGATTGTAAGTGTTTTTTTCTTTTTGCATTTTGCCACAAAGTTGCTCGTTACTTACAGTGATGGGAGGTGGTGCCTCGGGAGTAGGGGCCCCTTTACCCTTGTCACCCTTCTTACTCTTTGTGGGTGATGGTGGGGGCAAAGGACTTGGAGTGGTGGGAGGAGGCACATAGACCTTCGGCTCATACTTCTTACCTGTAACAGCAATTACATAAATTAAAAATGTCTTAAAGAACATCAGTTATGGAAATTCTATCTCGGTCACTATTTTAAAACAACTTTTATATTAGTATTTTATATTCTATTTACATGTATTTTTTGTTCATGGAGAAATATTGACTTCACCAATATAAAAAAGAGAAATTCACAGGTACATAATTATACAAAAAATGTAAAATAGGAATATGTATCAAGCTTTTTAAACTACACTAAGTCCCAGAGCAAGTATTTCTGTTATCAGAAAACTTTCCACAGTGTGAAAAAATGGTGGGTTTCATCTGTAACATGGTCACAGATGATCTAATCTTGCTAGTTTGAAACAATTTGTTTTTAAAAAATAGTAATCAATTCTTTAAAGATTCTGAAACCAAGTGTTTCAGACCATCTGAGGCAGGTTCAAGTAGATAAGAATAAAAAAAGCTTATCACATAATACTTCAGCACTGATATATCATAATTGTACTTCATTACAAATATCTTTGTGAATTGCCAATGAACAATATCATATGTTACCGATAAGGTATACTGACCATCCTCTGAAATCCCTTTAGGACCAAACTGACTCAGTGATAGTGACATTCCATCCTGCAGGTGAGCAGTGACACTGCCAAAAGCACTGACTGACTTTGTTTTCTTCTCATCAGACCTGGCTGAGTTACTCCTTCCAGTACTTCCAGCATCCCCCTCTCTGGTCATCTTATCTCCTGTAAAGTCAAAACCAACATGTCCGCCATTTCCAAGTCACAATGGGATCTATTGTTATCACACAAATACAATTTTTTATGGATCAGCTATCCCACAAATATCGGAAACCTATCAAATATCTCTTCTGGAAATCTTATATTTTAATATCTTGGCAATAAATAATAGCCCTTGTGAACTCCTAAAGTACACTGACTCTTTACCACTATGTGTTCTTTGTTACTGAAGCTGTGCCAAAAGACATTGAATCTATACATACCCTGGTCCTTTTCTGATTTCTCATGTTCAGACTTTTCCACCTCCTCTTTACTGTCCTCCTCCTCTCCTTCGCTGTCCTCCCCTCCCTCCTTTGGATCAATGACGTGCACACAGAACACATGGCCATCTTTTAACACAGATGTCTTTATTGAGTTGGTGCCCTGTGCAAACTCCAGCTTCTCAGTCCTGATCTGACCACCGTCTGAAGGGAACAGGGTGGTGGTCATCCCGGCCACATGAATCAGCTTGTTCCCCACATCATACCCGGTAAACTGGACAAAAAAAAACAACACTTCATATTAAATATCCTTGAAAAATCATCAAGCACACATTGAAGATCAATAGCATTTTATATTTGGAAAAGATTGTAAGCTTGTGTAACCCTGTGGAAGAGGTCTGCACATGTTTCATTCTTACAAAGTAAGGAGATTCAGTATGCCATTGACTTTCATCCATTAATGCTCTTCACAAGTCAATGGAATTTCAATTCAAATCATACCTAATCTATATAAATATTGTTTATACAGTAGTCTGAAAACCAAATGAAGCATTTTGGTTTAAAGTATGTGACTCAAGTGATGAAACTTACTGGCCAGTATTTCTCCTCTACAGGTGGTGCTTCACCATCCTCTTTAGGCTGGTCATCTGGCTCCTTGGCAGAGGTCTTAGACTTGGCACTAGCCCTGGATCCTGGTCCTTTCTTGTCCTCCTTTTCCTTGTCAGCCTGTCAGAGGGGTAGTCATTCATAATATTACATAAAGAAAGGTTTGAGGTTCAGAAATAGCAAATACAGATATGTTAATGCATTAAAGGTTAACCATCCAATGAATGAATCAACTGAATTCTGCAACAAAATTAAAAATCTGTGAAAATTTATACGAAATTGCTGAAAACATTAAACCTCTGTAAATGTAGTGCTCTGATGGAGTAGTTTCTCCTGACAGTACATAAAACAATGCTGCATTCAGTAACGAATTGAGTTTAAAATGTTCTCAAAGGTAATGAGTCAAAAATTCAACTCCTTAAATGCTTTTACATGTACATGTATTCATTTTAAAATCGGAAGTTTGTCTCAGAAATTCTAGTGACACGTAAAAATGTTATAACACTAGTTATATATATATGGAAAATCTGTACATGTACATTGTACATGTATTTTGAATCAGAATTATAGAATACGACCACTAAATAACGTTCCAAAACATTTAACCCTTACTAACAACAGCCAAGGACAAGACATGTCAAACCATATCAAGTCAGTAATACGTTTATTTTTAATATACCTTTTTGCCTGATTTAACACGTTTTGCACTCTTTTCTCTTTCCTTTTCATCCTCTTCAGCTTTCACTCTATCTTGCTCCTCCTTCCAGGCCTTGAGAGAGTTGGCTCTTACAAACATGTTACTTGCAGCTGACGAGGGACGTTCTTGGCTACTGGAACGAGAGTTCTTACCGGGACTCTTGGAACGATCTGTCAATAACAAATTTCGAGTTACAACACAAGTACCGGTATAATAGCCAAGTGTACATGTGGGTGAAATGCATGAATTTGTGCAGAATGCTTGATTTTAATTTGCAAATACATTTTTTTTTTTTTATTAATTCAGACAATTACACCTTTAATTCAGTTACTGAGGGTGTCATTTACTGGAAACCCAGGTAAATTCTTGATTGGATATTTCAATATATTTGTTCATGGTCCTTGCACTATAATGAGTTCAATGATAAATGATAATGATATGACATGCGTGTCATCTAATCTTTGAATTTTATTGTTTTGTTTTTATTTAATTCACCAGTGGTTACTTGGAAATGTGCAATGATTTTTTTAAATAGATGTAAAACCAATACAGTTGTACCTAATGCCACAATACAGAGACAAATATGGGGCTATTGCAAGATTTGAAAGATTAATTGTTTTTTTGGAAATAGCACCTACTTGGAGATTTGCGAGGTGACTTGCGGCCTTTGGCCTTCTCTGTAGACTTGACACTAGCCTCCTCATCATCCCTCATCTTAACGAGCTCTTTGGACAGAAGGAAAGCCTGGTACTTTGCCTCCTCCTCCTTGGTCCAATCAGCCACAGTCTCTGACACACACTCCATGTAATTCCTACAGACCAATCAAATATACATTCACTGGAAAATGTTTCTATCTGTAATCAAGATGTTTAATTTTTCTTTTGCATTCTATTATTTTAATTAAATATTCCTTGCAATGGAGAACACACATGCAAACATTTCAGCCCTGACTTATTCAAAATGGTGTCCAAAGCTGTATTGCAATATGCGGCCAACACCAATTGTATTTCCCTGATATTAAAGGATTGCAGAATGCTTATATAAAAGAATGTATCAAATGCACACAGAATATTGCTATACACACATAATGCAATAACAAAATAGTACCTGAATCCCAGGTTGCAGTGAAGCTCTGTGTGCCAGTCGACGTGATTCTGAAGCTCCAGGCTGGATGGGTTATGCAGGACCAACATCAGAGAGTTATCTCTCTTGTGGTAGTACATATCCATAAATGGCAGCAAGAACGACGCTTCCTTGATGATCTGCACAAGTACAAATCACAATTGTATGAAAATTATATAACAGACAATAGATCTTACCACAATATTTCAGATTCACTTGCCATACATTAACATGCTTTTTTGTAAGGTATCTTAAAAAAGATCATTCAAAATATATATCTATTCTATGTACCAGGGGTTTTACCACTGTACATATACAGCCATTACCTGCAAGAGAATGTTGGGTTCATAGTGCTCAGCAAAACACCACTGGTCAAGATTGCGTTTCTGGGCATCAACAATTTCCATGAGGCTCTCCTCTGTGCTTTTGTCTGGCTCCGTCTCCACAACATCCAGCTCATCCTCCTCCTCATAATGACGTACAGGCTTGCCTTCCTCATCCTTCTCAAAGTGTACTGTAACATTATGTACCATTTGTTGCTTTTATTTTTTGTCAAACAGGACATATAGAGCATTATAAAAGTAAGGATATGTGTAGGGAGATTAAACATTTTGATATTTAAACCAAGTTATTGGTTTGCTCTTTTAACCTACACTACAAATATAATTAACTGTTATAACTGACAGTATTATTATTAAAAGCTTTTTATTTTGTTAGTTAACTTGTACTTGTAAATTTTACTAACAGACAAACCTTCATCAAATTGTATGGTTTAATTGTATAGTATATGCTTATAGTGAATATATGTATGTCAAAAACATTTTTGAAATATATAGAAGGTATATCATCACACATACTGTGAACAAGGTCATTCTTCATCAATACAAAAACATGATTTTACTCTTTTCTTACCAATTCTTAATAGCCCCACACACCAACGTAGTCATATAACTGACCTGAGTTACTCCTTGACCTGCGTCCACCAGAACTTGACCTTGACCTTGAGGGTGGTCGGAGTATGCCTTTCTTGCTGTCTGTACTAGAAGGTCGAGAGCCTTCCCTCTGATCCTCAATTGACACAGATTTCTCTTCTGTCCTCACGCTCTTAGAGGTTGTTGGAGACATTGTAGCTACATAGAGAAGGGGTTTACATGAACAATTAATATGAAGCCATACTAGTAGTACCAGCTGTCACAGAGTAGCTATATCAGGTCACCAGTGTTCAGGGAATGGTTGTGTAGTAGTAAAGGTCAATCATGTTCATGTCACGACCAGCTTTTTCTAATCTTTGTTTAATATTTTATGAGATAGTTCACTCTACTGCGTTGGTGTCTTTGTTATAATTACAATGAGATCAAAATGATTAGTGGCTGTTAAACTGTAACAACCTCAGTACCATTCTATGAACAACCAGGTTCCCTCAAATAGCAACATTAAATCACATCACACATCAGAAAATGTAAAAAATAAAAATGTTAAGGTACTCAGAAATAACAACATTAAAACACTTCATGTCAAGTATTTTACAACATTAATTTTGTTTTATTTCAACAACAAAAAATCACTAATTTTTTAATTGATCAAATGTTTACAAAAATAAGATGATTTTCAACTAATTTGAATAAACCTAACATTCTTTGTACATAGTTGCTTTTGATTTTAGTGACCCAGCTGGTTTTCTTGGGTTTATTTAAAAAAAATGATACTGATGTATTTTACCCCTATAAGGCCTTAGTTCAAATTCTACAATGCTTTACTTGCTTCCTAATCTTAACTCTGCAATACATGTAGGCTTTCTACTCTAAGTTCTATAATGCATGCTTAATCCTACTTTGCCCTTTTTGAAATACTTGTTCTTGTTTTTGTTTTTGATTTTTATCTGGATTCGCAGTAAAAGCAGCATGCATGTTTCCATATGTCTATGAAACACTACATAAGATTACTGATGACTGCTACAGATACACCACATGCAATTCAGCAATCATAAATTTACACTTCCTCTAAAAAAGAAAATCAGAGCTTTATATATAATGTTACAATACATAACAAGAGCACCGCGAGCGGAAGTATGATACGCCCGTCAAACCCTCGGAAGGGTATTGATATGTTGGAAGCAGGTTAGTGACATGATCTAAATATGTTCACTGCCACAGTTTTGTTGGTGACCGTGTGACCTTGCCATTCATTTAATGTGTTTATGGCGCAAGCTTTTTTGTGTTTCAGAATTACATGTTTGTGGTCAATGTTGCTATTACTTAAACTAGAACCTTGGCTTTGAGGTAGGAGTTTTGAATTTTCGACGGAATGCCCTTATTTGGCAATGAAAAGGGGCATAACTCTGCCGAATAGCGTTTAAATGTCACGATTTAGAACTCATTCAAAGCATTCAGGTAATGAAACAACCAAGTATTTAATAAAAATCGGAGAACAATTGTTTGAGTATTCGTGAAAACAAGCAAAAGTTAACGGCAAAAAACGATGAACAGCGTTGCTATATCAAGTGTGAATGCCAAAATGCAGAAAGTTGAAACTTGACAGAAAAACCTGGTATATATGTTGACCATTATTGATTTGAGCATAACAGTACAACATTTGAAAGGAATTGATTAAAGAATATAAAAAGTTCTTGCATTTACTACACAATGCCCTTATTTGGCAATAAAAGGAGCATTACTCCACCAAAAATGCACGTAAATTCTGAAATACAAACTTGTTCAAGCTATATATATATTGGTATGAAACTTGGTACACATATTGCATACCAATATGTGTACCAAGTTTCATCAAGATATGTTCATGAATGATTTAGGCAGGAGAGCGATGACAAGGAAAGGTTCACGAATAGACATCGGACAACGCAGCCCATACCATAATAGGACCTGTAGGAAGACGGGCGTATAAAAAGAAAATTTGTACAGGTAATGTGTTGGAATGTAAGTTTTTACTGTATAAATTAATACTTTGTCATATAAAGTATTTGGCAGTCATAGTTTGTAATGACTCATTCTGTCACTATCATGATTGTGATAAGAATATGAAAGTTTTGCTCTTTGATCATTTCATAAAATGAGCTAGGATTTTTTTTTAAAGAACAATGGCAACAACAGGAAGGTATTTCTTTCGTCTTTTAAAGTTAATTCTACTCAAAACAAACATATCCATTAACTTTGAAGGGGACAATCGTTTCAAGACACAATACAAATTTCCTGTATCCAAGGTTACACCTATCTACCTATACTACCAGCTGGTTTAAGTGACTGTCTACCACTCTAACCTTACAGCATAAGGCCAGTGTTGCTTTGAATTAAGCTTAATTGATTTTCAGAAAATTGAAACCAATCATTTTCTGAATCTCAGCCTTTTTTCAAAGGTTTGAAGATGCCTTTTTTGATATGATTAGTTAAAAAAACTGATATAAGAGTTAACAAGATTTTTAGCACCAACAATGCAGTGAGCTTATTATCAATCAGAAAAAAATCTGATATCAGTAACAGTTTTAAGATGAACTAAATGTAGCTAAAGTAGATAAAATTAAATTAAATTACCCTCAACCAAATCATTAAGCAGACATCCCAAAAACCAAAAGCAACATGCATTACAGATGTAATTATAGGTTTAATCTCAAACTTCAAAAGTTTATTATTCTTAATTCTAAGTGCAGCATGCAGTAATTAGAATATAAAACTAGCTAGCAAGAATCATTTAGAACAATGATGTAGAGTAAAAACATGTGTTACTAGCAAGAAACTTGTGGTTATACAGAGAATATCAAGGAGGTGCATGGAAATCAACAGAAAAATTGTTAATGAGAAAAGAAATTACAGCAGATTGGTTATAAAATTGACCTCAAACATTCCTTGACATGTAAATAAATATATATAATTAGAGCATAGTTCTTAAAGAACATACACAATGAAAATAAATCCAAGGTTGAAATAGAAAACTTCATGCACCTGCGAGATAACAGACAGTCAATCACTGTGAACAAAACCTAGAGCCTAATGTCTTGTCTAACATATCACTAAAGGTTTTAACTACTCTATATAATGGTGATATTCACAACAAAATCAGCCTGGTCATTCTGTGGACAGATGACCAGCAACTGTTTGCCTGCTACATGACTTTACTTTTGTTCTTTTTCATCCTAGATCTAGACTGTCGTAACTTGTTCTCTGCAGAGCGATTGTCTACAGGCTGAGCCCGCAGTTCAGGTTCACGAAGAGACTTCTGGAGTTCAATGTGGTTATCAGGTGCTGCCACCTTCAGGGCACCGGAGGGTTCAGGGGGAGGTGAAGGAGTACCAGGCAGAGAGTAATCTATGAGGTCTGATAACCCGCTTAAACTCCCTGTGATATGGAACAAAGAGGTTAGAAAACAGGACAGACAAGACATTGGTTATTGTACAAACATTGACACAATACAACTATAAACCCATGATAGTAGTTACACATGCAGAAAGAAATGATTATTACATCACATATGACAAGTTCAGAATGAAATTATAGAAAGATTTTTTTCTCAAATTAAAAAAAACACCTTTTATAGGCTATGTGAAATGCGAAGCCAGATTTCTCTTGTAACAGACTATCCATCATTACTTTTTCAAGTTTTTTGTTTTTGTCTCCAAAGATGATGACAAAAATAGACATGCATTATGTCTCAAAATAGTTTTTAAAAAGCTTAAATTTTTAGTCAAGTATTCCATAAAAGAAAAAAGAAAAAAAGAAAGAAACACCTTGTATGTCATTTAAATAATTTCATGGCTGTATAAAACAGTACAGTAGTACGATACCATTTAAAAAGAATTTAAAAAATGCAAAAAATTGCATCCAATGTGTGAAGGAAGTATTCCTATGACCAGTAAAGTTGGCTGATGATACAGTTAAAGATTACACGAATAAAAACTGCATACACTTGGTGTGTTTTGGAAGGTTCGTGTGGTACCAATAACATTAAATACAGAATACAGCACAAAGACAATATAAAACATATAAAGCAATTTGACAATTACAGAATCCCTTTCAAAATCTGTATGACCTAATGACAACAAGTTGGGTCTAAATGGGTTTTTGGCCACTACACTTTAAGAAAATCTGAAACAATAATTTTATATATAATACAGTTTACCGGAGCAACTAATGATAATCTAAAATATTTACCCTCCCTCCAAAAAAACAAAAAATACACAGAAGACTATGTAGGAATTGATTAGAACATGGACAAATTCAGCTTGTTACAATCAATTCAGCAGGAACAACATCACATTACCCTTGTCCAGGTCTTAGTACTCAGGTAATCTTAATGACAAGGACGGATTAATTAACATCCCCAATGACCATGAGCTCACATCAAATAGATATATATATATATATTTTACCATCCACCACTGATACATATTGTACCTGACTGGTTGGAGTAAAGCGACATAACAGTCACTGTAAAATCAACAAAGATAAACAAGATGAGGACAGATTTTTTGTCTAAGGCTGTTAAGCAATAAACCAGTTTCTGGATAGGATAAATGCAAAATGTTCTGGTTAAATATGATATATATCAAGCATATAAAAAAAGAAAACATTTGAGATGTAAAAATATCTGGTTAGTAAAAAATATATGAAAGCATAAAGGATAAAAAAAATTGAGCTTTCAAACATTGCAGAATGTGAATTCCCAAGCATAAATAGGCTTCTTTCAGAGAACGGTACATAAAGCAAAGGTAGGCATCTTGTTAAAAATGCAAAGGAAGAGTAAAAGTAAAGTGATTGTTTATTTGTTTATGTAAACAATATTTAAAATTTGAAATATATGTCATTGTTGAAGCAGAATTTATATACGGGTATTTATAGGTGTTACATGTCTATTGCTACATTGTATATTAACCTAGCTCTCTCAAGTTTTCCCCCCAAAAAATTGCAATAAATAGAAAGATTAATTGAGAAATTGACAAACACTATTAAATAATTATTAATTAAAAGGTATTAAATATTTTGAGATTACATGATTATAAAGAAGATTCTATTCATTAAATGGCTATGTAAATATAAAGTGAAACCATTTTGTTTTAGTGAATCATATACATGTATATATAAGAGTTACGGGTCATTGAATGGTGCAGGTGGGAGTACAATATATAGTATGGTGTGATAAATCTACATAAAAAAGGTACAAGCTTTTTCCAGGTAAGTATGGTGATTTATAAAAATGCATGAATATGCTGGACAGTGAACTTACATGGAACCAAATTGATAGTGACTGTGGTAACAAAAACACAGATACATGTACAAACACATATGACGGCATAGCTTTGTGACAGTCTAGCTCCCGCTATATTCCCGAGGACTAGTGGGGAATTGGGCGGGTATATACAATTATAGCATATTGATGGGAACGTGTAAGGTGGATAAAGAAAAAATACATTTGCATAAAGCATAATTGTTCAATCTTTAACTTTTTTGTAATCATTAACATGTACTTATAAGACATAACAAAATGGTCCTGATCGTAACATTACTGTACAGTTTCTACGTTGGTACTGAGCGGAACAATACTGTACAGTTTCTGCGTTGGTACCGATCGTAACAATCCTGTACAGTTTCTACGTTGGTTCCGATCGTAACATTACTGTACAATTAGCTCCGTTGGTACCGATCGTAACATTACTGTACAGTTTCTACGTTGGTACCGATCGTAACATTACTGTACAATTAGCTACGTTGGTACCGATCGTAACAATACTGTACAGTTTCTACATTGGTACCGATCGTAACAATAAAGTACAGATTCTACGTTGGTACCGATCGTAACAATACTGTACAGTTTCTACGATGGTACCGATCGTAACAATACTGTCCAGTTTCTACATTGGTACCGATCGTAACAATAAAGTACAGATTCTACGTTGGTACCGATCGTAACAATACTGTACAGTTTCTACATTGGGACCGATCGTAACAATACTGTACAGTTTCTCCGTTGGTACCGATCGTAACATTACTGTACAGTTTCTATGTTGGTACCGATCGTCACATTACTGTACAGTTTCTACGTTGGTACCGATTGTAACATTACTGTACAGTTTCTATGTTGGTACCGATCGTAACATTACTGTACAGTTTCTACATTGGGACCGATCGTAACAATACTGTACAGTTTCTACATTGGGACCGATCGTAACAATACTGTACAGTTTCTCCGTTGGTACCGATCGTAACATTACTGTACAGTTTCTACATTGGTACCGATCGTAACAATCCTGTACAGTTTCTACGTTGGTACCGATCGTAACAATACTGTACTGTTTCTACCTTGGTACCGATCGTAACAATACTGTACAGTTTCTCCGTTGGTACCGATCGTAACATTACTGTACAGTTTCTACGCTGGTACCGATCGTAACATTACTGTACAATTAGCTACGTTGGAACCGATCGAAACAATACTGTACAGTTTCTACATTGGTACCGATCGTAACAATAAAGTACAGATTCTACGTTGGTACCGATCGTAACAATACTGTACAGTTTCTCCGTTGGTACCGATCGTAACATTACTGTACAGTTTCTATGTTGGTACCGATCGTAACATTACTGTACAGTTTCTACATTGGGACCGATCGTAACAATACTGTACAGTTTCTACATTGGGACCGATCGTAACAATACTGTACAGTTTCTCCGTTGGTACCGATCGTAACATTACTGTACAGTTTCTATGTTGGTACCGATCGTAACATTACTGTACAGTTTCTACATTGGGACCGATCGTAACAATACTGTACAGTTTCTCCGTTGGTACCGATCGTAACATTACTGTACAGTTTCTACATTGGTACCGATCGTAACATTACTGTACAGTTTCTACGTTGGTACCGATCGTAACAATACTGTACTGTTTCTACCTTGGTACCGATCGTAACATTACTGTACAGTTTCTACGTTGGTACCGATCGTAACATTACTGTACAGTTTCTACATTTTGATTCTCAAAATATATTACATTGTTGGCCTCCCGTATTTTAAAGAATTAAGCTGTCAATGAAGTCATTTTTTATCACTTTTCATGGTTATTTGTTAATTATAGAGGTAACACAAACTTTGGTTGTAAATAACTTAGTATGATTCCAACACTCACAGCAAATCAACTGATTAGTTTATCAAAGCCACCAATATTGTGGTTATACTTTAAGCTGTTATGAGACACAGAACACTGTTAGAGACCAGAACAAGCCACCAGACATACACCAATGTTATCCTTCAAAACTGAAAATTTCATCTTTTTAATTTTCATTGGCCAATTACACAAGTCATACTGCACTGGTCTGTCTCACCACTAGTTATACATGTCTGCACTTAAACTTTACATAACACATCGACATAGAAATTGAGAGAAAATAAATATCTATAGTGAAATTAATAAATGAAGGATGACAAAATTGTCATTTACATTGTTAGGCTGGGGATGTAGGTCACATAACCACCCTGGGTTCTTTTGGTCCTAATTCTAGTTGTCAGGGCAAACTCAAGCATGTGTAGTGAACCTAAAGCCCCGCCAAGCAATGTAGATAACTGATATTATATTGGGCTACATGCAGCACACCTACACAACACTGGAGGCTGTGCAGCCAGGTATACATACACATCAGTACAGTGTACAGGTAGGGTGTGTACAGGTAGAATGTGTACAGGTAAATGATGTGCACATGTGTGTGAACATTGTGTTCATTTGTATAATTTGCTAATCTAACACTTAGATGAAACTGAACAATATCTCAGAACCAGTAGAGAAAATAACATCACCTAAAATTCATTATACATGTACATAATAAACTCTAGCAATGTTTCTTTAAAAAATATGTATACATCTCAAAACAGAAATGTTATCAAAAACAAGACAAATTATGTAATAAAAAGATAACCAATAATAAAAATATGACAATATTTCACAATCTACAAAATATATTATCTTACTGTTATTTCAAAGGTGAACTTATTTGAAAATCTGCAAATCAAGTTAAAATATTTTGATTCAAAGATATTACCTGATCTTGAGGACCTGATGTCTACCTCGTCCTTTGCCCCCTTAAGGTGGGTAGGTATCATGCCCCTGAAAAAGGGGTATGGGTCATCCCAGGGGATGGCAGAGTGTTCGACCCCTTCACTGTCCCGTGTGATGATGAAACCATTCGGGTCTGTACTTGTAAGGTCCATACTCTCAAATACAAACTGCTTGAAGGCACGGTCAATCTCTGGCAATAACAATTATTATACAACTCATCTTTCTGTAGAATATAACCTACAATATGAAAATAAATACTATTCATTATAAAAAATATAGTCTTAAACTAAGTGCTTTCCTTTACATTTGAAACTGTTTATTTAAAAAAATTACCTGATTGCGACAATCCTCCAGTTGCACAAAAGTGTATCAACTCCTGGAGTCTGGCTGCTCGCTCCCTTGCAATGCGAGACCCAGGCCGAGGAACATGTGTCAGCGAAGAAAATGGCAGACGCTTCAGCATTTCTTTCTCCACCTCCTCAGGGTTAAAGTTGAATATCTTTTTCAGATGGTTGGTCCTGGCTGAGATTTTGTCGTGGTGGTTCATTAATAATGGCTGTCCTGGTGTTTCTAGGGGTTTCTCTTCAGAATCAAATACATCAGACATGATCTGGTAAGTAGAGAAATGCAAAATAAGTTATTTCAGTTTTGTTCTTGTCAAGATAATGACATCAACAGAACAACTAAGGTGTTTTCTTATAAAAATTTGTGACAATATTTGTCATGGATAATTTTTTCTTCTTTTTCGTATGGTGAAGAATGTTTTGAAGTTGTATATATATAACATTGGTGTCAATATTACGGTACCTTCTGTTCATCCTCTGAGAGGGCAAGTTTGAAGGCCAGACCACTGATGTGAGCAGCCAGCTCAGAGTTGAGGCCGTCCTGTCTTTTTGGAGGGAGCTGTTCACTGGGAGGATCAATATTCTCTTCTGTTGCAACAACCTACAAACACATACAGTGATGCTATGTTAATATCAACAGCCTACAAACACATACAGTGATGCTATGTAAATATCACAACAACCTTACACACATACAGTGATGCTATGTAAATACCACAACAACCTACAAACACATACAGTGATGCTATGTAAATATCACAACAACCTACAAACACATACAGTGATGCTATGTAAATATCACAACAACCTACAAACACATACAGTGATGCTATGTAAATATCACAACAACCTACAAACACATACAGTGATGCTATGTAAATATCACAACAACCTACAAACACATACAGTGATGCTATGTAAATATCACAACAACCTACAAACACATACAGTGATGCTATGTAAATATCACAACAACCTACAAACACATACAGTGATGCTATGTAAATATCACAACAACCTACAAACACATACAGTGATGCTATGTAAATATCACAACAACCTACAAACACATACAGTGATGCTATGTAAATATCACAACAACCTACAAACACATACAGTGATGCTATGTAAATATCACAACAACCTACAAACACATACAGTGATGCTATGTAAATATCACAACAACCTACAAACACATACAGTGATGCTATGTAAATATCACAACAACCTACAAACACATACAGTGATGCTATGTAAATATCACAACAACCTACAAACACATACAGTGATGCTATGTAAATATCACAACAACCTACAAACACATACAGTGATGCTATGTAAATATCACAACAACCTACAAACACATACAGTGATGCTATGTAAATATCACAACAACCTACAAACACATACAGTGATGCTATGTAAATATCACAACAACCTACAAACACATACAGTGATGCTATGTAAATATCACAACAACCTACAAACACATACAGTGATGCTATGTAAATATCACAACAACCTACAAACACATACAGTGATGCTATGTAAATATCACAACAACCTACAAACACATACAGTGATGCTATGTAAATATCACAACAACCTACAAACACATACAGTGATGCTATGTAAATATCACAACAACCTACAAACACATACAGTGATGCTATGTAAATATCACAACAACCTACAAACACATACAGTGATGCTATGTAAATATCACAACAACCTACAAACACATACAGTGATGCTATGTAAATATCACAACAACCTACAAACACATACAGTGATGCTATGTAAATATCACAACAACCTACAAACACATACAGTGATGCTATGTAAATATCACAACAACCTACAAACACATACAGTGATGCTATGTAAATATCACAACAACCTACAAACACATACAGTGATGCTATGTAAATATCACAACAACCTACAAACACATACAGTGATGCTATGTAAATATCACAACAACCTACAAACACATACAGTGATGCTATGTAAATATCACAACAACCTACAAACACATACAGTGATGCTATGTAAATATCACAACAACCTACAAACACATACAGTGATGCTATGTAAATATCACAACAACCTACAAACACATACAGTGATGCTATGTAAATATCACAACAACCTACAAACACATACAGTGATGCTATGTAAATATCACAACAACCTACAAACACATACAGTGATGCTATGTAAATATCACAACAACCTACAAACACATACAGTGATGCTATGTAAATATCACAACAACCTACAAACACATACAGTGATGCTATGTAAATATCACAACAACCTACAAACACATACAGTGATGCTATGTAAATATCACAACAACCTACAAACACATACAGTGATGCTATGTAAATATCACAACAACCTACAAACACATACAGTGATGCTATGTAAATATCACAACAACCTACAAACACATACAGTGATGCTATGTAAATATCACAACAACCTACAAACACATACAGTGATGCTATGTAAATATCACAACAACCTACAAACACATACAGTGATGCTATGTAAATATCACAACAACCTACAAACACATACAGTGATGCTATGTAAATATCACAACAACCTACAAACACATACAGTGATGCTATGTAAATATCACAACAACCTACAAACACATACAGTGATGCTATGTAAATATCACAACAACCTACAAACACATACAGTGATGCTATGTAAATATCACAACAACCTACAAACACATACAGTGATGCTATGTAAATATCACAACAACCTACAAACACATACAGTGATGCTATGTAAATATCACAACAACCTACAAACACATACAGTGATGCTATGTAAATATCACAACAACCTACAAACACATACAGTGATGCTATGTAAATATCACAACAACCTACAAACACATACAGTGATGCTATGTAAATATCACAACAACCTACAAACACATACAGTGATGCTATGTAAATATCACAACAACCTACAAACACATACAGTGATGCTATGTAAATATCACAACAACCTACAAACACATACAGTGATGCTATGTAAATATCACAACAACCTACAAACACATACAGTGATGCTATGTAAATATCACAACAACCTACAAACACATACAGTGATGCTATGTAAATATCACAACAACCTACAAACACATACAGTGATGCTATGTAAATATCACAACAACCTACAAACACATACAGTGATGCTATGTAAATATCACAACAACCTACAAACACATACAGTGATGCTATGTAAATATCACAACAACCTACAAACACATACAGTGATGCTATGTAAATATCACAACAACCTACAAACACATACAGTGATGCTATGTAAATATCACAACAACCTACAAACACATACAGTGATGCTATGTAAATATCACAACAACCTACAAACACATACAGTGATGCTATGTAAATATCACAACAACCTACAAACACATACAGTGATGCTATGTAAATATCACAACAACCTACAAACACATACAGTGATGCTATGTAAATATCACAACAACCTACAAACACATACAGTGATGCTATGTAAATATCACAACAACCTACAAACACATACAGTGATGCTATGTAAATATCACAACAACCTACAAACACATACAGTGATGCTATGTAAATATCACAACAACCTACAAACACATACAGTGATGCTATGTAAATATCACAACAACCTACAAACACATACAGTGATGCTATGTAAATATCACAACAACCTACAAACACATACAGTGATGCTATGTAAATATCACAACAACCTACAAACACATACAGTGATGCTATGTAAATATCACAACAACCTACAAACACATACAGTGATGCTATGTAAATATCACAACAACCTACAAACACATACAGTGATGCTATGTAAATATCACAACAACCTACAAACACATACAGTGATGCTATGTAAATATCACAACAACCTACAAACACATACAGTGATGCTATGTAAATATCACAACAACCTACAAACACATACAGTGATGCTATGTAAATATCACAACAACCTACAAACACATACAGTGATGCTATGTAAATATCACAACAACCTACAAACACATACAGTGATGCTATGTAAATATCACAACAACCTACAAACACATACAGTGATGCTATGTAAATATCACAACAACCTACAAACACATACAGTGATGCTATGTAAATATCACAACAACCTACAAACACATACAGTGATGCTATGTAAATATCACAACAACCTACAAACACATACAGTGATGCTATGTAAATATCACAACAACCTACAAACACATACAGTGATGCTATGTAAATATCACAACAACCTACAAACACATACAGTGATGCTATGTAAATATCACAACAACCTACAAACACATACAGTGATGCTATGTAAATATCACAACAACCTACAAACACATACAGTGATGCTATGTAAATATCACAACAACCTACAAACACATACAGTGATGCTATGTAAATATCACAACAACCTACAAACACATACAGTGATGCTATGTAAATATCACAACAACCTACAAACACATACAGTGATGCTATGTAAATATCACAACAACCTACAAACACATACAGTGATGCTATGTAAATATCACAACAACCTACAAACACATACAGTGATGCTATGTAAATATCACAACAACCTACAAACACATACAGTGATGCTATGTAAATATCACAACAACCTACAAACACATACAGTGATGCTATGTAAATATCACAACAACCTACAAACACATACAGTGATGCTATGTAAATATCACAACAACCTACAAACACATACAGTGATGCTATGTAAATATCACAACAACCTACAAACACATACAGTGATGCTATGTAACTATCACAACAACCTACAAACACATACAGTGATGCTATGTAAATTTCAAAGTCATTTGGTATTTCTGTACTCTCCTAGATTACAAACAAGAGTACCGCGGGGCGGAACAAAATACGCCCGTAATGCCATATAGTGTTATTTACTTTCTTACATTGAAATAAGATCTGCGTCATTCTAAGAGGGTTTAGCTATGCTATAAAAAAAATCTTCAGACAAAAAATAAAAAACTGAAATGAACAAAAGGCAATAAATTTTGCAAAAAATCGTTGAATCAAAATTCTTTTGAGGGATCGAGACACAACTTCATATCATGATTATAAAGTATACCAAGTTTCAAATAGATCGGTCGAAAAATGTAGGTGGAGATTGCCGGACAAAAGAAGTTTACGTCGGCCGGACAACGCCATACCATAATACTACCGTCAAATTTGACAGTCGTATAAAAATATCAGTTTTATTACATTTTCAAATTATCTCTTACTTGCACTGACTTTTAGAAATGGAACAGGAAAAATTTGAACACCCAAAAATAAAGAAACAATTATATGTTTTGGTATTCAATAGACGTGTTCCTTTAGATGTGCTTGACTTTCTATGATATATCAGATTTGTGTAACTTCACATTTTAGAGACAGTTACAGGGATAGCGAGTAACACATTTATACAGTGGCTAACCTGTTCTAGCATGGAGTGCATGATGAGTGACACGCTAACACTCTCCTGTGGCACACAGTTCATCAGGTCATTGTAGAACCGCATGTCCACTTGGGGGGCAATCTCTAGCATGTCCGGGTGGATAGAGGGCACACTTGGGGCAGGGGGTTGTTGAGCAGATGGGGTGGGGGCACTAGACATGGCAGGGCGTTCCTCTGGAGAGTAAATAAACATTGTTTAAAAATATAAACACCACACACAAATAAACAATTCTTTGTTTATGTTTATTCCTATATCTTGTCATTTTCATGGCAGTTTTAATTTTTGCAGAAAGAGGAATTCGCATATATTTCTAGGACAAAATCACATATGAAGAGTTTGGATCATTAAGAAACATTATACAATTGAAAGAGTTAATTGTTAAATCATTACAGTGGAAAATGTCTTTTTTTTTTGCATTGTCTGATATACTGTGAAAATCCTCGAAAAAATAACTAGCAGCCGAATGGGCTTGTATAATTCCTTTTTATTCATTTCACTCTGGAGACCTTCAAAACCTCATACCGGGTATATAAATAGGCTAAATACCACACATATCCCTAACTTAACCTTTGTCTGATTACCCACAGAACACATGTCTAAAACTCACTAAATTTATGTATATATACCCATAGTATATATATGTCCCTAATTCACCTTATGTCTGATTACCCATAGAGCACCTGTCCCTAACTCACCTTACATCAGATTACCCATAGAGCACCTGTCCCTAACTCACCTTACATCTGATTACCCATAGAGCACCTGTCCCTAACTCACCTTACATCAGATTACCCATAGAACACATGTCCCTAACTCACCTTACATCTGATTACCCATACAGCACCTGTCCCTAACTCACCTTACATCAGATTACCCATAGAGCACCTGTCCCTAACTCACCTTACATCTGATTGCCCAAAGAACATCTGTCCCTAATTCACCTTACATCTGATTACCCATAGAACACCTGTTCCTTACTCACCTTTTGTCTGATTACCCTTAGAACACCTGTCCCTAATTCACCTTATGTCTGATTACCCATAGAACACCTGTCCCTAACTACCTTTATGTCTGATTGCCCAAAGAACATCTGTCCCTAATTCACCTTACATCTGATTACCCATAGAACACCTGTTCCTTACTCACCTTTTGTCTGATTACCTTTAGAACACCTGTCCCTAATTCACCTTTTGTCTTATTACCCATAGAACACCTGTCCCTAATTCACCTTACATCTGATTACCCATAGAATACCTGTCCCTAACTACCCTTATGTCTGATTACCAACATAACATCTGTCCCTTATTCACCTTACATCTGATTACCCATAGAACACCTGTCCCTAATTCACCTTATGTCTGATTACCCATTGAACATCTGTCGCTAACTCATCTTACATCTGATTACCCATAGAACATGTCCCTAATTCACCCTACATCTGATTACCCATAGAACATCTATCCCTAACTCAACTTATGTCTGATTACCCATAGAACATCTGTCCCTTATTCACCTTACATCTGATTACCCATAGAACACCTGTCCCTTACTCATCTTACATCTGATTACCCATAGAACACCTGTCCCTTATTCACCTTAATTCTGATTACCCATAGAACACCTGTCCCTAATTCACCTTATGTCTGATTACCCATAGAACATCTGTCGCTAACTCATCTTACATCTGATTACCCATAGAACACCTGTCCCTAATTCACCTTACATCTGATTACCCATAGAACACCTGTTCCTTACTCACCTTACATCTGATTACCCATAGAACACCTGTTCCTTACTCACCTTACATCTGATTACCCATAGAATACCTGTCCCTTATTTACCTTACATCTGATTACCCATAGAACACCTGTCCCTAACTCATTTTACATCTGATTACCCATAGAACAGCTGTCCATATTTCACCTTACATCTGATTACCCTTAGAACACCTGTCCCTTATTCACCTTACATCTGATAACCCATAGAACCCCTGTCCCTAATTCACCTAATGTCTGATTACCTATAGAACATTGTCCCTAATTCACCTTATGTCTGATTACCCATAGAACATCTGTCGCTTATTCACCTTACATCTGATTACCCATAGAACATCTGTCCCTAACTCACCTTACATTTGGTTAGTGATTACCCTTAGAACACCTGTTCCTTACTCACCTTACATCTGATTACCCATAGAACACCTGTCCATATTTCACCTTACATCTGATTTCCCATAGAACACCTGTCCATATTTCACCTTACATCTGATTACCTATAGAACACCTGTCCATATTTCACCTTACATCTGATTACCCATAGAACATCTGTCCCTAATTCACCTTACATTTGATTAGTGATTATCCTTAGAACACATGCTCCTTACTCACCTTACATCTGATTACTCATAGAACACCTGTCAATATTTCACCTTACATCTGATTACTCTCAGAACACCTGTCCATATTTCACCTTACATCTGATTACCTATAGAACACCTGTCCATATTTCACCTTACATCTGATTACCCATAGAACACCTGTCCATATTTCACCTTACATCTGATTACCAATAGAACACCTGTCCCTAACTCAACTTATGTCTCAATACCCTTAGAACACCAGGCTGTAACTAACCTTGCACAGGAGCTGCTGGCTGACCAAACAATGGCACATGGAGTAATCTGAGATTCTCTAGGTAGTTCTTGTACTGACGACGAGAATCAATCAGATCGTAGATCATGCAGGCTACATCCTCAAACATAGCAAGGCCAAACGCATTCTGGAAGTAAAAAACAGGGAATGCTATCTCAACGTCTTTGCCCCGATGAGCGTTAACTGGGAAACTTGAAGGAATGTTAAGTATACTCCTACTGACTAAGTTTAACATAAACCTATGAAAGGAAACTCTGGGTACTGATTGATACTGGATACTCCATTTTCCAGACAACACACTGGACTGATGTTTTTTGCTCTTCTCCCCACATTTGTTTTTAAGGATATATTTTATGAAGTGTATTTAATATTTTAATATAAACCATGAATAAAATAATGATAGCTTCAATTTACAATGATATGTAATCTCGTACTGAAAATGTCAAAACATATTATACACTATATACTAGTACAGTGTGTTACCTTTTGTTCAGCATCTTCAAGATCTTCTGGTATGAGAAGATTCTTCACCTCATACTCCTGTCGAGCAATGTCATGGAGTCGAGAACCATCAGGTTGTTTCTGTAATACCAGGAGAACATCCTTCCAGAACTCTTGGAGGTCCTTCTTTATCTTCAATTTGGTAGCTCGCTCCACCTCCTCCAGCACTGTGGCCAATAGAAGGAAAATGTTATAAAGAATTAACGTCTACAGAGATTTACACACAAACACACCATCATCTACATATCCAAAGGACAACACCAATATAAAATATCAAGTTATTTTCTATTACCTTCCCATGGAGGATTACAATATTTTGTTAGAATTGTTTTTTAACTTAAGTAAAATATAAATGTCCATGAAAAGGATTTCTCGGCAATTTTATTTATTTTACATTGCAAAATAATCACTTTTGGTTATCATTGATGCATTTATTACAGCATATGGGAAATATACAGTCATGATATCTTCATGCAAAAATAAATAAATAATGAACATGATCATTTTTTTATGAAATGTGTTGGTTCTGAAAGTTCTCACTTTTTTTAGCATCAATACATATCTATATACAGTGTACATATATGCAATTCATTTGCTAATCTAGCTTTCTATTCTATATTGACTACAGGGTGTAACTTTATATTAATTTTTTGAGGTTAATTGAGATTGAATATGAAGGCCTTTCCCATTGTTTCATAGTCAGGGTGTGACCTTATTCAAAAGGACAGATAGTACCAAAGGTGTTGGCATTTAAGAAGAATTAAAAGACATGTCAAGGACTTTGCTCTCCATTTCCAATAATTAATTCAGTATGATGCCTATAAGACTCAAATTATAAAATGTGAAGCTTACAGAAGGTTTTGCCCATTCTGGGTAGATATCCCTGTCCTCACTAATGGACATTCAAGAGTATGTTTCTCTCATTCCAATGATCAGAATAAGCCCAAAATAAGAAACCATGGAAACGTGTTTGCAGGGGCTACCATTTAACCATCAACTTTTCCCTTAAGCTTTACAGAAGAAAATTATTCATTCTGTTAGTTTTAACCCATTTCTTCAAACTTAATCCCATCTTTCTGACTGAAGGGATTTATATGATAATGTGGTAATTTTACCCATTGTATTAATGTAGCATTCAAGTTTTCACAATTTTGTGATGTCACATCATTGTTGACATACTGTGGCATCTTACATCCCTTTTATTGCTCTTTAAGTTCTATAATATCAGCACAGAAATGAGAGAAAAATTAACTGTCTTCAACACCCTGGCAATACAGTATGACAGTTCAGCACACTTTCTTTCAGTGTTTCAACATAATTTAAATTTGCAGTTTGATATATATATGCAGGTAATAACTACTTATTATCATCTTTATTAGGTGACTTTGTGAAATTATATATATCTAATCATTAATCTGAAAGTAAATACATTGCAAGAAACAGAAAAGCAGAAACTTAAAGCTCAAATGAAAGCAAGCTAAAGTTTATCAATATATATATATATTTTGTTGCAATATGGATGTATGGTGGTGAACATCTCAAAATATTAGCAACTGACCAATACATTTGATATCCTTCATATTTTTTGGTACCTTTTTCATCTTTTTACTGACTAGCAACCTGATTGAGACATTTGACAGGAAACAATAGAATTCAGCAGTCAACATTTGATAAATATTAGTGGATTTAATGATTAACATTTTCAAACCAAATCAGTTCAATGTGTTAGCAATAATTTACCTTAAATGACATCAACCAACATTTGATTTAAATCATATACATGTATAATTAAATTTATTACTGATAATAAAATATGAGTCAAAAGAACACCAAACCAATAAAATGAATGATGAAATATCAATATTGCAACATTTGGTGGGTGTAAGCACAGCAGAGCTATAGGAACTCATTTTGGTCTGACAAATGGCTTGTCTTTTGGACACAATAGCTGTCTCCACGTGCTACATACCGGCTTTCTGGGCAGCTTTGTCTTTGCCTGGTAATGTAATGTAGTATCCAAACAATTTAGGTACAAATGGGTTGCAATTGATTGTATCTATTTTTCCAATAACTTTTGTCCCATCCCATTTGATTTCACCATTTTTAGTTTATAAAATATTTCTGTTAACAAATTACAATACACCTACACCACTACTACTATATCATAAAGCAACAAAATCATAATCCAGAAAACAAAATGTAAAAAAAAAAGATATTAGAATTTGAACAAATACTACATATGTACCAATACCATTTTACCATCCTCATCCACTTGCTTAATTATGTACAGTATATATATTATAATCCCTTCTCCTGACAAACTCAAATACAATACAAATCCTGTCTCCTGACAAAATTAAAGCTACAACAAACTTACTTAAAGTATCATCACTACGAGGAGTAATATCTTCCATTTTTCCTAACAAGAATATAAATCAAATACATAGAATCGGGACTATTTTTATGAGTACAACTTAAGCTGAAAATATAATAATGTTCAGTTTGGAGAGTTAACTCACACAAATATCTTTCAATGAAATTTCTAACATGTCATCAAAACGTAAGTTGTTTTTTGTTCATTAGTGTTTAGCTTATTTGCAAAAAAAATAGAAATTAAACATATCACAGGATGCATGCAGTTTACATTATCAACCAGAATGATTTACCTAATAAGTGCTTACAAACGATTGCTGTGCTTCAGTAAGTAAAAGTGTTAAGCACACACTGACTAATCTATAGTGATTTTTAAATGTCAAATAAATTATCAGAATAGTTTTATCAATGACATCAATTAGCAGTCCTTACCTTGAGTCTTTTCATCCTTTTCTATTGATGGAACATTATCTTTGTCCTCAAAACTTGAATAGTCCTGAGAGGAAATTCGTAGGATTGAGTCGACTGTGACACTGAGCTCAGCCAGCTGTGTGATGATGTGTGGACTGTTGTAACCGTACACAATGATGTAGTGTTGGGCTCCATCATCTGGCTCATCATCTGAAAATTTGGCATTAAAAACATTACTCCTATATAGACAAAGTCAATCAAAGCGAGGAAAGGTAGGTCAGCAATATTATTACACTACAGTGCTGCAGGACATTCAAATACATTGTAAAGTGGAACTTGTGTACACATGAGCACAAGTAACATTTGGGGGCTGCCATTTTTTGAAAAAAAAGTTGCAGATTTATCTTAAGCCAACATATAGCATAATTTGAAATTGTAGATTAGTAAATAACATAGCAGGTCTACACAGACTTCCTCTTAGGTAATATAACTAATATAGTACACAATGAAACTACAGATAAAACAAGAACCGACTTTAATATCCAGAAAATGGATGTCAAAAATGAACCTTTAAAATCAATTAAGTTTTTTCAATTGGTGTAAAAGCAGATCTTCTTTAGAATAATTTACACTAGCTGTGACTTTTAGACTGTATATTTTTTCATTAATGAAATTTAATTAATGATAAAGTCGACACCAGGGGGCAGTGACAAAATGAGTTCAGTATATGGCATAGCTACACATTACAAATATGATTCTAACAAACATCAATGTCTGTTTAAATACCAGTTAAGTCTTTGTAAATATCATTCTTTTGCAAAAATTTCAAATTCACTATAATGGGAATTTCCTAAAACAAATTGACTGATTTACTTACCAATATATTTTCCTTCATCATCTTCATCTCCTCTCTTCCTCAATTTACTACCCTCCTTGGCTGTGGGAGGTTCTGGTGTTTTCTTACCACCCCCTTTACCCTTTGGGGGTGACTTGCCCCTTTCTTTACCTCCTTTTCCACCTGATCCTTTCCTTGCCTTATCCTTATCAGCTAATGCCTATTTTAACAGATGATAATAAAATGTAAAACAGGTTTACAAGAACATGTATACAGATGTTTATCTATAAAAAATGTAAAATTTTACGTTAAAATAAATAAATCATTTGGATCCTACTGTTTAAAAGGTCAACAGGTGTTCCCAGTGATGCACATTTGTATACATGCATAAAAAGAAACATTTTATTAAAAATTGATATAAGAGAATAATCTTATAAATGAACATAAGTTTTCTAAATGTTGGAAGTGCCACTAACTGTACCTTCTTTTCAGTTTCACGCCTCTTGATGTCTGCAGATTTGATTGCCAGTAATCTGTATTTTATAAGCCGAGCTAACAGAGGAAACGGGATGTCTTCATTATTGTCCAGGTGGATTTTACAAGGCTCTGTAACTTCATAGTGCAGTGGAACATCTTTGGGCTTCTTCCCTTTAGGATTACCAAGTTCTCTCACCTGAAATATATACCGGTGCCTTAGTAAACCCATAAATGACTATCAGTATGACAGATGAGATTACCAGTTTTCTATATCAGAATGACAATGAAACTGATTCTTAGAATATGCTGAATATAATTTGTTTTATTTTTAATCATTCAACTTAATTAAAATAGCATTCAGTAAAGATTAAATTAATATTATATTCCTTTGCAAGAAACTAATATAATTTTTTTTCTTCTCTGAAAACTGGTATCAATATGATTTATTGATAATGCATTTTAACAAACTATTTTTCTTTAAGTGAAATCTACCTCTTCCTCAAGCTTCTGTCTTGATATAATACTGAATAACCTCCGAGGTCCACTAGCAATGGTTGATCCTAAAATGTCTATCCATGTGTAGTCATCAACTTTATTTCCAACCACAAAAGTGATGTTTGCCTTCCAACTTTCCTGTCAAGAGAATAAAAAGAAAAAAATCAATGATCTCTGAACTTCTGATACATTTTGATAGAGAAGAAATGCAATAACCCCTGCAAATAAATTTAAAACATATTGTTGAGTTAATATCGTTCATTACAGAATGATTGCAGGACAATTTTCCCTTTTTTCTTTGATTAATTTCCCTTTTAAGCAAGAAATATTACTTTTTTAGTCTAAAATGGATTTTGTTTAATAATTTTGTTTTTCTTTATTCACACATTTTACAAGGAGCTTCGGGATATTAATATGGTAGGTTGAGAACTTTTGTTAATTTAAGATTAAAAAGTGCTGAAATGCCACCTCGGATCATCTACAGTTTCAAAAAGATTTCTGAGGCTCTCCCCAGTACCCCCCTTATGACGGGGGCTTTACACTCCCCTATTCTACTCTCTCCCTTGGTTTCACCAAGGTGGCTTGTGGGCACCTGCTGCAGCTGGGGTATTTTCCCTAAAACTGGAAAAAGGGTAGCAGAACTTTTTCCTAGATTAAGCCCTGGATTGTGTTTTTTGAAAACAATGAAATCATCAGTTCAATTATTTTATCAATCTATATTTAATGGGGCATCTCACAATTTACATGGACTTTTTAAAATTCCTTAATGAAGAATCAATACAATGAAAATATATAAATGCCATTTATACACAATTCCTTTAAATTCAGAATGCTCTCTACAGCGCCATCATATTTGCAATGGAAGTTCTGTTATTTGCCAACCATTACTAGTTCGATCACAGATCCTAGCCTGTTTGTCAATACTATTGTAGGTGTATAGACAGACAAGGCTCAAACTGCCCTGCAGAAGGATGATTTTTTTATGTTTCTAAAATGACTATGATGTTGAGTGTCTTCCAGTAAGTTTCACCGAATAGTTAACATTTTACCTATCAGCAATAAAAATATTCGTATCACAACACTTCTCGGATTGATTCACAAAAAAAAAACCTCACTTTTACTGTATCGTTTTATTAATGCAATTAAAATTGTTATATATACTGTATATAATTTCCTACATAAACATTGCCTGAATAAATGATACTTATATCGATATGAATGTAATTGGATCAGTGACATGCCTTTTATGTGAAGATAACAACACAATGACACAAACAATACGTGCAGTACTTCTGTAGAACCACATGCATTTTATCAGCTAGAGTAATTTCAATAATAATAGATAAAGAAAACTGCAAACCTCGTCAAATTGTGCAGATAGAAGGGCTTGTTCCCATTTTGCTCCCCCTTGTCCGGAACCGCTTTTTACCCTCTTCCCAGCTTTAGACATCCTGCGAGTCCTTTATAAATATGAACTACAACATCTAACCATCACATAGCGGCCATATTTGTTTGAGGGTTGCTATGATTCTTACGCAGGCGCAGATGGTTAAATTGCACTTTTCCGGTTTAAATGTTCGGGACCTTTTTGGTGCTATCACTCATATAATATGTACGCTTCCGATGCAGTTCGAACTATAGAACAAAGATGGCTGCATTGGTCAAAAAAATCTTCCGGCTGCGAAGGTCCGGTGTTTACTTTCACCGCATGATTGCATTCAGAAAAGAAATATGTCAAGCAAGATGTTTCAGTTATGCGAAAGAGTCTATTGCAATAACTTACTCCGACTTCGGAGACCCTAGGAAAGTCCTAAGAAAGGAAATCATTCCAATGCCGACAAAGCTGGAAAGCTCTCAAATTCTTGTGAAGATGCTGATGGCTCCCATAAATCCGTCAGATATCAACATGATAGAAGGTACATACCATATTAGACCAACATTACCTTCTCTCGTAGGCAACGAAGGGGTAGGAGAGGTTGTCGATGTAGGGGATGGTGTCAAAAACTTGCAGAAGGGAGATTGGGTGTTGCCGGCTCATTCTGCCTGGGGTACATGGAGAACACATGCATTATGTGAGGAGTCTAGTGTAGAAAAGGTCGACAACGACATTCCTGTTCTCGGTGCTGCAACGCTGGCTGTCAACCCGTGTACCGCCTACCGAATGCTGAAAGATTTTTTTCCTGTAAAGCAGGGAGACATTGTAATTCAGAATGGTGCCAACAGTTCTGTTGGACAATGTGTCATTCAACTGGCGAAAGAATGGGGAATTCACACTGTAAACATTGTAAGAGACAGACCTGATTGTAATCAATTGACAAACAACCTAAAAGATCTAGGAGCTACACATGTTGTGACAGAAGAATTTGCTTCATCGCGAGGAATGAGGGACTTTGTGGCAAGCTTACCTAAAGCACCAGTATTGGCTTTGAATTGTGTTGGAGGACGAAGTGCAACTGAACTAACACGTTTTTTAGGTCAAAATGGTGTTATGGTAACATACGGGGGAATGTCAAAGAAGCCGGTTGTTGTTCCAACAGGTGCATTTATCTTTAAAGAAATTCGTTTAGCAGGATATTGGAACACGCAGTGGAATACAATAAACAGTAAATCTCCAGAAAAGTTAAAAATGTATAAGGATCTATGTGACTTGATTCGAGCTGGTAAATTTCTGCCTCCAGAAAGTGATCTTACTTCCATTGACAAGTTTGAGGATGCAGTTGCCCAAGCAATGGAGGGATTTCGTAAAAAGAAGATAGTTCTTGTGATGGATGAAAAATATTTTTAAACTCTGGCAGTGCAGTTTTTCTTTTTCAAGTGCACATTGTTGTTTGTTATAGTTAATTTACCCTGAATGATTGTATGCAGTCAACAAATAGAAAACAGCAGATTTTAGTAATGATTATACGATGCACAAATCTAATTTTCGACACATTTGTAAATATGCATCATGGATCTTAATGATGACTGATAAAATATTGTATTTTGACAGCTATTAGTGTGGTTTTGGAGTTCTATTATTTAACTTAAGTTATGTACTGAACAGAGAAATCATGGTATGTTTTATTTTGTACAACGTAATACGAAATAGATGTATAAATATGATAGCTATTATCATGCTGTTCCTTCCTTGCTGCGGATACAAATGTAGGATGAAGGTATGCAAATATTGAATAAAAAAAATGTAGTGGATATCATTCTTTCCAGGTCAGGGGGAAATACAAATGACAACACTGGTACAAGTACACATACAATGTACATGTACTGGTATATATTTATGCAACACATTAATTCTATACATCAATAGCACTAGCCAATCATCCGTTAACTTTTTCCTTTAAAACTAGTCTCAAAGGATTTTGACCAAATTTGATCTAGAGCACCATATTTGCCAAAGGGTTCTCAATTTTGTATAAATGGTGGGTGTAGCCCCCTTGGAGCAGAGGGCATGGTCCAATAGGGGAAAAAGAGCTGAATATTTAAAATCCTTCTCCTTTCAGAGGAATTGAGGGATTTTAACCAAATTTGGTCTAGAGCATCATTTGGCAAGTGGAACTCATCAGGTTTGTATATATAAACAGTATGTGTGGCTCCCCAGGGGACAGAGGGGTGTGGCCCAATAGGGGAAATTGAGGTAAATCAAAATCCTTCACCTTAAGCTTCCATATGAGGGATTTTATCTCTTACCTGGAGGTATGTACAATTGCTAGGCATGAAGGGAAGAAATCACTCTACCAGGATTGGCCCTGAGGTACAGAGCAACCCTTAACTACATACCTGGGTCATAATATAGAAACAGTTAAGAATCCAATGCCATAATTGTAAAAAAATAACCATTTACAAAATTGCTGAACATGAAGAATACACTTAACTTATGTTCTTGGTATCTTCCCCACCCAAACAGAATTTACATGTAGTCCTTCTTGCAACTTGTATTTCTTGTACTCCTTTTTAAAGCTTTGATAAACTGGTATGGTAATCAGCAGGTTTTGAATTGAAATTGAAATATCAGGTGACCTATTAACGCCCCTGTACCTCTTATATTTTTACCAGATTATTTTGCAAGGAACAATTGCAAACCCTATGGACCATTCAATTTTCTTGCATGGAAATTTGGAATTAGCTTGAAGTGTCTACTACATGTATGTTGAACTAAAGGCAAACTTTGCAGGGGTCAGTTAAGCCTCTGGCCTAGTGCATGCTCTTTTTCTGTTTTTAGGCTAGTTCAATTTACAAGGACAAGCTTTAAGGACCGTTGAATTTTCTTACATGAACATCTGAAAACATGTGATGAAACACCATCCTTAATACTTGGATGACTCTTTTAAAACCAAATGTTGTTTAGCCACGATATGTGATGAAACAACAGTGCACTAATAGATTGTGTTGAGTTCTAGAATCAATTAATTGAATGCTAGTTGTAATCTGAAATGTTAGTGATGTAGATTGGACAGTACATGTCCTGACCCTGATATCGATGTACTTTCAAATCCAGTCTGACATCGATAAATAAAACAGTAGTCAGTTGCAAGATATTCCCTGGAAACTATGCCTATTGTTCTATTTAAAACTTGAGGTCATATCGACACTGCAGTGAAGCAAAGTTTATTATGCGACACGTTGCTTTCCCATAAAGTACCCTCACACCAAGGCTGGAATCTGTACTACACGTTTTTTAGCACTCAAGGTAAAAGGAAGTATTGCACTGTATTTAAGAATTTAACATCAAAGTCTACAGTCAAACAGAGGTCAATTATATTGACATTAGGATGCGACACACCATTCATTAAACAGTGGTGGAGATATGCTCCCGAAACTTGTTTTACACCTTATTTTATTCAGTTGAGGCCAAAGTACAAATAAAGATTGCAATGATCTTTAGCATGTGATACACCGAGTCCTTCCCATGCATGATATACCTACATGTACATATGTATAACAAAGTTTAATGACTATTCTTGGCAGATATATATATGCTCTAGCCGACAACGTGAATATTACCTGGGTTTACATAATTGCACCCCAAAACCATTCAAAGCAGGGGTATAAAGATAATGTAAAGGATACGTGCAAATTTGACAGCCATTCATCCTAGCAAACTACATATTGTTTTGTGAAAGTAATTTGCCAAGTTTTTGACTCGCATGTTAGGGTCATTGAATTGAACACCTCTAGTCTGGTAGTCAGAGACCTTTACTCCAGAAATCTAGAGGGCAAAATTGCATGGTTCTCAAGATTATTATTTTTTTAAATATTTATTGCTCTTCAAAGTGTTTCCACTCCCGAAGTGCTTTGCTTCAAAACATATAAGAGCTTGAATAAGTAGTATGTGGCACATGTATGTATGTCCATGAAATTCACTGATAGAACTGATGGTCTGGACAAGGAAAAAAATACATGTACCTCTGTATATCCACGATACTCGAGGGGTTACGCTCACTTTCGCTCTCTGCACCCCTGGAATATGTTATAGCAAAATCCAAGGCATGGGGCTAGCTGTTTGATTGGTCTCAGGTAAAAACACTTTACCAATCCAGTGAATATACCTGTCCTTTGAAGATTAAAGAGGAGGGACACCCGACTTCAAAACCAGTCAATTTTACCATTACCCGACCGACAAATTCTTTTTATGTACATCAAAGGGTCAAACTAGTCTTTTGTCTCATCCACAAGGTGGTGCACACTGAGCCTTCAATTTAGCTATGTCATATTCCAAGGGTGCAGAAAGCGAAAGTGAGTGTAACCCCTGGAGTATCGAGGATGCCTCTGTATAACTATGTGTGTCATTGACCTTGGAAGAGTGATCTGTCAATGGTACCAGACACATTATCTAGTGATGATCTATGATGCAAAATTCTCCTTCAGTATATTTGTGAATTTTGTTTAAACACTGGACATTACTCATAATAAAGACACTAGTATAATAGTGTTACCAGCAACAAGTCCAGGAGTACTTTCAGCTCACTTCAATAAACACTTGGTGTAACAGGAACTTTTTATATTTACACGTCGGAGACAAAATGACACCATTGTCCAATAAGGAAATAATGGACAGAGCATTCTTAATTCAAACATTCATAGTAGTTTGGCACTTTACCTTCAGAGGTAATTTTTGTAGTCAGTCCATTTATGATTTTGTAGTCGGTCCACTGGAGTTTTACCATTGGTGTGAAAAAATGACAAAAATATATACATACATGTAGGAACCAATTTAATGACAATCTCAACATTCATGTCATACATCTCGAATAATAACATTAATCCCTTAACTAAAAGTCAAATGATTGCACAAAAGTATTATAAAATCTGTTGTTTTTGATGATGTGTTCACAGTCTAAACCCCCGACCTTAAAATGTGACTTTATCATTCAAGCCAGTATATCGTATATATGCAAAATGCATTTTGATATAATTGTTTTTACATGAAAAAATTGTTTAAGATACATGACAAAAAAGGGTTAAATGATAATTAAAACAACATTTGCAAATAAGGTTTTTAACTTTTTAGAATTATCCAATGTTCAAAAAATGTGACGCATACACACACAAAAAAAGGTCTTTCATATAATCGAGTTCAACACTACAAAATCTTAAGTAATATTTCATTTGAGAGAAATATTGTGGAATAAAGAATTTTTTGTCCAAGAACACCTCCTGTAAAATTTATATATATGCAATATCATAATTAATCTATAATGTCTGAAATATTTAAACAAGTTTCTGACACTATGAAGCATGCAACCAATACAAAAATATAATATCAAAATGAAAAGTCAAGCGCTTCAATTTCTGGACGGACTTATCACAAAAACACAGGCACATTACAAACATTTGATATTCAATGATACTTAAGTGAATTGTCACCTACAGTAACATAGGCCACTATCAGATCTCGTTATTTTGATACCTACATAACATTGAGCTATATTAATGATTCCTACACTCCTTCATCCTTTATTTCACTAACAGTTATAAAGACGTTAACAATATAAACAGGAAAGAGATCTCCAATGTTCATACTAACAGACACATCTAACACTTATAACAAAGATCATAGTATATACATACAGTGTAGCTCACACTACTATCACGTCACTACAGAAAGAAACGCAGAAAGAAAATGCAGAAGACTGATACTATATATATATAACCCTAACATTTCACTTAAGTTTTGAAAGAAATGAAACAAATTTATGATTCACTTAATTCACAACTTTTCAGACAAACCACAACAAATTTGAAAATGAATGCTTTTCTGCAATGTGAAAATTAATTCTTTTCCTGGTCCAATCGTCCTAGCATAAAGTATCAAACATTCTGCAACTAGTGGGAATGGTTTTAGAGTATGGCAGAATATTTAAAAGCAAAAGAATATAGTGAGTCGGCCGTATAATATGATCAGAGAAGCCAAGCTATATGAGTATGAGGTGAAGGAAGAGAAGGTGAAGGTTAGAGGTCACAGGTAAAATGTTTGAGGTACAGGTAAAGGCTGATACAAAATAAATATCAAGTCCAATACAAAAGGCTATTATAAATAAGCGTAAGGCACATAGTAAATTGCCATTATCAACATGGATAGGCCTAAGAAGATCTGTAAATGAAAAAGAAATTGTAAAAAAAAATGTTATCATTAACCAGGTATTACTGTTGTGTCATTTATGATATTAGCAGTATTTATCTGGTTTCAAGTAAGATAATGTTCCTAGTAATAGACACACTTGGTATGTGTATATTTTGAAATAAAAAAATGTAAGCTACCAACACGGTTGTGACAACAAAATATAGTGCAAGAATTATAATGTTGCAGCAATCTCAATTAATATCACCCAAGAACAAAGTGATATGACCATGAGGAGCAGGGACTATCCAATAAGTGTTGTTAGTTTTACACTAACTTTAATGGGTTGGTTGTTTTTTCACCCTATGCAATGAAATTCACAGGTTTTCCAAATCAAACTTTTAATCACATTTATGTGCTATATTAGCCATTAACCAGTCATAAAACAGTTGTTGTGTCAACCTTAGCCATTGCATTGCAAACACAATTTAAATAATATAATCTTGTGTGCAAAAAATCTATAAAAAATATTCATATTGTATATGCATGTTTTTCTTAATATTTGACCACAACACAAGGATTTGTCTTCACAAATATATCACAATGATGTAGAAATACAAAAAAACTATAATGCTTCCTCAATCCTCCAAATTGAAACATTACACTCACTTATATTCAGTTACTACAACTTAACATTTATGAAACTCATATTTCTATTTATACACATTTTTTCAATTTTCCCTTGAGAACATTACCCTCTAAAAGATCTTTTGTCAGTTACAAGATCTAAGTAAAAAGGAAATGCTTTTTTCGATCAGACAGCAAGTGCAGTACTTACCTGGTTCATGCTCCTTAGGCTAGATGTGATTCATATGATTACTATGGAACTTCAACATTTGAGATAAATTTCCAACAGCTGTGTCAGTAGTAATAACAAGACACTTATCATACACCACACAATACTTCATCATGCCATAAACTTGAAACTGATACTTGAAGATGCCTATCCAAGGGTTCAGTAATATGTATGCAAATCACAACCATTTCTTGAGTATAAGCTACATGTGTATCAGAGGATAGTGAGATGATCATGTAACACCAACGACCATTTCAATCAAATACATGACTTCAGGCCTGCATGCAGTATGAGTTTAGCAAAATTGCTGTCAACAATTCAACCATAACATACAAAAATATCAAATTTACTCAAATCACAGTTGGTTCTATCAATTGTTGATAAACTAATTTTGGCTTTCATAAATTCTCAACACAATTGGAAATGTTCCCCTGAGTTTTCATGTTATGCCTGTATGTGTTTCATTGTGTGGCGTACATTGCTACTGGTCAATTCAATTATAACCATTCAAAAATCTTATTTTCATGAGTTATATAATTCTGTACCATATATAGTTTAATTTTTAACATTCTGAAACGTTTATCAAGAATATTAATAGTGACATGTCTTAATACTAATCAGTACATGTATGTTTAAAATGTTTAGTCCTTAATAGACCGTAACATTTTTATCCATCTGTATCTTTTATGCTGTATATTGTTTATCTAAAATTGGTGAAAGTAAAAATCTCTTTAAATCAATTTATTCTGACATCAGTATTCATTTTGATTTATAACCAAATAATCTGAGACTGTTACATATTTTCTAACTCAAATATAAATATTGAGTCTAACAAACTATACAATGTGTAAGTATTTGATGAAAAAGAAGTTATCTAAGTTATCTTATAGGATTTAATTAACTTGTGTCTGATTCCTTTTAATTTAAACTAAACCTACACTTATTGCAAAGAAAAAAACAAACACTATTTCCGTTTACATTGTACATGATCCTAAATTACCTAATACAGGTATAATGTATACGAAACAAACTTTCTACAAGTCAAAAAAAAGTATAGCCTGTCAAAAGTTGAACTTACATGGAACTAAGTAAAATACCACACTAACATTACATAACATTAAGTAACCTGATCTGTCAGTTTTACTACATGTACTAGTGAAGTGATTCTTTGTCTACTGGTGCTGCAGTTCAGCTGTGTACACGTATCATTAAGGTTTTACTAAATTACTTCTAAGAGTGAAAAAGTCTGCATACCAATTATGCATTCAAAAATGGCATTTTGCAGGCATAAAATATACTCTGGGCACAACTTATGGAATCTGTCGACTGAGTCAGTCGTTACAATAAAACACTTGCGGTAATTTAATGTTTGGAGTCACATCCTACAAGCTTTTTATAGAGGCAGGATTTATCAAAAGATGTTACAGCTGAACTGAAACTTCACCATAAAACCTAAAAAAAAAAAAAAAAACTTTTTCCATATGGGCAACAACCAATAATATTCGGAATTAAACTACCAGGTACCTAACACTAACAAAAATAAGAGAAAGCTAGCCAAGCTAGTGGCAAAATATGTGTCTGTTGCTTGGTGTTTCAAAAATTAAGAATTCTCACAGTTCAAGTAAAAACTTACCCCTTTCGCTTGAAGTAAAACCTATTTTTACCCATCAGATATGAGAAGTACACTTACAATTACACATGGATCAACATTTCATTGAGAAGTGGTCTACCATGCATATACTGCCAGCGACTGTTGACTGACAAGATTATCCGTATGTGTTCTGTTTCTATTGTCCATTAATTAACACGTAACAACTCCAAATTCCAAAATATAGTACACTTGACAGAACAGTTTGAAAATCAATATAGTAGTAAAAGTTGTTTAAGAAATTACAGAAATGTAATGTTTTTAACACAAGGTAATAACATGGAGAATGTACATTTCATTTCAATCACAATACACCAGAAGGTTTTTCATCCGACCAATGAAAACCGTTGTCAAATAACAATATCACATTTTAGGCAAATGCTTATTTAAAATGGTGATATGTAGTCAAATAAGCTTGGGGTAAGACAGAACAGATGAAATGTTTGTGAGATCAAGGAGAGGCACCATTGTGAGAGAGTTACGCACTGTCCATTAGGTCCAGTAAATCATCGTCGTGAGATGCACTGTCCTGAACGTTCAGCTCCCCCATTATTTTATTCAACTCTGCACCTCTCTGTTTCTGTAACAAATACAAGTAAGAACAATTCATTCTCAAGTTTGTTTTATAACTTGATATACAGTAAAACATGTCAATAATACAGCACACTTGATTTAACATATTATAAGCGGTATTCATGAAAATTAAAACATGAATTAATCATAATATAAGTACATGTATAAGATTTGAAGTAAAAAATTCTTTACATTGACAATGAACTTAAAGCTTACAATAACTGATAACTGAAATATGACAACAACATGCATGGCAATTTTGATTTGGACAAGAATAATGATCAGTAATGCGTATACACAAACAACATATACATTGGTAATGTACGTAATGCATACAGAAACAGGATAGAGTACTTATACAAAGGGAGACAATCATTACCAAAACTTAAACTAACCTTAGAGGCATCAATTTTGACCACTTTGGACTCGGCCATTTCTATAGGTTTCATGGTAGCCTCTGCAGCATCACTACAATCAGACAAATGAAATGACTCATAAGTTCACAGACATGTACACAATGTGTTATAGTTTATTCTAAGTTCACAGACATGTACACAATGTGTTATAGTTAATTCTAACAGATCAAAAGCAAATATTGTCAGACTTATTTTCTTCATGCAAAATGAAATCACATTGTAATTTGTTTTTATATGGGAAACAAAACGTACAAGAAATAACTTTTAAAATGTAAAATGTTTTGAAGCTTGAAGTTGACATAATAGCATGTAATAGAGTGATAAGTTTTACAACAAAATGTGAAATAAAAGTAGTAAACCCACTCCTCCTCCTGGTCGTTATTGAAGAGGTTAAGTCGGATCTCCTGTTTGGAGGCAGATTTTCTCCCCCCGATGAGCGTGCTGAGGAGGTCTAGCTGGGCTTTGGCTAAAGGATCTGGGGTGTTGGACTCCTGTTAATAAAACATCTTAAAAATCAATATTTAGTTACTAATTAATAAACATATAACATAAAACTGTCGATGGAATTTCAGGGTTAGACACTAACTTTATTGCTTGGTAGTCCACAGGACTAGTTGAATAGATTATTTACAAGTCCTTTGTCAAGATTTCCTGATAAGGAAACATCGCAATCTACAGTACGAAACATCAAAAGTAATCGACTGTAGGGAACTTAGAATAACTACTGCCATAAAAATATGGTGAGGTTTTAGAAACATTTTGACAATTATCTTGCAATATAACTTATTTTAAGCAGTTTTCTAAATTTTAAAAAGGATTATTCTTATTTTATAATTCACAAGTGCAAAGGACCAGTTGGGTTGGATGTTTCACTTGTCCTTGCCGAAATCTACTATTCCTTGACTAGCGGACTGTAAGTGTCGCCCCCTGAACTTCATAATTACATTTACATTCAAATGAATAAGTTTAGAACATCACATATCAACACATATTCATTGAAAATCTTCAATTAATATAGCTTATTAAGCTTAGGAAACAGCAGTATTTATGCGCTATAATTATAATATTCTATTGTTTCCTTAAAGTATGACATCAGTCTGTGATAAAGTACACTTCATCAATGTCATAATGGAGGTCTACAAATGTAACTTTTTCGTCAGTATTTCTTATAAATTATTAACCTAAGTCCTTCTAATTCTTGTATTCACATTCATTTAAAAACCCTCAGCATCAAAACAATTATGAAATTTGTATGATTTCTATTATGATTTTATATAGTTAGACCCCTGTTTTGTGCCATGACAACATGTCCCTGAACAGAAGACTTACAATGTCGGCACTACGTTGGCCTGTCGTCGCTGTACTCCAGAACTGATACTTACGATATCGGACTCTACGTTGGCCTGTCGTCGCTGTACTCCATAGCTGATACTTACGATATCGGACACTACGTTGGCCTGTCGTGGCTGTACTCCAGAGCTGATACTTACGATATCTGACACTACGTTGGCCTGTCGTCGCTGTACTCCATAGCTGATACTTACGATATCGGACACTACGTTGGCCTGTCGTGGCTGTACTCCAGAGCTGATACTTACGATATCTGACACTACGTTGGCCTGTCGTCGCTGTACTCCATAGCTGATACTTACGATATCGGACACTACGTTTGCCTGTCGTCGCTGTACTCCAGAGCTGATACTTACAATATCGGACTCTACGTTGGCCTGTCGTCGCTGTTCTCCAGAGCTGATACTTACGATATCGGACTCTACGCTGGCCTGTCGTCGCTGTACTCCAGAGCTGATTCTTACGATATCGGACACTACGTTGGCCTGTCGTGGCTGTACTCCAGAGCTGATACTTACGATATCTGACACTACGTTGGCCTGTCGTCGCTGTACTCCATAGCTGATACTTACGATATCGGACACTACGTTGGCCTGTCGTGGCTGTACTCCAGAGCTGATACTTACGATATCGGACCCTACGTTGGCCTGTCGTCGCTGTACTCCAGAGCTGATTCTTACGATATCGGACACTACGTTGGCCTGTCGTCGCTGTACTCCAGAGCTGATGGTTTCCACTGTTCTTACAACACTGTACCTAAAATGTCACAACCAAAACTAGGATCTTAAATCTTTGTTCAGTGTGGTAAACTAGCCTGTACTATCTTTTTGCTTACAGGGACAGGAAGCTCTTAATTAAGATGCAAACACTTAATAAATGTAAGTTATCATACTGTGATTAATGAGAAGATAAATCAGTTAATTTTCTTTCAAAGTGTAGATAAACTAATTAAATCACATGTACATACAAGGATAAAAAGATCACTGAATATTTACTGACTCCTTGTTGTCACTGCCTAGACTAGTGAACTGTTGTATTCTGTTCATCAAGTCCATTTCATACGTTGTCTCAGAAAAGTGTCAAAAAGTATGGTGTTTTGTGCACTGTATAAGTGTAAATTTTCATGCTATGGAATTTTTGCTAATAAACCAAATTTTCATGCTATGGATTTTTTTTCTAATAAACCAGTGTAATAATAATGACATCCATGAAATATAAATAGAGTGTATCACATGTAGGTAAATGGGATATGAGTATACTGAAGGATGAAGTGTTTGGGTAAGAACCACAGCTTTGCCGAGGTTCCAACACCAATTTCTGCACTCGAGGGTGAATATCTATGTCTCGTTTACCTATACATGATGATTGACTCTTTTTCTCCGATCTCAAATATTGGTGTAAACCACAACATCGACACTAAATACAGGAAAATGTCTTGATGACACATTCACAAACTAAGGCAATACATGTATTTGGAAAGAGAAGAAAAAATGATTTACCAATAATATATCTCAAATCTTAAATGATACACACTAGACGTTTAGTGTAAGCTGGTACAATACTATTTCTGTTCATAAGGTGGTCTCACTTGCCAACAGCAAAATCATCAGTGTTATTCAAACAATGATTTCATGGACTTTCGATTGTGACTTCTGAATGTGACATCACAGTAGTAAAGGCAACTCACAGGGTGCACCCATGTGGGATACACATGTATGGTGTACAGTATCACATGGGTGTCAAACTGTTCCCAGGTTGTGATATGTGTATCTTACATATGTAAAGGTGGTTCAAAGTTGCAGCAACATATATTGTCAACATGATGATTCATGCATTTTTAACAGTATAACAAGATAATTATCATAAATATCAACTTCTGCAGAAATTTATATCTGAAATTAATGTGGATCACACAGTTTTGTTGACATCATACATCCATATTTTTTTTTACAGATTTGTTCTTAATTTTGTAGGCAGTTGCTAGTTTTATTAACTTACATATTTGTTCCTAATTTTGTGACCCGACTGCCCTTGATATCAAAGGAGCCTTCCTGTAGAGCAGGGACAAAGTTTCCATTCGCTGGGAACTGGCTGGTGTTTCTAACATTACCACTAGCATCATAAAGCCTGAAAAAAGAAACAACTAAACTGTTAGTAATGTCATGACTCCCTTGAACATGTTTTTTTATAACCATAGTGAAACACAATGGCTTAAAAAGCAGCATCAATCTTGAAAAGAAACATTTTGTTATATCTGAGCTTATCAGAACCCATGAGGGCCATTTTTGATGTGCAGATACGACTTAAGTCAGTATCTTTTGCCACCAAGTATGAACAAAATCATACTGTCCGATAGAATGAAAGTTATAGCCATATACATTGTATATGTCTCAGCCAATCAGAAGAAACGGTTGGTGGCCATCTTGGATTTAGGGATCAAGGTAAAATGACATTACAGTGTATTATAAGATATTCACCAAGTATTATTTAAAATCAACAAAAACACTGTCAAGTCCGCATGAGTCATACAAAGTAGTTCTAACAGTATATCAACTGTATTCTATTTCAGTTAAAATGACTTGAACCCTTGACCAGTGGCCATCTTGGATTTCAGAACCCCACTCTGACATTGGTGTAATTCATGAATGATATATCCATCAAATACCATTTACCACTAAAATGAACACTGGTGGATCAGAAAGGGCAATAAATTGTATTTTTGTAAGTGCTTCCTGCTCTATTTTTTGCAATTAAGGGACCTTGACCTTAGAAACTTTAATAACACAATGTTTATTTGCAATAGATATATTAATGCTTTTGAGTTTCTACATACCTGGTATTCACCATTCTCGGTTTGAATATGGTAAGTGGTACAAGATGATCTATAACACCACTGGCTATATTAGTATATTTCATACAATATATCAACAGCATTTAGAGAAAAGTGTGATACAATGATATTTTTTTAGTGTAATTTTGATATTTCATTTCTGATTTCATATACTTTATAAATATATTATATTGCAAGATTTTGAATGATAGTTCTGTTCCTTGATGAGTTAAGTTTCATATGATAGACATGTAGTATAAAGGACCCTACTAGTAAATTTCTCCCCCATGACCCCCATACCATGGTTACTGCGCTCAATCCCTTTGTCTGTTTTTTTAAACTCAATGACTGAATAAATGTTCGATACCAATGAGTATTGCACTAAACAAATGACATTAATAGTACATTAAGTAGGTTGTCAATTATAATTAGATAATCACATCAAAGAGTCTCAAAAACTCTTTGAAAATAGACTGAAATAACACAACATTAACTCTCTTTGTATCAATTGACACAATATAGCAGTATGTATGAACAGTTTTAAATGACATCAACAAATTATATTAGAATTACTCCAACCCTTCAAGAGGAATCTGAGCCGAATTGTTTTTTACATACTGATCAAGTCTTTAACTCTTTGGAAAGGGATTGAAACAGCATGGCATAAATTACACATGCACAGGTTTAACATCCTAGAAATTCCAGGGGTTATGTGCTATCTAACATTATCTTCAACCTGGCATTTATGTCATGATAAAATTAAAGGATATAAGAGGCCCAATGGGCCTGCATCGCTCATGCACCTAGTATTAATATCATACTTGTAACATTAAAGTGGACTAAAGTAAAGCTAAAGGCAAAATATCAGTGTCTTGACTCAAAGTCATTCAAAAGAACCTGTTAAAAGATTTAAACACATTTGACCCCTGTGACCTTAATGTCAATTAAACAAGGAAATTAAGTTGAACAAACTTTATAGCCCTTCATCCTAGAATACAACTTGCCAAATATCACCACCCTAGACCTTTTGTTTATTGAGAAGATGACTTTAAAAGGTTTATACACAATCTACCCCTATGACTTTCAAGGTCATTCACAAAAACAAACTTTATAGCTTTTCATCTGAGCATGCTACTGGTCACATATCACCACCCAGTGTATTTTGGTTATTCAGAAGAAGTCATTGAAGTTTTTAACATATTTGACCCTTATGACCTTGAATATGATTCAAGGCCATTCTTTTTAACAAATTTTTCAAACCTTTTATCAGAAAACTTTAAAGACTTTGACATATTTGACCCCTGTGAACTTGAATATGGGCAAAGGTAATTTGTTTGAACAAACTTGTAGGTTAACGTTTATGATGTTTGCAAACTTTCACTGAAATCTCTTTAATGCTTTAAAAGTACTTATTAGACTGAACAAGTTTTTGTTACTGGCCAAGTAAACCAAGGGATATCATATGCCCCATATATATTATGTACTAAATATTATTTCAAATATGTTCAGCTTTTTTTAAGGGGTAGTATATCAATGTTTAATAGGGTGAATCAGATGACATAGAGATACCTATCTCGTATTGTTTTTATTGATTCAGATTACATAGAGAAACCTATCTTGTATTGTTTTTATTGATTCAGATTACAAAGGGAAACCTATTACCCATTAGATGCTGTAGTACTGTAAGTTATAAATGTATGCGACTATATGATGTCAGCACATTCCAGATGATTCCTGTGTTGACGGCAAGAGGAGATAAAAGTACACACCTAAACAAATCCCTATGGACTTTGAATTAACCCGGTTTCCATCAATGATGAAGAGTCTCTTTATGCCATTGTTCACTTGGTGAGGCCGGGTAGAGATCAATAATACAATCAGTACATTGTAGGTGTAACAGGCTAGATCAGGATGTGACGGTGTAACAGGCTAGATCAAGACCTGACGGGCTATCTCTACTTAATGGATCATGTCCCCATGAAGCATCTTACAACAATACAGCTATTAACAAGAGTTTGTATTGGAAAAGTCAATTAAGCCATGTTACTTGAGACTGCTTTAAATATCATGAGCTGTAGGAGAACAGCATAGCTCGTCTATTAAAATGATTTTTTGTAAAAAGTGCTAATAGTAACTGGGCCATTACAGGATGTCCCAAATATGTCCAATTTGTTGCTAAGGAACCTCAAAGCAATTGCTGTAACCAATTTACAATGTAAAATTAATTGAAAGTTGAGTTAAACACCAAAACACAGCTTGCCCAAAAACTTTAACCAAGTGGGAAGCCGTGGGATAGACAAGCTAAAAAGGTCACAGATGATTTGTGGATTTAAAAGTCTGGTGGACATTGATCAGGTCTCTACAGCAACACACTTTATCCTCATACAAAGGTGATTACAATTGACATGAAGAAACAAGAGCTTAACCAGTGTCCGTCATCGCATTTCTCTTCTTGAAACAAGATGTAAAAAGATTTATTAATCAGAGTTTAGTGAGCTGATTAATCATACAAAGATTTTGCTCAATCTTAACCAGTGTTTGTAAGATATGGATGCTGAGGAAAAAGTTAATGGGGAGAGTCTGTACCAGAAGGCATTTTCTGATAGGGTTAAAATAGCAAAATAAACCAAAACACTAAATACAGGATCAGGCTTTTACCTAATGTATGGAGCTTTAATGGTATTCAAATACATGCAAAATAAGGATAATAATATACCAATTTCAGGTTTAGGTCATTTAGTATTACAGTAAGTATACCACATGTGCAGTAATCTTTTTCAGATCTATAAACACATAATTATCTGAGATTTGATTAAGATTAATGCATTGCTTAATTCTGAAAGATTTTATTATGACAGACAAATAGACATTGGTAAAATTCATGACTTATGTAAACCTTAGTAGCTAAACCCAAACATTCCAACAAAACCTCTTCTTTTGGGAAAATCTTCACCATTTTGAGATTGACTCATAAACAGGAGTGCATATTGGCTAATTGTTGTTTGATTTCAGGCCATCTTGTTTAATCAAACAACTGATTGAATATAATACCTCAGAAATCATCAACACTAACTTTAATAAACAGACAATTATTGATCTTGTTCATATATGATGTGTAAATATAAATCATATGATTTAGTTCATCACTTTCAAAGCTCATGTCTGTAAGTTTCCCCGACTACCAGTTTAAACTTACCTTATAGTCCCTGGTGACTCTGTTTTCCATGGTAATGTGCCACTGTCTGGTAACACAAACCTGCCATTACTGCTCTGTACTTTGTCTTTTAAGAATATAGATACCTGTTCAGAAGATAAATCTACAGTAACACTCTGAATATGGCTGATCTCATTTAAACTTTATGCACAATGTTTATGTGAAATTAATTCAGCAATTTGGTAATCTGCCAATGGACTTGTCTGCTGTAAGAATGCATGAAGATTTAGTCAGGAAACTTATTTTGACATTGTATACAAAGTGCTGCAGTTAAATTCTGATAATCTGTCTAACTATCAAATATACAATGTACTTTGCAGATATTTAAGAACCCTATTTACAATCTCTACATCAAACTTTTGATTACTTCATCTGTACAAAATGCCAAAATCTTTTATCAAAAAATATATTTAAGACACTCACCCTAATATGCATGTCTTGAAAGAAGTTTAATAGTGTTTGTCGTATAAGCTGGAACTCTCCTAGTGACAAAGATCCAAACGTCTGTAAAACAAGATATTAGATGGCTTATATATCTCAAAGTAAAGCCAACCATAGCAAAAATACAGCAAGTTNTTACAAAAAAAAAATAAAATACAGCAAGTTTACTTTAGATATAGTGAGACACCAACTTAAAACTCAATACCTGGTGTAAAAGATGTGGATAAATTAGGTTGCCTTACAAGCGTCAGCTGTAGGGAATTTCCCTTTAGCTCAGCGGTAGAGCATCGGGATGGAGAGCCAAGGGTCGCAGGTTCGAACCCCAGCGACGGCACTTATAATATTTATCACTATTCCTCGTCCTATTACAAACTGGTGCCGTAGACCCTCCCCGTTCAAGGTAGGAGACCCTTGGCGGGGAGTCAAAGAACCTAGGTTGATATTTGAAAAAGAATTCCACCAAAGTGGATGTGTCGCCTGCGCAGGTAGCTGGGAGATTGTGCTAAGCACTGCATGAACTTTGAGTTTGATCAGCCCAAGGAAACTCAAGTTATCGCACGAAAACCTCTGTGCGGCCGCCGCCACCGACATAGCTTTACCTATGTGTCACCAGCTTTTCGCAGGCGACACAAAAAAGGGGGTAATAGTGTAAAAGATGAGGATAAATTAGGTTGCCTTACAAGCGTCAGCTGTAGGGAATTTCCCTCTAGCTCAGCGGTAGAGCATCGGGCTGGAGAGCCAAGGGTCGCGGGTTCGAGCCCCGGCACTATCTTTATCACTTTTCCACGCCCTATTACACCTGGTAACACTCCAGTGTTCTGACACAGTCTAAAGTTTACTAACACAGTCTTAGCTTACTTGCATACTAGTCTAAATTAATCTGTCCAATTCATTATTCTAATGTATTGAGCTTATGTTTCACATTCATTCTCATGGGTAAGTTCTAAAGAATAACCTTTGACCTTCACAGTAATTGTTATCGTTGAGAATCAAATATCAAGCACACATATAAAATGAGTTTGAAGATTTGAACTCACCATTTTGTATCTTAGCTCACAATCTATATTTATATATACAATGTATAACCTTAGCTCACCATCCATATATGTACCTTAGCTCACCATCTATACATATACCTGAGCTCACCATCCATATATGTACCTTAGTTTACCATCGATACATGTACCTTAGCTCACCATCTATACATGTACCTTAACTCACCATCTATACATGTACCTTAGCTCAGCATCTATGATGTATGTACCTTAGCTCACCATCTATACATGTTACGTAGCTCACCATCTATACATGTTACTTAGCTCACCATCTATATATGTACCTTAGCTCACTATCTATACATGTACCTTAGCTCACCATCCATATATGTATCTTAGCTCACAATCTATACATGTACCTTAGCTCACCATCTATACATGTACCTTAGCTCACCATCTATGACGTATGTACGTTATCTCACCATATCTACATGTACCTTAGCTCACCATCTATACATGTACCTTAGCTTACCATCTATGACGTAGTGTGGAATTCAGGGAGGAGTATCCTCACATGAGGTGGGTAGTGTGGAATTCTGGGAGGAGTATCCTCACATTAGAGGTATGTAGTGTGGAATTCTGGGTGGAGTATCCTCACATGAGGTGGGTAGTGTGGAATTCTGGGTGGAGTATCCTCACATGAGGTATGTAGTGTGAAATTCTGGGAGGAGTATTTTCACATTAGAGGTAGAAAATGTGGAATTCTGGGTGGAGTATCCTCACATGAGGTATGTAGTGTGGAATTCTGAGAGGAGTATCTTCATATTAGAGGTACGAAGTGTGGAATTCTTGGAGGAGTATCTTCACATTAGAGGTACGAGGTGTGGAATTCTGGGAGGAGTATCTTCACATTAGAGGTACGAGGTATGGAATTCTGGGAGGAGTATCTTCACATTACAGGTACGAAGTGTGGAATTCTGGGAGAAATATCCTCACACATGTATATAGAGTTGATTTTTTGGAGGTGTATCTTTACATAAGGTATGCAGTGGGAAATCTTGGTGGATTATCCTAACATGAGATTTGTAGTGTGGAATTCTGGGAGGAGTATCCTCACCCCAGGTAAGTAGTGTGGAATTCTGGGTGGAGTACGTATCCTCATACGAGGTATGTATTGTGGAATTCAGGTTGGAATATGGGGCAAGTAGAGTTTAGGAAGGGTTGGGGCATGATTCAATTTTACAGAATAATAAACTGATATTGGATCGGTGTCATGCCACAATAAAACACTGACCAGATAGGTAGGTAGACTGAGATTATGTGTTCATGAGGTATATATAGGAGGTGAGGTGGTTTCAAAGTAGGAATTGGTAATAAGTATGTTCTGGTATTGTAACCTGACAAAGAAAAGCTGATAGACACTGTTCACCCATTGTAAGGGGGAATGGATTGATAACCGTAGAATAGGATTAAGGTATTTCAAGGGTCTGTTGATACTTATATATGGAGAGTATTTCAACAGGGGTTACATTGGTTAGCTGGGGTAGGGTGGGCGGGGTTTGAGTGAGGTTTGATTTAGGATGCTCAAAAATTGTGGGTTTGGATAGGGGAAGCCTGAATGGTGTGGAAGTATCGGTATATGTAAGTGAGGTGTTGGGGTGTATAGGGGTTTAGGTATAACCTACCTCAATGAGTAGCCGGTAGACATGGTCCACTTGTTGTTGTACCTGAGGAGCACCATCCAGTAGGCTCTTTATGGCATCTATGTGGTTAAGTGTGGTGAGAATTATGTCTTTGGGGCGCAGACTCAGTGACACTTGGAACTTGAATGCCATCGTCATCAAGTCATACAGCTGAAAAAATGTATGATATGAAGATACAGAAAATTTTACAATACTTTATTACAATCTCTTTGAGTATTTTCATACAAAAATAATGACGTTAAACTGATGACTAATTAACTAACGGTATTATAATTGAATTGCAATTTGTTGAGATGTCTAAGAGCTAACTGCAACTTGATATGTACCAGGAACGATGGCATTGGATTAATGCAAAATACTGACAATGCAATTCTTTCTTTGAAAAATACTACTTTTTGAACCATACCATAAAGCTAGAAAATATTGTATTTTCAGTAGTGAAAAAGAGAATACAAATTATTCAATACCAAACAATACAGTTTGAAAAGCCAAAGTGTGATTATATAAATACACAAAAACAACAAACTTTTAGACTTATTTCACATATTTTATATGAAATAAGAACTTCTTTGTGAAAAGCTAGCACTTTTTTTGCATTTTGCATTTAATATCCTCCAACTATTCACAATGTGATAGTATTTTTGTTGTAAATTAATTAATGCTACTTATATATACATGTATGTTTCATTTTTTTGCATTCATTTAGTACTGATACAGGGAGAAAAGAACAAAAAAATCCCAAAACAGAAAAAAAAAATCCATTGCAAAAAGTACACTGTATTTTAATAAGATGCAGTATCAATAAAATTGATCAATCTGCGTTCATGCTGTATTATGTGGTGATGGATGTACAGTTAATGCTTGAAGTAACTTTATATTGCTAAAGCACATGAAACCTGTCAACAGTGTTTACTTTAATCTCTAATACCTGCTAACATGATGTGCAGTTCAACAAGCCATCACTCATGAGATTACAAGCAATCACTGTATCAATCCAATATTTGACTGGTTTGAGTCCCCTGGTGAAGAGGAGATGTGCATGCAGCCGCTCATATTGTTGATAGTACATGTACATATTGATCATATCTCCCATAAGGCTGTGTAAATCTGGTGTTAAACATCTCATACATAATGGTTATTTCGCAAAAAGAACATTCTACAGTATCATATTCTAACATCATATTTCTGATTATCATTTCCAGGCTGAGCGATGATGCAATACAACTTTTATTAATTTTCTGCATTCTATTTGAATATTTTTACAACACACATGTACTGCTGATGAATGAACCTGCCCAGACAAAACTGATGAAATGAAATTGCAATGGGTCTCCTAAGTGTCTAATTAGGTGACCTTAAAATGGACATGAGGGAAATTGTCATTTTATTGTCCCTGAAGTCTAAACTATTTCCCATAGGCTAAAGGCAGAAAATTCAACAAGCCTCAGGTTCTGACTGGCCATTGATTAACAAGTTCTAGCTACCTCTCTCCTAATTAATTCGGTTCACATGGCGTGATGATATTGATGTGGGCGGGCAATAAGTAAATTAAATGTTTTGATTGCTTATGGATTTAGATTTATGGAATTTATGAAAATAGCATTTAGTGTTGCAATGCTCTAATATATATATGGATAAATAAGCAAGTGTATAACAAGTTACATATAGATCACAGTACATTCATAACAATCATTGCATGTGTATGGTGCATTAAAACAGATAAAATAATTTTCTAAATACCAGAAATATTCGTGTTAAAAAAACAATCTTTACCGCGATCATCATATCGTCCAAACACATATAAGTTGATTCTGATCATGCTTAATATATATATATGTTTCTTAAGAATTTTCCAAATGTTATCAACATATACACCATTAACTAATGGTGGGTCTACACCACAGATATCTGGAGAAGAATCTGTCAAATATTACAAAACAGTATCCTAAAATATATATATTTATGTTATTGTGGTAGGTAAAGTGTTTTTTTCCATCATAACTTTGATTACACCTGATAAAAAGTGCTTATTGATAAATTGTTCCTCAACACACTGGTCAATGAGCCAATCGGAGTCCAGAAACAGTAACACATCATGACATGTACAATAACTTCTAATCTCTGAGTCAATCGGAGTCCAGAAACAGTAACACAATTACTACTAATCTCTGAGCCAATCAGAGTCTTGAGAAACAGTAACACAGTTACTTCTAATCTCTGAGTCCAGAAACAGTAACACAATTACTACTAATCTCCGAGTCAATCGTGGTCCAGAAACAGTAACACAATTACTACTAATCTCTGAGTCAATCAGAGTCCAGAAACAGTAAAAAGTTACTTCTAATCTCTGAGCAAATCGAAGTCCAGAAACAGTAACACAATTACTACTAATCTATCTTATAGCATCTTGCAGATCTTATCAAAGGTTTAACTACCTTGTCCATGCTTGCAGCGTTTAGCCTCATGATGGATGCATGGGCCAATCGGTCAAACACTGTCCTCATGGCCTTCTTAGAATACAGTGGCTGAGGCTTAAACAGTTCCTCCATGAACCTCTTGTGGTACATTGTTGCAATGATGTCATGTAAAACTGGAACGGTAAAATAAAGTGTATTATTTACTTATTACAGACTTAAAGTAACATACGCTGCTTAACTATTGCAGAAAAAAGCTGTAAAAAGACATGAATGAAAGGTGGTTATAGAGCATACATCATACATTTAGATTCAATAATCTATCATGTAAAATTTACACAGATCAGTTCTGGAGTCATCTACCCGGTATGCTACTTTTTGAACGTTATACACTACTTGAGACTCAAGCAGATATGTATTCAAATTCTTGGCTTGGAATAACATTTAAAACAAAATAACCTATAATTTTTTCAGCTTGAAACATGTTTAAACAGTATCTTAATGCTTACTAAATATTAGAGATCAATAGGGCTTGTAGAATCACTGGAAACAGAAACAGTAAATTGTAGAAATGTGTCTGTCATTAAATCTAACAAAACTGATAGCCATTCACCCAGGTAAATCAACTTCATAGCCCTATAAGCAAAATATCATGATCCTACATGTAGGACTTGTGGTTCTAATGAAGAAGTTGGTAAAGGATAAAGGATAAAGTTGGAAACAGATGACCTACAAACAGATGAAATGAGGTACATGTAAGAAGAAAACACAATTATTTTCAATATCCTTATCCTCCGCTTTTAAGTATCAAGGGTTAGAAATACTGCCCTCCCTGTACATGTTTATATAATGCTGGCAGTCTGCCATATCAATTAAACATGATTTACTACTTAATTCTATTTGACTGAAAACAATGGTTTATAACTTAGAATAAACCACCTTCTCCCAATGACTGTTCACACTCTGTCCCCCAACGGCTCAGGCAGTAATGCTGTGTACTACATGTATGTGCTACACCAAGATCATGATCAATACATCCCGCCTTGTCCCTTTATCTATCCTCTTTATGCTTGAATTGCATCTCAGCTTATGTGATCTAACTAATGGAGTATATAGGAAATGAGACCATAGTACAAGGTAGACCATGTTTAACAACCATCACATTTACACAATACAAAGGACAAATAAAGAACATATCATATAAAACATCTGCAACACCTATAATCCATCACATTTACACAATACAAAGGACAAATAAAGAACATCATATAAAACATCTGCAACACCTAATCACATACTTAAGTGGTTACATCTCCATATACCTGTACAAACATAATTTATTCTTCTTGTTTTAATTACATTTAGAAGAGACACATACTTCATTATTCTTGTGTTTTATTACACTTAGAAGAGACAGACTCCCTGAATTACAGATTTATCATTATCAAAATTTAGGTGCAATTTGAATCAAGGAAAACTAGACATATATTCATGGGTGTACATACATAATGTACCCTTGTAAAATGCTCTTACTGAAGGTGTCAGCTTTTGCAATTTTTTTCTCTTTTTCCTTTTTTAGATTTAATGTCGAAACTTGAAATTAATATAGCTTTGAACTATGATAGCCTAGTTAAACAGCAGGAAATGTTTTTATGATAATGAAGATTATTATTTTTTCATAATATTCCCAACACATGATTGGCCAGGAGTGCATCACGTGTCCACCGATAAAAACCGCTATTGACTTAGAGCGTGTGATTTTTGGTGAAGGACTGGGTGTTTCTAAAAATAGAATTATGATGCGACTCCAAAGAATGCATCATCCCGCTTTCGAAGCGTTCTCGGTCAATATATCTTTTCGCGGGCCGATAAATCCAGGTATCTACCTTTGCCAAAGGCTATAATTGAATAACATAATTATGTACAACAAACTATCTGCAATCAAATGACATAATCTATGATTATTTTTCACAATCAATTTATCTTTATTTATTTTTTACTGTAAGGATCGACATATATATATATAACATTGAAACTGTGTTTGGAGTAGGAATCGAACCTTTACTATGAACTGCTATATGTGAAGGTTATTAAGAGGTATTTTAAAGATACACAGTTGTTTCCATAAGTACCATCAAGGAAAGAAAATTCTGAGGATAAGCACCAAAATGATCAATGGTTTGCAATTTACCATTGATCAGCCAATGCAATGGTCAAGCTAACGTTTCAGTCAATCAAAATTTCACTGTGGTCTATTTGATAAAACTAGGAGGAAATGTAGCTGTGACTTTGTGTATTTGGTACTGAATACCTGTACATACCAAGTGCTGGTAGCAGCTACTCCACCTACAGGGGTATCAGTCCTGTATCCATGTATAAAAAATGATAACAGTATGGCCCTATATAGCTAGTACATGCAGTTGAGCTTACAACTCAAGATGGCATTTTTATCAAAACACAATTGTATTATCCTTAGGACCTATTCTCTGAAATTTGATATATATAATGTATGTATGCTTAACAAAATATACATGTTCAATTGTTAATAGTGATATAATTTTTGCAGAAATCAACAAACTGTTTAAATAATGACAGCAATGTAAAATCATGCTCAATTTTAAGACCAATAAATTTATTATACCTTGTAACTGTAAAAGATTTCCTGGTAGCACTTATAATCACTCTCAGACTCTATTGTAAATATCAAAAGATTAATATTTCTTTCCTCGTTCTAATTAAGTACTATAAACAGTTAACTTATGGATTAAGAAACATTGAAGAATGAAACAAGTCATGATATATATCTGATATAATATATGTTAAAGATTTGATTGTGTGACTGACCTCAAAATTATATCAGTTAAATTTATTTCACAATACAAAAGTACAGTTCCAAGCAACAGTGCAATTTTAAATTTGTTACACATGGGAATATGACACAAATCTGTAAAAAGAAATGGAGTCTCTTGAGATTTTTAACTTATTTTGATACAAAAATTTGATGTATTTTACTTTAAATGTTGACTGTGTAATAATACATCCACTAAATCATCAAAAATCTCTGACATGATTTCAAACTCAAAAGTATGTAAGTCTGAAGAAAAGGTATGCATGAAACTGCCATATCATGATCACCATACATTTCAACTATTCCTCTGTGAGAGGTATGTCCATCAAGCATTACCTTAAATCATCTATAATTTAATTACCCTTAGAGCCCTTGGACATTGGTTTATACACAGGATAATTAACCTATATGTATACTAATTATACAATGAGTATACAACATGTGTCACTGGTCACAGTATTTTAGTACATGTAGTTGCACAAGAACGCTGCAGTTCCTGGTATATTTTAATAAGGCTGTTGAAATACGAAGGGTCACATCAATATTTGGCCCTAACAGAATCTTCATTTAATATAATTATATAATTAGTACCCTTCTGCAATTATTGAATTAATAGCAAGCCTCTAAAATACTTGACCAAAAGCCACCACTTTGGAGATGGCAATGCAAATATAAGGAGACAGTACCCAAATTTGATCACTTTTTGCAAAAATACTTCTAAATAAATAAATGTGTCAACAAATCAGTTATAACAATGATGTAGTCTTAGAATAGATAGCCATGCACCATTTTTTGTCTACAAATGATAAGTTTTTAAGTTCAAATAGCACAAGAAAATGTCATTCAAACTCAAATGTCAGTGTTTTGATCACATATTCATTTGAAGCGTAAGATACTGCAAAATTCAAGCCTTGATCTGATTTGGATCCTAAAATTCTCAAAAACCGAAGGCGCTGATTGGTGACTTAAGAGCGTTCTATAAATAATTTAAGTGAGCCCCGGGTGCTAATTTCTTTTGTAAGAACACCCATCGATATTCTAACTTTGATACAATCATAAATGAATATAATTCCTCATCAGATTTTTCAATCATTTAATAAAATGATGGTTTGGTGATCCGATTTGGGTACTGTCACCTTTTTAATTGCTGACATCAGCGGTCCCGGTATAGAATAAGATATCTGTTCTTCTGACAAACAGGTGAGATAAACGTTAGAAACTAGCTTTTTACAGATTATTAGAGTTATCTTGCCAATATTCTTAAATGGGTTCATAATGAAATTAACAAACTAGTTCTCTTTATTTTGAAGCCATTTAATGTCAGGTTCAAATTTTAATAAGCAGATCAACATCAGGACTAAGTGTGGTCAAACTCAAACTTATACGGGACAGCCCCCTCCCCCCCACCAGAATTGTTTTTTGTTTAGGGACAGTTTAAAGCAGTCAGAAGAGGTAATGGAGGTTATATCTGGAGGCAGGTTATTCCAGTCTACTATGGCACGAGGGAAAAAGGATTGCTGTCGTAACTAGCCTGTGTTCTACATGAGAGTGTTTGATAGGAGTTCCGGTGTGCGTGTCTTGTGTGGCGGGATGGAGGTATGAGTTGGTCTCGAGTTATGTTGGCTTTGTCGTGTATACTTTTGTGTAGTGTTGTCAGTCACATGACTCTCCTTCTGTCTTCAAGTGATTGCCAGTTAGGATGTTGAAGCATGTCACCAACACTGGAGGTGTTTCTATATGTGTTGGTGACTAATCTGGCTGCTCTACGCTGCACCATTTCTATTTTGTTTATGTCTGTTTTAGTATAAGGGTCCCAAACTGAGCAGGCATATTCTAGGGATGGTCTGACAAGTGTTATATATGCCTGCTCCTTGACAGATGTAGAGTTTATCTTTAGATTTCGTCTGAGAAAGCCTATGGTGGAGATGGCTTTCCCACAGATGTTATTTATGTGACATTCCCACTTCAGATTTGACTGTATAGTGACACCTACATTTTTTGCTTTGTTTACGTGTTTTAGTTCCTTTCCGTGCAGCATGTATTTGTAATGTTGTGGTTGTTTGTTGTTGGTGATGGAAAGGACATTACATTTGTCAGGATGGAAGGACATTTCCCATGCTATCCCCCATAGAGCTAGTTTGTCTAAATGTTGTTGCAATAGCTATAGCTGGGCATCAGATGGTGATTTGATAGTAATTAGATAGACAATGGTGTCATCTGCAAATGCAGATGACACCATATATATATATAAGACTGTGCCAATTTTATCTGGTAAAACTTTAAAATCTTTTGAAATTTCAGTAACATAATGTCATAAGGACAACGATGATTTAGTATATTATAAATACTGTACGGATGTAATAGAGTAGCTCTTCACACCAGATGATACACATGTCATCAGTTTACCGTGTTAACAACAGCGCAACAGTAACGCCATAAAGCATATATACATGAATGGTCATTCAACTGCTCGGTTAGAAGGTTAGGCTAATGATCTAAGCTAAACAGTTTACCTTTCTTTGCTTTTTCATCCGCTATATTCTGAGCTCGCAGTCGCTGATCCAAAATGTAAATCATTTCACCGCCAAGGTTTATGAAAAGCAAAGGTAACGTTTTAAACGACATCTTGTTTTTAGGCTAGAACAAAACACTCTCTCCTGTGCACTCTAATGATCTGTCAGATCCCGTTTCGCCGAGGCATGTTATTAGAAGGTGAAGGTCATTGTTAGGTATTTGCGGAACACCTTGAGATCTTTCCTTCGCATGTGCATGTGTGCGAGTATATACGAACGTCATGGATGCTCAAAGTCTGGTTTCATTTTCACCGCCTAGCAGTATGTTGTTACTTACCGGTATTATTGTGATTTTGATATACTCAATATACAGAATTGCCAAACCACGATATCAAAAAAACTTCCCACCTCTAAGACAAGGCTTGGTACCATGGCTTGGATGTGCTTTGGAATTTGGCGTTGAACCACTTGCTTTTATTGATAAAATGAGACAACAGGTGAGTAAACATATCTTTACTACAGTATATGTTATAGTAGGCTTTAAAGTTCTACTGGATCTGCACACTTAATGCTCTAAGCATATCTCTTCTTATGTATTGGGACAAAAAATACCGGACGGCTTATGTATGACCGTGGTTCACACCTGGAACCTCCCCTCAACCACCCCCCCCCCCCCCCCCCCAAGGCATTTGTTTCTGTCAATAAAAATAGTCATGAGAAAAAAAATCACATCCAACTCATAAAATATACCATTAAAAATACATTAAAAATTGGTACATGTACATTATATGAGTAGGGTGTGATTTTTTTTCTCATGACTTTTTATTGACAGAAACAAATGCCTGTGAACCCCCGGGGGGGTCAGGGTTTGCTTTTCTGACGTTTTATCAACTTTTTTTTTATATTAATCGACGACAGACCGATATAAAAAAATCGATAAAACATCAGAATAATTCGAACTAGGTTTTTGCCAGCTATTTTGGGAAAGGGCCCCTGAGCAGGAATTGGGAAAATATCATCGGTATTTGGCAAAAATTGGAAAATATCATCAGTGTTCCCACATGCACAGGTACAGGTTCGAGAAAGTTATAGGAATAAATATAAACACATCAGTTTTCAGTGTTTTTGTTTCTTCAATTTCAAATTTCTGTTATTCATGTATTTTGAGTGCTCTTTCAAGGACGATAATACTTTGAACGTTGCACATATAACGACTGGAAACTTGTATAAACATACTTTTTTTTATCTAATTGGGAAAAGAGACTGAAATTGGATAAAAAATGCAGGGTCATTTTTCAATTAGGAATGGATCCCCGTACCGGACCCTATAAATACCTGGCAAAACCCCTGGGGATATACATACTCTAAGTTTAATTATAGACAAATTGACGCTGTACTAATGAGCTACAAGTGTACATATCTGTTAGCCAACAATCCAGATAGTCAGTTCTGCTACAAGGAGACTAGTAGGACAAGGAATAGTGATAAAGATAGTGCTGTCACTGTGACTCAAACCCGCGACCCCTGGCTGCATGTCCAGCCCGAGGCTCTACCGCTGAGCTAAAGGGAATTTCTCTACAGCTGATGCTGTAGGCAACCTAATCAATGCACATCTTTTACACATGGCCAGACCTGGATTCAAACCCGACTGCCTACAAATTCTAGGCGGACGCTCTACCAATTAAGCTTACCCATGAGTTCAGTTCCACTACATAAGTACTCGCTTGATTATCACTGGCCAGGTATCTCAATTAGGTAGAGCATAGGTCGTAGATTTTGGAGGTCCTGGGTGAATTTTTCTCTTCAGTTTTGCATTCAAAAGTACAAAATGTAATGATAACCTGGATTACCTGAGAGATAAACATGGCAGTCAGGTCGACTTGCAAGAGGTTTACATCACAGTCTAATCACCTCACAAGAACATTACAGTCTAGTCACCTCATGAAAGGTTAACACCACAGTCTGGTCTCCTTACAAGAGGTTAAAATCACAGTCTGGTCACATCACAAGAGGTTAAAATCACAGTCTAGTCACCTCACAAGAGGTTAACGTCACAGTCTAGTCACCTCACAAGAGGTTAACACCACAGTCTAGTCACCTCACAAGAGGTTAACACCACAGTCTAGTCACCTCACAAGAGGTTAACATTATAGTCTAGTCTCTTCACAAGAGGTTAATGTCACAGTCTAGTGACCTCACAAGAGGTCAACATCACATTCTAGTTACCTCACAAGAGGTTAATGTCACAGTCTTGTCACCTCACAAGAGGTTAACATCACAGTCTAGTCACTTCACAAGAGGTTAACATCACACACAGGTCACCTCACAAGAGGTAAACATCACAGTCTAGTCACCTCACAAGAGGTAAACATTACAGTCTAGTCACCTCACAAGAGGTCAACATCACAGTCTAGTCACCTCACAAGAGGTTAACGTCACAGTCTAGTCACCTCACAAGAGGTTAACGTCACAGTCTAGTCACCTCACAAGAGGTTAACGTCACAGTCTAGTCACCTCACAAGAGGTTAACGTCACAGTCTAGTCACCTCACAAGAGGTTAACGTCACAGTCTAGTCACCTCACAAGAGGTTAACATCGCACACAGGTCACCTCACAAGAGGTTAACATCACAGTCTAGTCAACTCACAAAAGGTTAACATTACAGTCTAGTCTCTTCACAAGAGGTTAACATTACAGTCTAGTCACTTCACAAGAGGTTAACATCACACACAGGTCACCCCACAAGAGGTAAACATCACAGTCTAGTCACCTCACAAGAGGTTAACACCACAGTCTAGTCACCTCACAAGAGGTTAACACCACAGTCTAGTCACCTCACAAGAGGTTAACATCGCACACAGGTCACCTCACAAGAGGTTAACATCACACACAGGTCACCTCACAAGAGGTAAACATCACAGTCTAGTCACCTCACAAGAGGTAAACATTACAGTCTAGTCACCTCACAAGAGGTTAATGTCACAGTCTTGTCACCTCACAAGAGGTTAACATCACAGTCTAGTCACCTTACAAAAGGTTAACATTACAGTCTAGTCTCTTCACAAAAGGTTAACATTACAGTCTAGTCTCTTCACAAAAGGTTAACATTACAGTCTAGTCTCTTCACAAGAGGTTAATGTCACAGTCTAGTCACCTCACAGGAGGTTAACATCACAGTCTAGTCACCTCACATGAGGTTAACATCACACACAGGTCACCTCACAAGAGGTTAACATCACAGTCTAGTCAACTCACAAAAGGTTAACATTACAGTCTAGTCTCTTCACAAAAGGTTAACATTACAGTCTAGTCTCTTCACAAAAGGTTAACATTACAGTCTAGTCTCTTCACAAAAGGTTAACATTACAGTCTAGTCTCTTCACAAAAGGTTAACATTACAGTCTAGTCTCTTCACAAGAGGTTAACATTACAGTCTAGTCTCTTCACAAGAGGTTAATGTCACAGTCTAGTGACCTCACAAGAGGTCAACATCACATTCTAGTTACCTCACAAGAGGTTAATGTCACAGTCTTGTCACCTCACAAGAGGTTAACATCACAGTCTAGTCACCTCACAAGCGGTTAACATCACACACAGGTCACCTCACAAGAGGTTAAAATCACAGTCTAGTCACCTCACAAGAGGTTAACATTATAGTCTAGTCTCTTCACAAGAGGTTAATGTCACAGTCTAGTGACCTCACAAGAGGTCAACATCACATTCTAGTTACCTCACAAGAGGTTAATGTCACAGTCTTGTCACCTCACAAGAGGTTAACATCACATTCGAGTCACCTCACAAGAGGTTAATGTCACAGTCTAGACACCTCACAAGAGGTTAACATCACAGTCTAGTCACTTCACAAGAGGTTAACATCACACACAGGTCACCTCACAAGAGGTAAACATCACAGTCTAGTCACCTCACAAGAGGTTAACATTACGGTCTAGTCTCTTCACAAGAGGTTAACATCACAGTCTAGTCACCTCACATGAGGTTAACATCACACACAGGTCACCTCACAAGAGGTTAACATCACACACAGGTCACCTCACAAGAGGTAAACATCACAGTCTAGTCACCTCACAAGAGGTAAACATTACAGTCTAGTCACCTCACAAGAGGTAAATGTCACAGTCTAGTCACCTCACAAGAGGTTAACATTACAGTCTAGTCACCTCACAAGAGGTCAACATCACATTCTAGTCACCTCACAAGAGGTTAATGTCACAGTCTTGTCACCTCACAAGAGGTTAACATCACATTCGAGTCACCTCACAAGAGGTTAATGTCACAGTCTAGTCACCTCACAGGAGGTTAACATCACAGTCTAGTCTCTTCACAAAAGGTTAACATTACAGTCTAGTCTCTTCACAAGAGGTTAACATTACAGTCTAGTCTCTTCACAAGAGGTTAACATTTCAGTCTAGTCACCTCACAAGAGGTTAACATTACAGTCTAGTCTCTTCACAAAAGGTTAACATTACAGTCTAGTCTCTTCACAAGAGGTTAACATTTCAGTCTAGTCACCTCACAAGAGGTTAACATCACATTCTAGTCACCTCACAAGAGGTTAATGTCACAGTCTAGTGACCTCACAAGAGGTCAACATCACATTCTAGTCACCTCAGTAATTGACATGTTTCACCTGTCTTGCTGTTTGTTATACATGGCTTTACAGGAGCTTTAGGAATTTAATTAATCAATTGAGAATTAATTGTTTGTTCCTTTGTCTACAATCCTGTTTCAAAAGTATTAAATTTTGTTTTGAAAAGGAACTCATGCAGTTTAATCCACAATTGAATGCAATAATTTGATGAACATCTTGACAAATTTAATAAAATAAAAACATTTTATTTCAGTTCCATTTTCCCCCTAACTAGGTATATACATGCATAATATGATGACTACATCAGTTGAATTTCTTTGTAGATGGGAGCCATTTATACCCTGTATGTGGCAGGCGAGCGCCTCACCTTTCTCACTGATGCTGACGATTTTCACCACTTTTTTCAATCTGCAAATGTTGATTTCCAGAAAGCGGTCCAAGATCCTGTGCAGAATATTGGTAAACTTTAAACTTAACATATCATTATTAGGATATAAGTTCATCTGAAATCAGAATACAGATTATTAGACAATATGAATATGGGTGTGCATTTTCTAATACATTTATTTACATTATAATATTAAAAAGTAAGAAGAACATGCAGTGATGGTAGATCAAAGATATCTGAACATGGGTTAGGACATATACAGTATAAGAACAGGAGGAATTTGTAAGTTATTTCCATTAAAATATTTTCATTGTCATATTTGACATCTCATTTACTAGGAACTCCAAAGAATCGTGCAAATGAATCGTCCAGAACAATTACACTTGCCAATGGAGATCACTCCAAGCTGGCTATAGTATAAAAGTAACACAATATATATCATATGTTTATAAGCTAGCTCGGTAGAATACTTTATTTATCCCTTTTCTAAAATATATCAAATGAGCACAATACATACTGAAATTATCAAACTTCATGAATTACCTGTTTTTTTTTATTTGAATGATCTGTAGATGTCCTTGTTGACCCATTCAACACATTTCTTTTACTTTAACTAGTGCAGGGATCACTATTTGTGTTCCTCCTAGGACTATATAACCTTACCAAGTTTACTTAAAGTATTTTCTGACAGTTCAGAATACTGATTTGTCCCATGTTACAGAATTTAGACAATTCATAATGTCAGGTATCTCCATATCGCCTGCTGACACTTGTAGGTTGATGGAGTTGCCTCCCTTGCAGTGGAACACACACACTAATGTACAATGTATACAGTTTTTCCAACATTGTATGTCTCAATGATTACTGACCATAAAAATGCATCAACTATGTTGCTTGCATACTGCAATCAATAAGTTATTAACCTCATCACCAACCATATAACTCTTGTGTTTGGTCACAATTTTGGATCAAACAAGTGTATAGGGGTTGTGTTCTATCAATAAAGTTCAAAGTAAATTCCATGTCAGTACTATTTGAACTTTCACATCACAGATAACTGTGAATGCTTTTTTTTGGGATGGGGGGGGTGGG